TGTCTATTCAAGTTGCCTTCAAGCTAAGGACTATAACATGACAAAGTTTTTTCTATAAGGGGTAAATGTACATAGTGTATAAATAAAAAGACTCAATAGCCATAAACTTTAAAAGATCATATTGTTGTGAGGAGTTAAAGTAAATATCTCTTTCCACATGCTTATAAATAATCTTTTTTTTTTAATGCAAAAGCAGTTTTACATATGTACTATTTACTGGCTTCAAATGAAAAAGGTGTTAATTGTTTCTGTCAGTTTACAGTGTACACATACTGTCTTTCAAAAATTATCCGAATTTTGGCTCAAATTTAAAATCTGTTCACCACCCAGGCTGGTTTTTGTTACATGTATAGTGAACATCCTAGTACAGATCATATAATATATGTAATACAGCATTATAAATAACTGATAGACAGATTTTGTATTTGTCCCCACATCATTAGCTGTGGGAATAAGGTTTTCTAGCTAGAAAGAAATTTTTGAAGTAATACATATAAATATAATTTACGAGTGTGTCATTTTCAGTTGATTAATCAGTCAATCAAATTAAATACCTTATAAGTTAGCTATCAGTTATAACTCTATCTTATTTTCTCTTCATCCAATTTTCACACCAAACCAAGTAAACTAGACCAAAATATACTGTGTTCATATATGAAATCTGTTCACATTTACAGCTGAACAGGATATTACACTTATGAACCAGGATGTTCTAGAAGATTCTTGTAATCAATACTCTGGCTAAAAATAACTTGTACTATGAACTATGAACACTAGCCAACTACCAGTATGAACATGACATTGCATTCTTCAGTGATTTATTCTGTTCATGTGAACACATAACAATATTATCAGTGACCATTCCTCTAACAATTATATAGGTCTATAAGAGGAAGTTATACTGGTATATGAATTTCAATGGCCCTACATGAAATGGGAATGATTTTTAACAATGACTTCAATTTTAACTTAATATTCTTTATGAGTTTTTGAAGGCACAGAAAAAATGAAACATAAAAGAATTATGACTCGCTTTATTGTATCACTCTGTGTCATTCCTTTTTTTATGTTGGGCTACATTGATATCTGATGTATTCTTTAAATGTTGTGTTCAGATCATGTGACTGGTTGATATACATAGATCTATCACTAGTAGTACACAGTTATGATACAAAGTTAGTTAGATTGCAATCTAGTGTAAAAATCAGAATAAGTGTAAGGAATTTGTAATATAATTTTAATTAGATTGGCTAACTCCCAAGAACTAATTTGTTTTGTTAAAGATACATTATGGGAGATAAGATAAAGAGATGGCAGTTCTCACTATAATAGTTAAAAACTAGATAGTGTAAAGGTAATTTGCTGAAAATTTCAGTCAAATTGATCCACTATGAGCCGAGAAAGAAGCGGGTGAAATTTTGGCATAGTCTCGGTCATCATTACTAAAATCATTAATAATAATATAAACAGCATAGTCTCAATTATCCACTTATTCTGATTTAATTATCAACGGCCGTTTGCGGCATATAGGAATCTAATCCAGCCAACATCGAAGGCTAGCCTTGACATCGAGAGTTTATTATGGTCTGGATATGTTAATTAATGTCTAATTGATAATTTAGATAACATTTCAGGCCTAAAGAAAGACTTGTAATAAGCAGATTTTGCTCTTGCATAATGCATGTTTAACAAATGATTGCGGTTTCAAACAGCATTAACTAGATCATTTTGGGACCAACACATTGTATATTCTTATTTCAATCATTTGCTTTTAATGCACTAACTTCTGTTAAATAATGAAATTATTAAGATCATTAATTTTAAATATTTGTTCATAGGTTAACCTCAAATATGTTTTTATTCAAGTGGAAAGTGAACATTTTCCTTATTTAAATCTACCAAAATAAATGACTGAAAAGTGAAAACTGTTCTTCAGTTATAAATACAGGAGAACTGCACTGCACATGAACAAGCAGTTCACAGCAGTTCACCTATAAGACACATAACACACAGACATTGTAAGCAATACATAATGAAAGACATTGAAAGTACTATCAGATAAGAAATGTAATTCAGACAGAAACAGAAATGAAGGTAAGATAATTTGTCCACATGTAAATAGAATTGGGTTATTGTCCCATATCCAGAGATTATAACAAAGAATGAAAGATGATCTAAATTGTATGATCTCTCGGATCATTATAATAATCTATTCTTAATATTATGTTGACCAATTGTACACCATTCTTATTTTAATTGAAATATAATTTATACAATCGTTAAATTTCTAAAATAAAACATATTGGGTTTAAAAAAACTAATTTGAGTCCTGTATGTAAAGTATTTTGAATTGACAGAAAAATAGCCAAAAAATAAATTGAGCAACTTGATCTATGGTTATTTGTTGGTGTGACGTAGAATATAACTTATATCCTGGTCATCAGAAGTTGTATCCTGTTAAAATGACCTTAAGCACTTGAAGGTCATGAATGATATCAAATATTTACTTTTAAGGTGTGTGTTGTTCATGCCAGCCAAGCGTTCACACACAATTTAAAGTTGATGAGTCACTGGCTGACCTATATCAGTATTTATATAAACTGAACACTGAACATGTGTAAATAAAAATCAGATTATAATATCAATATGACATTATACATGCTACTTATAGCCTAATTAGATTTAACCTTAATTTGGTAAATAAACGAAATTACAGTAGCATTCAGAGTTACTTAGAGCTAGACTTTTTTTTAAAAGGATATATTTTTAATAAGATGTGTTATCATCTAATAAATACACAAAATAAAAAAGAGAAAGATTTAAAGTTATTGGGTCATACTACCCTCCTCCTTGTCTGGGTCATCAAAAATTGAAATGAAATGGGGTTTAATGTCCTACTGAGTACTGTTCTGCTCCAACTGGGTTAATGAAGACCGCAGTACAGTGTGCTATACTATGAGGGAAATTTTGCTCAGGCAGTGGCACTATGGCCTACTCTTATATCGAATTCCAACTGCCAACAGACCTTTTTTACATGCGTGTCAATGTATGCATGGGACCTTGGTTTTTTCGTGCCATCCCAACGACAAGACGGCTGTCCTTGTAAGGCCCTCCTTCCTGCACCACTAACAAGGGGAGACCATGTCAGAAAAACCTGATGAACTTTCTGGACCAGCTGGGCTGGGACTGAACATGCGACCTCCAGGCTAGCGAGCCAGCATCTTACCCACTTACCTGCGGTGGCTACGAGGTCATCAAACCAGCGGCTGCCAGGCAGGATACGCCCACATTTTCGAGAGATGGATAGAGAACAAGCTAACAAGAAAGTGATTTTTCCTACAATCAAGGGCCATAATTCAGGAAATTACCATTCGATATGCGCAAATATCGAAAGGAACTGAACGAACGGCAGCCATTTTCTCTGTCAATTTTGGGCCGATTTTCACGAAATTCGAACTCAGTCATCCTCAGGGTGTAACGGTGATATAATAATACGGTTTTTTAAATCGGATAAAAATTATGACCTCTATAGGATCCACAAGCTAAAAACGCAATTTTTCGTACAATCAGGGGCCATAATTCAGGAAGTTACGGTCCAATATGTGCGAATATCGAAAGGGACCAAGATCTTTGGGTTATAAACTTACATTTCAAGTTTCAACAAAATCGGATAAAAATTGTGACCTCTATAGGGTCCACAACCTTGATATACCATATTCTTATGCTATTCCAGAACGAACGGCGGCCATTTTGTCTGTCAATTTTGGGCCAATTTTCACGAAATTCGATTTCAGTCGTCCCTAGGGTGTAACGGTGATATAATAGAACGTTTTTTTAAATTGGATAAAAATTATGACTTCTATAGGGTCCACAAGCTAAAAACGTGATTTTTCGTATAATCAGGGGCCATAATTCAGGAAGTTACGTTCCGATATGCACGAATATCGAAAGGAACCAAGATCTTTGGGTTATAAACTTACATTTCAAGTTTGAACAAAATCGGATAAAAATTGTGACCCCTATAGGGTCCACAACCTTGATATACCATATTCTTACGCTATTTGGGAACGAACGGCGGCCATTTTGTCTGTCAATTTCACGAAATTCGAACTCAGTCATCCTTAGGGTGTAACGGTGATATAATAGAACGTTTTTTTAAATCGGATAAAAATTATGACTTCTATAGGGTCCACAAGCTAAAAACGTGATTTTTCGTACAATCAGGGGCCATAATTCAAGAAGTTACTGTCCGATATTCGCAAATATCGAAAGTAACTGAGATCTTTGGGTTATAAACTTACATTTCAAGTTTCAACAAAATCGGATAAAAATTGTGACCTCTATAGGGTCCACAAGCTAAAAACGTGATTTTTCGTACAAACAGGGGCCATAATCCATGAAGTTTCGATCCGATACATGCCAATATCGAAAGCAGCCGAGATCTTTTGGGGATAAACCTATATTTCAAGTTTCATCGAAATCGGATAAGAATTGTGACCTGTAGAGAGTCCACAAACAATTGTGGACGGACGGACAGGCGGACGGACATCCGGACGGACAGGGGCGACGGCATAATACGTCCACATGAAAATGTGGGCGTATAAAAACTAACATATGGCTCAATTTTATTTCAATAATTCGCTTGCATGTAGGGGTCTTTAGCAGCTGTTAGAAAGTGGAGGACCCAGAGAAAAAACATGAGGCTTTACACCCAAACCTACTCCTTGTCACATACATGCATATGCATCTAAAGCACACTCGTTAGACCACTTGAAAAAACCCAATACCTGACTAAATCAACCTGGTTAGGCGATTAGGTGAGGCATTTAAGTTCTTAACTTAAGTTTAACAAATTAACAAATTTAAGTTTTAACAAATGCTCCACCTCGTTTTGGTCATTCTACATACACCACTGGTGTAAAGCAGATTTGGCAACATCAGCTTGGATTGATGGCTCATAAATGGGCTAACAATAAAACAAAGAAATTTATTCAACTTACCAGGATTTATTTTTCACAAAGATTTGATCACATAATAATCTCGCTTTTCTCTTTCAGTTCTGAATAAATCTGACATTGACTTATTAAATCTCAAAAATATCTTACACGAGTAGTCTATTGTACATGTACATTTGTAGGTCTCTCTAACTTAACTCTTTCTCTTGTCGTCCGGTATCATTCATATCCCTTTCCCCTTGCAAACCACATAAAGTCACTTCTGAGGTACGGGACTGAAATCAATTAATTCAAAAACACTGACATAAAAATAATCATAAATGTATAGTTTTAGTATTTAAGCAAAGGTTTAATTCAGGTATGTTTAACTTATCTAGAAACGTATTAACTTGTAAACAATATGTGAGTATGTAACAATATAACGCATGGATACACAATCACTGAGTTTAATACTACTAAGCGACGTTTTGACGAGCATACTCTCGTCTTTGCTTGATAAAGAAGAGAGTATCCTCGTCGAAACGTCGCTTAGTATTAAAAGCAGTGATTGTGTATCCATAAAACTGTACCTTGTGTTAATATGGTCAATTACTAAATGCCAATCAAAGAAGATGTAACAATATAATATAGAGTAAACACTATCGTTTTCTTGAGAAATAATATCATTGTGGTTTATGGTTATGCTACGTTAGCTGGGCTGTCTTCATTAAACATGTTCTAACCATATTATTATAGAGATTGTCACATTTGCACGGGGATGAGTTTTTTCATATAGATTTTATCCAAGATTAAGTTGTTGATTGACTGTATGATTGAACAAACCTGTCTAACCTTTGCTTATAAAAATATACACTTTTCACTATCTTGAAATGATGTCTTGTCATTTAGTGATATCCTTGTTCAAAGATCTTTGTATAAAAAAAAACACTACGTAGGTCTAGCCTACTAATCATCATTTATTTTATGAAATGATTATCATTATCCACAGACACAAGGCCAGTCTAAATGTCCTGCATATGCCCTTATCAGAGAATTTATACCTGTATAGATTAGTCCAAAATGTCTATTTATATGACTATATGAATGGAAAGCATCAGAGCTGTCTGAAAGATAAGAATATGACAATCCTGCTTTGTCTTTCAGTAATTCCAGCTATCAAAATATTGATTATTAATTAGGTCAATAGTTTTGCACACAATTTTGAATAGATACCGATAATCCTTCACAAAAAGTCATTAAATATCAAATGGGGGTGGGAGAAATACTGATACTTCCAACATTTTTATTAATATAACAGTAACAGATTTAATTAGTTCAGCTCCCTCACTCTTCAGTTCAGACATTGGAATTGTGGAATTGACTGTTTTTATTTTCTTGGAATAATTTTAATAATTGTAGTGTTAGACCAAATTTATGCGGATTAATAATATTCCTTCTATAGATCTAACTGAAACCCATTCAATTCTATAAAAATGTGTAAACAAAAAACCTTAAAAAAAACGACGTACCACCAGTTCACAAGTACAATATAATAACAAACCTTTCTAAATTGTATTATTATTATTTTGGTTATGTCCAAATTTAGCGCGATCTATTGAAATAAGATGATATATACTCCCTATAAGTTTGGAAAAATATGATATGTAAAATTATGTGAACGTATACACAGCTATTTATTATATTTGTGTTTCGGACTTTTCGATGGGGGCGATGATATCATACAGAATCATTTCATTCATTTATTTCAGCAGAAAGATTCCAATCTGAAATTTTAATAATTCCGAAAGTCTACGTGCTATATTGACGCCCTCAGAATACGGAAAAGGGGCGGAGCTTATCAACGAAAGGGACTAATGCAAGGGAATGCGGCTAGAGGCGGAAGAAGTTAAAGCATACCACGCCTTATTAAATTCTAAATTTGTAAGGCCCATATTTTCGAAAGTGGATTAGTCCTGCGATATCACCCTAGGTGGAAGTGGGCATAAAACTCCAGGTACGAACGAGTCCTGATCAGAAATTTAATCTCCGATTTTCTGAACAGTCATATTCTGAAAAGCCGGCTAAATCATTGTTCGAGAATACAATCATTGGCATCAAATGTGACGTTCAGGAACGTTGACTTAAAGGAGCTAAATCGCTAACATTTGGGACCTAGAAATTAAAACAAGTGGGTCGCAACTCATATAATACTGTAACATGAATGTATATAAACTGATTTACATTCAATCGTTTCCGTTTTTACTCTAATTTCAAATCAGTTATGTTCCGTGAAATAAGCCAGCAGTCTCAATCGAATGCAAATTCCCATCGTCTGGTTATTACAGTCTACATACGCCGTTTGGTTTGGTGCAATGTGTCTAGCCTCGTTCCTCGAGTCTCTTGCTAGAACTGGGGCTGAAACGCATTTTGGTACACGATTCGTGTACCAATGGTAAAATATTTATTTTGTCTTAAATATTGGATATCAGAAGCCCATCTTTTTCCGGTAAGATTACAGCATCAATGTTGTTTTAAATTGACAAATAATTCGTGTTTTCAATGTTGAAGATTTTGGATGATATTGAGTTAGAGACTTAGCTACTTTAATCTTTGACTAAATCATCCTAAAAGTTAGTCATCTCAGTGGGGTAGTTTAAGTATGAATTAAGTGCACTTGTATGCCATAATGATGTTTTAATTGTTTATAGAAAATATTATTTTTCATTGATTTCAGACAAATTGCACTTATATTTTGCTACGAAACCAACAAATTTACTTACATTAATTTGTTTGAAAAGAATTATGAAATATTAAACAGTCTTTAGGACCTATAATACTTACACATGTAAAATAAAACATACATAATTGGCAGTGACTTTTTGCCACATGTGGTAAGCAAGAATTTCAAAATAGCCTACGCCTACAGACCACCCGATTTTAACTTCAACTTTTTATTTTCATATTACGTCCTAAAGAACAGTATACAAAACATACGGTACACCATATCACAGGAATCTGACCTTCTATCCGTATATGCATACACCATGTCGTACCAGACAATATATAATATTTTATTATATTATTGTCTGGTACGAAATGATGTATGCTTATATATACGGATAGAAGGTCAGATTCCTGTGATCATAGACGTGTATACAAAAATATATTTTACATGGAATAATATATTGGAATAACATGATATATTGGAATGAAAATATAATGAGATATATACATGTACAATTGGGATGATACAAATATACAATGAAAATGTAACAACGAAAGTATAACAATGAAATGAAAATATGACGTATAACCTTGGGAATACATGTGTATAATGATCAAATGTGGAGTAAGAACATGCAGCAGAAAATTAGACTAGGCAGGTTTTTTCCCTTTCCTTAAAAGCATGATATTATGTATATACATAAGAAAATCTGGCGGATTAATAAGAAGCTCAAAGGTTAATTTCGACCCCCCCCCCCCCCCACCAGCCGTTGATCTATATTCTATATGCTATACGGGAATTCATAGATTTAAGAGATTGTTCACCATCTGAATATATAAACTTAAATGAAATAATTAATCAACTCTGTATTAATTGAGAACTTGTATATATTTATATGTATTTATTGTACTTAGTGTACGAATAAATTTTTTATTTTATTAGCGCTCTATATAAAAGTAATGACAAAAAAAAGCCACTTGTTTCGGTGCTCGCGGGCGGTCTGCGGCTTTTTTTGGGGGTGGGGGGTGTGCCATCATATCATTATTTGTTTCGTCAATTTGGGGAATGGGGATTTAAATTTCTGGTGTCAGGTTGAAAATCAGGTGGATAAGGCAATGTTGTACCACTTTCAACTCACATCCTGGAATAGCAGGAAAATGGGTTTCTAAAATTGTTGCCATCCCCTTAGGCGTTCGCTGGCGACAGGGAATTTTTTCGGGCTTTTTATCTCGTAGTCAATGAGGATTTGTGGTCTGCCTCCAGTTGTTCAAATTATGTCCCTTGATATTGAAAGTGAAGGCTGACAGCCGTCAATCATGAATACGTAAAGCTGCTGTGGGGACCAAGCTCCTCCCTACTTTGATAAAAAACAGATAGTGGCTACGTTTTCTACAATCATGGCGTTGAATGAGTTCATGCAAGACTATGTGAAGTAAATTGAGTATTTTAGCATGACAGTTTATAAAATCAACACAAAAATCTAGGCTATCAATATTAAGTTATAAAAAAGGTCTACATATTGGTCAATATTCACACCAATGAGTGTTACTTTATGCTGTATAATATAAGGCGTTTGCTCAACTTGCAGCACGATATACACTACTCTAGCACCCACGTCATAAAATGAATGGTGGGTCATCATACTAGACTTCGTGTTTGACACTCATATGTTCAAAGGACTTTGGCCATAAGGAACGGGTGAATGCATTTGCTGGTCAACACAGACCTTTAACAAAAATCTTTGTTGTGTCAGTTTTTCTGGTCTTCAGATATTATTGTCAGTTGTGTCTTTAAAACACAGGACGTAATTTTATGGAATATGACACAGTTGAGACTAAATGAAATGAAATGAAATGGGATTTAACCTCCTAGTCCTACTGCTCTGCTCCGAAATGGGCTAATGAAGACAAGCATATGCCATACAGTACGTGAGTGTGCTATGAGGGAAATTTTGCCCGGACAGCAGCACTACAACCTACTCTTATATTGAATTCCAACTGTCATTAAGGGATCTGTTACGTGCATGCCAATGTGTATATGGGACCTTGGTTTTTTCGTCCCATCCAAACGACTAGACATCTGTCCTTGTCAGGACCTCCGCCTGCATCACTGACAAGGGGGAACCACGCTGGAAAGTACAGTTGAGGGTACATTTCAACTAGGTTTCTCTAGTCTTTATCATGCTTGATGGAGACTAGAGAAGACTAGTCGAAATAAACATTTTATTAGTATTGCATAGAATTGTGTATTTCCAGGTTCATTTACTAATTTCCTTTGATTAAGCCGGGAAAGAAGAGATATTGTCCGAAAAATGCAAATATGATGGCAGTCGGCGGCTTTACTTCTCTATTTTTATAGTCTCAACTTGTCCCAACTTTTTTGCCTGGTCATACAATTTTTGTGACATTGACATATAATCATACACAAATTCAGATGATACTGGTGTTAATATATAAACAAGACACTGAATATTTTCCAGTCAATGCATTGTAGACTGCAATTTAAAGGACTACATATTACCATCAAACTAAGGAACTAGTGCATCTTCAAAGGCTTATCACTTTCAACACGAAATTTTAATTAATTTTATATATCATATTAAAAACATCCTTTTTTTTAGACGAGACTAGACTGTAGTCTAGAGTCAAATTGAAATTATTGTTTTGCTGACTGATAAGTTTCTCAAAAGTGCTAATGCCTCCATAAGGTGAAAAATTAATGTTTTTCCTAGAATTATGACCAAAAGGACAGACATTTTTTTAGATACTGATCTATTTCTTTTTATACTTTCAGCATTGTTTCTAAAATGGCCTGGTTATTAGTCTTATCGGGGGTTTTCTTCATCATCCTCTTTTCTCTGATGTTTTTTCTGTTAAAATTGTGGATTCATCAAGTAACAAAGAACTGTTTACCGGAATTGAGAAAAACTGATGATAAAGGGAGAAAACTTGTAACTGTAGGATTTTTTCATCCTTACTGTAATGCTGGTGGAGGCGGAGAAAGAGTTCTGTGGTCAGCAATTAAAGCAGTTGTGAAAAGGTAAATAGATTAAAATGAATAATGATTAACATTATAATAATTATTAATTATGTAGATCTGTGTTCTATGAGTAAATGTATATTGCTTTAATTTATTTTGTGCTGATTGAAATGAAATGTGGTAGTGAGAGTTCAATACTTTTTACTCAGTCATTTATTAACACAAGATATTCTTGATAATTCATGAACATTTGTTATTACAGCATTTTTTCAAGGTCATTTGCTTGATAAGTAAATAAAACAATGCTGTCCTTCCAAAGTAAATAATTATAACAATGCTATCATTTCCAAATTTACGGGAGCCACAATGGCTCAGTGAGCAAGGTGTTGGCTCACTAACTAGGGGATTTGGGGTTTGATCCTGGTGTTGGCCGAGTTTGTTCCCCATATTTTTCCAGCATGGTTTTCTAGATGCATAAAGGAGAACCTGGCAAGGAACCGTGTCTAGTCTTTTAGATAGTATGAAAAAAAGGGAGGTCCTTTGTAAGTGTCTCCTGACAGTTGAAAATCAGAATTTTTAAGAGAAGGCCATAGCGCCGTTGTTTGGGCAAAGTTTCCCTCATAGGATGTTAAATGGCATTTCATTTCTACAGTTTCCCGCAATGATATGTTGTGTTTAATTCTAACTGCCCTAAAAAAAAGTACTACTGTCTGAACCTTGCTATTTTTAAACGGATTCCTTCGAATATGAACAAACTATTTAACTTGGTTATTATAAACTTACCTGTGTGTTTGAAATCAACTCCGGTTAAATAAAATCCATTGCACAATTAAATATCCCAACGAATAAAAAAGTTCTCTCTTGAAGAATTGAACTCACACAAACTTTTCTCATCGGCAATACCAAAATGGAGCCCGATTACGTCACTCTTCGGGAGATATCATTTCATATAATGGGGTGACAGCATGCTACATCGAAACGGTTTACGGTACATTTACGAAAATTCATGGTATTAAAGCCTCGGCTCGGTATTGAGTTTGGGTGTTCGGCCCATATCTCTTTTTTTTTATTACCATCTTTTTACATTCTCGTAAAATCCTTGCAAAGTTTATAGATTTTCTTTCGAAATAATATAATTTTGTTTTAATTATTAATTTAATTTAATTAATGGGAGAATTTTCTTTTGAACACAAATATGGGACAAAGACAACAACATTCGTTTAACAGGCTTTAAATTGTACCCATGAATATCTTTAATATGATATATAAAATGATATATTTGATGTAACATATACGTATAGGGTATTAACAATTATGGGATGATGGTGTGATAAGCTTTTTTATTCGTGCAATGGATTTTATTTAACCGGAGTTGATTTCAAATACACAGGTAAGTTTAAAATAACCAAAGTTAAATAGTTTTTTCATAATCGAAGAAATATGTTTATAAAATAGCAAGGTTCAGACAGTAGCTATATCAGTACCAATACAAACTGATTCCCAGAGTAATCTGTCATACATTAATGTTATATAACATTTAACCATATATATGTATCTGATAATATTTTATAGGTATCCACATGTCAGATGTGTTGTATATACTGGTGATACTGATGCAGAACCATCAGAAATCTTAAACAAAGCCAATCAAAGATTTAACATCAATTTACCGAAAGAGATTACTTTTGTTTACTTGAAAAAAAGGGAAATGGTTGAAGCGAATAGATATCCCTATTTTACACTCCTTGGACAAAGTCTTGGATCTGTTGTATTAGGATGGGAAGCCATGTTATCGTTTGTTCCTGATGTTTACATAGATACCATGGGTTACGCTTTCACTCTTCCATTGTTTAGATTTCTAGGTGGATGTCGTGTAGGTTGTTACGTCCATTACCCAACAATAAGCACAGATATGTTGGAGAAAGTTACTCAAAGAAAAGAATCATACAATAATGCTGGGTTTATATCAAAAAGCATGGTATTAAGTCACACAAAATTATTATATTATAAATTATTCGCTTATTTGTATGGTATTGCGGGCAAGAGGTCAGATGTTATTATGGTGAACTCAACGTGGACATATAATCATATTAAATATTTGTGGCAGGCAGATTATAAAACTGGCATTGTTTATCCACCATGTGACGTTTCAGAATTTCTCACCATCTCACCACAAGCTAAATCATCTGCATCATGTTTAAATATAATATCTGTTGGTCAGTTCCGACCTGAAAAAGATCATCCATTACAAATTCGATCATTTGGAAAATTTGTACAAAATCTTTCATCCAATGACAGAAATCAATATAAATTATTGTTAGTTGGTAGCTGTCGTAACCAAGATGATTCTGATCGTGTTCAAAACCTTAAAGAATTGGCAGAAGAAATGGGAGTTCAAGATAATGTAGAATTTCATCTTAATGTTTCCTTCACTGAATTAAAGAGATTACTGTCAACAGCTACTATAGGTTTACATTCCATGTGGAACGAACATTTTGGAATTGGTAAGTAATTATGCAAAATAAAAATTGTGGAGCATAATCTTCTGCTCAGGTTAAACAGAGGTATAAGCAATTTGATCGGTTGAGGCTTTGGACCACAATAACTTCAGATCTGTTGAACTGAGTAAGAAGGATGCCGCTTGGCATTTTGTTTCATTCTCCCCTGCCGTTCGAAGAAAACATGGGAGTATTAAAATGGGCTCATCTGTCTTTCCATCCATCACAGTAACAAAGTATGATGATGGACATTTTCTGCAAAGTTTACACTGTATTTTTCATGTATCAGCAGGTTATAACAACTGTGTTATTGTCTTCCTTTATTATAAAACTATTGTTCTATTGCTGAATAATTGATGTTAAATCTACTAAAATACCAACATTTGGCTAAACACTAGTTAAATTGCTATGTAATAAAAGAATGGGGAAATAAGTCATGAGATTAACATTCCTTACATAAAATTCAGTAATGTGCAATGGTCACATGTAATTCTAGATTATAAATTTGTATTGTATTTTCAGGTGTGGTTGAATGTATGGCTGCTGCTACCATTGTTTTAGCTCATGATTCTGGTGGTCCTAAATTAGACATTGTTACTAAATATGCTGATAAAATTACAGGATTCCTGGCAGATGATGAACAATCATTTGCAGACAGAATGAAAGAAATATTTAAACTTAGTGATAAAGACAAAAATGAAATCATTCAAAATGCGAGAATTTCAGTGCTACGTTTTTCTGATGAAGAATTTGAGAAAAATTTTATAGACTCCATAGAGCCATTATTAAACTTTGAGGGTGTCTCAGAATAATCATTCTACTTCAATGTTATATGTGGGTTTATTTGAAATAAATGGGTATAGAAACTGATGTATTTCTCTTGTGCTAACAAAGCTCTTATAACAGTCAATTCAAAATGATTGTACAATACTTCAGCCACCAACATTACAGCCACAGAGGTTAGCGCCTATTTTACTTCAGTTGCCTTAACCTTGGTGGTCAAAACTGAGGAGATTTGTAGTGCTCTCAAGCACAATTCAAAGAATAGGAGCTAGAAATATTGATTTTATCTCATTAAGAGGACATATATGACCACAGAAATAAATGTCAATAGTTCGCTTCAAAATGACCAAAATATTGGAGATAATGGGAAACAACTCTCAAATTTAAATTTTACTAACAGATTGTCTTATACATTCTTCTGCAGTCAGAAACAGGGCTATGTTAGATTGTTAAGGGCTACCTGCAAGTATCACAGGGGACCCATCTCTAAAATCAGCAGATTTGTAAAAGATATTGATATATTTTAATCCAGCCATAGAATACAATTTCACAAATGCTATTTTAGGTTTTAAGGTATATTGATTAGAGGGACTGCTAAAGTTGCATCTGATTACTAGTTTTGGGGTTGGCCAGGAGCAGGCCTGTAGCCAGAGTCTACTGTAGACTGTGCCGGGTGTGCCCCACCCCCCCCCAAAAAAAAAACAACAACCTTCACTGCCCCTCTGAAGCTAGCAAGCTGGCTATGACCCTGGGCAGGAGTGTTGGTCTTTTTGTTATACATACATGTAACTTCTGACAATGTCACACCCAATCCAATGATTTGATCTTTTAGCGCACCAAGCACCAGGTCTTTATGGCATGCATGCTCAAAGGTCGCCTTAGAGACAACCTATCTTCTAAAGCTGGTTCAACAGTGAATATTCATATGCATACCCCATCAAATTTGATCTTTTAGCACACCAAGCACCAGTTCTTTATGGCATGCATGCTCAAAGGTCGCCTTAGAGACAACCTATCTTCTAAAGCTGGTTCAACAGTGAATATTCATATGCATACCCCATCAAATTTCAAATTTTGAAATACAGAGTTGATTCCCTTGCATTAGTAGGCTACCTCCTTTTATGAAGCGGTGGTTAAGACGCTGGCTCGCTAGCCTGGAGGTCGGGTGTTCGATCCCTGCATTGGTCGAGAAAGTTCATCCAGATTTTCCGACGTGGTGCAGAACGGAGGGCCTGACAAGGACAGCTGTCTAGTCCTTCGGATGACACGAAAAACCGAGGTCCCGTGTATATATTGGAATGCACGTAAAAGATCCCCTGGCAGTTGGAATTGGATATAAGAGTAGACGATAGTGCTGCTGCCCGGGCAAAATTTCCCTCATAGCACACTGTATGGCGTGTGCCCGTCTTCATTAGCCCAGTATAGGAGTAGGACGTTAAACCCCACTTCATTTCATTTCCTTTTATGAAGCAACGTTTTTCACAGTTAACTACCAATACAAAACGTTTAAATTTACTCAAAAATTTAGGAATAAAGGAGATCAAACATATAGTACATTACATCATTCTTTTTCTACATAAAGTTTAGAAGACCAATAACAAATATGGGTGGCTATTCTCAACAAAAAAGGAATAAAACTCAAAAGTCCGTGGAAATTAAAATCTTGAGGAGCTATATTATAGAAGAGTAGATTATGTTTCTCATTATGTGTATCCATGAAATAAAACTCTTCTGTGCAGCTTTCATTCAACTGTGATTGTAGATTGTCAATTTCAACTTTTAACTTTGGATCTCTTAATCGGGTAATACTGTCACAAAATACACAAACTTTTTGATAAATGCCCTGTCCCGTAACATTCAGGCGACACAATTCATCCCAGTAATCAAGATATTCATTGATAGTCGTAGACAATGTCCTTGTTGGAATTCCAATCCTGGGTATTTTTTGAGCCAGTTCCAACGTATATCTTAATTTACTAATAGATGTGATAACTGGGGGTATCACCCGGGGACAGGATATTTGAATAAGTTTGATTGCGTCAATAAAAGTTTGTCGTCTACGTTTGAACCAATCAGTGTACCGAACACGTAAACTATTTAGATGACTAAGATGTTGGCTGACTTCTTTCTTTAATGTGGCAAGTTCAACTAATTTTTCGTCAAAAGCAGAAAGTTTCACAGGTTGCCACCGTTTCATTTTTATCTGAAATAACAAGACAGAAACGTTATAATGTACCCAGTCCTAGCCCAGTTTGCGACACAGAGCACTCCGTATGTCTTAGTTCCTTTAGTTACTGTCTCGGATCGGATTAGTTCCTATACGTATGTCTATACCTATGCATTTTTCAAATAAAAGGGATGAAATGAGATGGTTTTTAAGCCTAGCTAAGAACCCACCGTGCGTGCTACTACGTGCAGTCTACGGGGTAAATTTTAGTAAACCAGTGCGTGTGACTTACGCGTCACTTTCGTGTGTCCGGCACCATAGAAGATCCGGACTGCATCGTAGAGACTTTTGGTCCTGCACATAAAATTTTTTTAACCCTGTGTTTTGCGGCTGGTCTGCAAGCTACTAGCCGCGTGCGTGGTAAGGCGGGTTGTGAGGTCGGCTTTAACGTCCTACTTTTCTGCTCCATCCGGGCTAATGAAGACGGACAGTATACGCCATGCAGTGTACTAATTGAAATTTTATCCGGACATCGGCGCTACGGCCTACTCTATTTCCAATTCCAACTGTCAAGATTTCGTTCAAGTGCACGTCGGTCTGTACATGGCACCTCGGTTTTTCGTACTATCTGGACTACGAGACGCTGTTCCTTACCAGCTGCTAGACTTTCATTGCTACAGCACTGACAAGTGAAAACCAAGTTGAAAAATCCCGAGGAACCTTGCCAACACCGGGATCGAACCAGGGTACTCTGTGTTCAAATACAAGGGCTAATTGATCTCCTTTAAAATGTAACCTCTTGCATTCATGAACGTCTACAATACAATAAATTGGCAGAATATTAAATTAGATGTAAATAGAAAGGTCAGAGCAAGGGTTAAGTGAGAGGGACTCAATGACGAGCTTTGCGTCATGGTTTTGAGTTTTTGCGCCCCTTGAATTTTTGTGCCCCCTCGCAAATGGCAAAAAATCACGTGGTTTCATTGCGGATTTTCAACATTGTAATCATAATCATAATGCTTAACCAGTGTCAAACATACACCGTGGGTCAGATATGCTATACAAATCGACTCTAGCATGTTTCACACAGCCCAATATTACCCGTCGCACACACATATAAATATTATATTTTGGGGGCCAGGGATCTTGTTCCTCATGTAAAATCCTGGGTCACAACGCCCCTTGATCATAGTTACCTTATTATTTTATTATTATTATTATTATTTTAAAGGAACTAAATAGAAGTGATAATAAAGGCTAGTGTAGCAACTTTGAGCATTTGTTATTAAAGTCAGGATAATTTCTATCATTTTGGGAGATGAAATTAAGCGAGATAAATTACATGTCTACTGTTCCGCATGCAAGGTTTTACTTATGAAAGGTATTACAATGTTTGAATAGACAATAAATATAATTATAAATTAACGTAGAAATAATTCATTTTGTTTTATATTTCGCTGACAACTAATTATCATTTTCTAATTGTCAGACCTTTTAAAGTCTTCAATGAAAAAAAAAAAAAACCCATCGAAAATAAAACTTTAAAGTTTGCTGTTATTCTGTATCCAATAAAACCCCATAGAATTCATAAGTTATAATTTGAACAAATATGAGACAGATCAAAGCGAAAACAAAACGCAAACCTTTTCCGCCATTATACTGCCCGGTCCAATATAGATAATATACTATATAGTAGCTGTCGAATTATAAGCGATCAATTATTGAATAAAGTAAGTTAGAAAGGGTTTTATAAACGATAAAAGATAGGACGTTTGAAGTATATTATTACATTGATAAAATAAATAGTTCTGTCGTGTAGTTAAAGTCTACAATGACAAGAGTTCAAAGTCGTTAAATAGCTAATAAATATAATTATATTTTATTACTCTAGAAAATACAGGAAATTTTTATAATGCTCAGACCTACGTTGAATAGATTTTATTAGTTCAACATACTTTTTAAATTATGCTATAAGCTAATTTAATTTACTCAGAACTGTTTATGTTGGACTACTGAAATTCGAAAAGAGAATAAATATTAAAAGCCTTTCAGAAATTTTTTCCATGATACCAGCTATTTTACTTTCTACCAAGTGGCAATGTAATTTATCGATGGTTAGGTTTGGCGGGCTTTCTATATAACATATAAGTAAGATAATCAAACAAAATTAAAGATAAAGGCAAGGCATTGCTTGGTGTGTATGTTGTTGAAACAAAAGGTCGAAGAATCATACAGAAGAACATCGGGTTTTTTTTTTATCAATATCAAAAACATGTCATTTTTCGGGCGCGATTAAGCAAAACGTCGGAAGGAAAAAAAATATTTTCGGACACATTTCATCAGTTTTTTTAGTTGAAATGAAAAGAATATTTTTGTTAATCAAAGTAAAATGTGTGTAAAAAAAAAAATTCAAGCAAACCTACCGCACCAATTCTTTTTACAGCTTCGGTGGCGTGAGAATCCGTGACAAAACTTTACCAGAATGTTATGAGCAGATTAGGAAACTACTCTTCAGAGAAATGAGTAACGTATTAATAACATAGTTGTGATTAAAGTGATCGATATTTGAAAGTGAATAGGAAAAATCTATATCGGCATAGTTACCTCTTTATTATTTTGTCCAAGTATCAACATTAACTGTCTTATGAAGTAACTTTTTATCTCGTTTGACGGGACATTTCCTTTCACCACAATACAATCTAATAACAACAATGTCTCGATAGATCGTTTTTAAATTACCAGAGTATAATTAACAAAGATATTTACTTGTTATCCGGTCCTCCTCTTACCGTGGGCTTATCCTGAGCACTTTTATTTTAGATATCCTGGAACATAATATGCATACAACTTAACCCTATACTTATCAGGTTTATATGCACACAAACTAAAAATATTCACATTTTTAAGACAGAATTTGCGTCGGTATCTTAAACTCAAAAAGTTCGTAACCCTATACCTAGCAACATATCGATAGTGGATTGATCCACCACCTGACTTTGAATACAATCAATTGACAATTTATTTGACAATCATTTTGTATTGTCCCTTTCCACCCTCAGATAGATATAACAATAAGCTGGGATTTGTTGATCCAAACGATCAAGAAATGAAGTGAATAACCCTACAGGGGATATATAATAGTCATTTCTATTGATATATATAGTATACATGTACTCCTTTATTATACTGATTATTATAAAACATAGGTCACTGCCATTACCTGTTGAAAAGCACAAAGAGGGTTAATTCTAAACAAAATTCTTACTGAAAAATTTAAATCCTACACACTGTAGAACCCATACTCCTCGCAGTGTTTCGTTTGATTATACCTAATCCCACTAAACACTGCTTTAACGAAAGCAAATTTATGTTCCAAATTATGACTGGTCAATGGTCCGATTAACAACCAATAGCTAACTGCATTACAAAAGCATTACGCTTAAAACAGAGCTCCAAATATGTTTACATAACGTTACGTCATGACTCACGATTTTATTATACCCAATTAACCACTGCATAGCAGAATATTTCAGAAAAACTAATAGCGTGACAAAGGAGGCTATCAACTCGAAAACAATGTAAACAATACTGTTAGGAGACGAACATACTTTCACCGTTTTTAATACCTTAAATCACTGTCCAATGTTTTAGGGAAGACCCAGAAAAAACAAAGGACTGTCATGTTGCTGTACATGGGATAGATTGGATTGAACGGGAAGAATAGACACACTCCCTCAAAAGCTCAAGTATCAGAAGCCAATCCAGCAATGGCCAGAGAGGGATTTCTCGGGCCATTGCTTCAGGAATATGTGTAGAACACTGTTTGAAAATAATTCTACCATCCAAAGAAACACAATATGTACCCAATATAATAACCTTTAGTAATTAAAAAAAGAAATAACCATCTTTATAATAAGTATCGATCTTTATTACGGTAGAGGAAAAAAACAAAGCGATATATTACATTAATGAACAAACACTTAACCAATCTCTTAATTTTAATGGTTTTGTAACACTGTTTGGAATCATGGACATCTAGTGTATTACTAACTCATAATTAATTTTAATGAACTGAAACTTTTATAATAATAATCAATAATAACACAAGCTTTGTAACATAATTGAACTGCTAGCCTAGGTCAAGAAAAGTCAAATTATTATTATATTTCATGTAAATCAAAACAAAAGCATACACTACATGATTTTATATAAATGCTTTAAAAACTTGTTCATTATATGGATAACAAAACAAAACCTTAACACTTTCGGCCAATGAATGACTTCCTCGGAGTGTTAAATATGAAATTGTCATTAAATTCAGCAGAAGGAGGTGTGGTTGTCTACACTTTTCCATCAGAATGACATTCTCTTAAAATAAACAAATGGTGAGAAAGGAAAATAGAATCACTAAAATAATATTTTATATCGGATAATCTAAATCTAACTTGAGATTTGTGGTTTAGTTATCAAAATAAATTTTTTATTGCAGATAATCTAAGCATATTTTCTAAAGATTAAAAGACAAAATATTTTAGATAATTAGACAAAGGGAACAAATGGCTGAACATAGATGTTTCATTTGAAACTGTAGATGATCCTCATAAATATTTCTTAGGAAATATGGATACAAAATACCTATTTAAATACTTGTAAAACAAAAAAGTTAAAGAAAAGGAATTGTTTTAAAGAGAAGTACCATTACCAGGAAATTCAATATCCTTAATTACATATACATTTACAAATCTATTTTCTAGGAAGAGCAACATACAATGTCATGTTTCTTTTTGCTGGGATTTAGATCCCATACTTGTATTCTACTAACTCAATCAGAATGATTTTTGACTAATTTTCAAGAGGATCTAATATGAGCATGCTGGATTTGAAAAGTATATTCAAATCACTACAGATACCACTAGTAATACTTTTCTTTATTAAAGAAAATGTGGTTAGATTGCTGGGAAACCAACTTTTAAAAATATGTTCTTTGTTTGCTCTGTGAAGGCTACCCATTAGTTATTTCTTTCTGTTTTACTTTTATATAAATTAAATATAATTAGCAACTATAACAGTAAAAGGTATTTCTTTTTTAATTTAAATAACAATGAAATTAAATAAATTGTAATCAACATGACCTTTGAATAGTTTATTAATAACTATAGCATTTTGTACACTGGAGGCATTGGAAAAATAAGTATTTCTAAAATAATACAGTTGAAGGCAACAACATCATATGAGCTTGCTCAGAACAAAAAGCTTTGTCACACACCATAATTAAGCCAATAAATTTTGGGAAAAAATTCTAAAAAATATTTTTTTATCAAAAGTAACCTCATCCTAATGTGGTAAATCACAGGGAAATGGCTTATAGATATATTATTGATATATCCATCATAATATTTCATTCTATCTTGCGTAACTATTTAAAACTATTACAAGGGTGGTTGCCGTCACCTGTTATTATATTGTCATCCACTGAATTCTCTCTTATAGTGAAGAGCCACCTCTCCTTTCATGCTTATTCTTAAAATATCACCAGTCCAACTTTCCTTAAGAGTTAGCTCAACTGAAGTTCCAGAATATAAAAGAAGAATAGAAATAAATTTAAAAAAAAAACCCAATTAGGTTATTGATGGACATTTATTCAAACTCTACCTTGAAAATACAATTGAAAACAATTAAATCAACTTAACTGGTTGTAACATTATTGATATATATAGGATATTTTAGGAAGAAAACCAATATTTTGTTCACTGTCAACAAAATGATAAATTCCATACGAAAAACTAGCAGATATTTAGTTGAATAGTTTGTGATTTTGGTAAATAATATATTATTATTATTCACTGATAATTTATAAAATTATAAAGTGGAATTATTACAGATTGGTTAAAATGTATATCTTTGGCACACAGTTATTAATTTAATTTAATGGCTCATGTCTCTTAAATTTTTATAAATTGGATAAAACACAAAAATATGGTTTATAATCCTCCAGATAACTTTGTATGTTATGTTTTACAAAACCTTTAGAACATATCAGATTTTTCAAAATTTGTGTGGATTTCATACAGTAAAGACATTTCCATTACCAATGTGATCCTAAATATATAACCATAAATTGGAAAAACATACATAACCTACCAGAAAAAACTAATTTGTAACCCAAAACATTGTCGAGATATTTCAACTAAAACATTTTTGACTATCTACAGATATAACATAGCCGCCATCATGGATAACACTTGCAAAATGCAAATGATGAATGGCTGAGCATTGTGCGAGTTATGTACTTGCTCAAATAGCAATATAAAGCTCAGTGATTAACAATCTGTAATAATTAACTTGTTTAATTTATTGAGGGCTTATGGGCAACTGGAGTCTATAAATTGATATTTTCTGGTCATTACAATTTCTTTCTGATAATAAATAACATAAGAGGGTCACACAGTTGACCCCATTATGCTTGATGGAATCTATCTTTGAATGTAACTTAAAGACTCGATGTGTCATTTAGCTCTATAGGAATCCCTAACAAATTACAATATTGTGAAACTTTAATCTCTAACAAGAATATCAGTCCAAAAATGATTTAATCCGTTAATTATTTACAAAGTTACGATAAACTGAAATTAACAAGACACCACCATCTTTTATTGGTAGTGGAGAAACCAGATGAGACTACTTTAAATCTGATTGAATCCAAGACAGGAGACGATCTCATCTAACGTTGGTATATTGATCAATTTGATATTTTAGCGGAAATGCAAATGATGCATCAAGCCTTTAAAAAAAATGTATGTTTTTAGATGCTGCATCAATTATTCATCAGTTCTAATTTTTTTTTAACAATAATAAATAACAGATAACCAATGCATTGAGATAGCTTCCATATGTCAACAACATGATGTTGTGAAGATTGGATATACTATACATGATGTTTTGAAATTGTGTTACAGTCCTTTACAATAAGGCAAATGAAACAATCTGCAGTAATCTGCACACATAAATAATAATAAACCGGGTGGTAGTAGCTTAATTAATAAGGCTGCAACAATATACAGTAGAATCTGTATGAGCAGCCACTCCTATTCAGCGACATCTCCTTGTAAGCAGTCACAATAAATTCCCCCTGTAAAAATTCTATTGTTTCATCTCTTTATTCAACGGTCACTCCTCTTAACACGGCCAGCGGTCACTATTTTACTCATAAATTCAACAAAACATCGCCCATTCAACGGCTATTGTTGAATGATACCATCTTGTCGTTCTTTTTAACACCCCCGCTAATCCCGTGAGTAGTAGTTAATTAACTGGACCCCCACTGATCAGGTAAAAAGAAATGCAAAAATAGCAATCAACCTGGGATTATCTGTTAAATTAATCTTTTGTTTTATTAAACGACTAACCTGATCATTGTTTTCACGCGTAATGACACATTATTTCATACTGATTGAATAAAATAAAAGTAACGAGTTTTGTCACGATCATCTGGTATCTCTTTTCCATTGCCACTTTGTTGTTAAACAGACGTTTTAGCGCCTCCTGTAATATTACACACGGAGTTACACCCCCTGTAAATAGGTGATAAAATCATCGATGTTTTTTTGTTCACATGCTTTTTTGATAAAATAAAATTAATTCATCGATTTTCTTCACAAAAATGGATAAATATTATCGAATGCATCACAATGGTAGACAGTAGTATCGAAGGTTGGTACAAATGACAAGTTTACAGAAGTTATGTGCGAGACTTGAGTAAAGATTCAGCGACGGTCAAATTTACCGATGCAAGTATTGATGTTCGTTTCCAATGCATCCAAGCGCAATATTTAATTTATGTCAGCACAAAAAGAACCAAGATTATATTAAGAGACCACTCCCGTTAAGCGGTCAGTCGTGAAAATTCCCTTGGGTGGCTGCTTAATGCAGATTCTACTGTATTGAAATATATAGCCATATCAATGGAAATATACAGTGGAAAAATATCCATTTCCTTAATGGGGAAATAAGTATCTCTGTAACCATGCTAAATGTTAAAGATGGGTTCCTGCGTACAAACTGGGTGATTTAATGGTATATATGGACCAAAAACATATTCAAACTAATTAATTTGTCATAATTATGCTTCAAATTCTTCTCAAACATTGTAATTGCGAAGGAATGCCCTGCTATTAAAATTCAATCAAACCAGGTCATGTTTACTTCACGTCTTGGGAGTCAGAGGAGAATTCATTGCATACATAAGACGATGTTGTCTTTAATCGCTTACTATTTATTACAAATATCGAATCCTAATTAAATTCTCGGATTATCCACTACCCGCGTCTTTTTCCGTCATTTTTATCTCAGAAAGTATTGTACATCTAACTCTTCATAATGTTTATCAACTTGTACATCAAGCACTCAATGTTCGCTTGTGACCTTTGACATCATGCGTGCAGAAGTTCCTAATCGTCGGGCTGTTGATTAGGGGAACCCTTACATTTTTGTCTTGTATACGCTCCATGAGTGTTTTTCGGGGAATCCAGTATTTTTCTAGTAAGATTGGATATCTCTACTTTCCATATATACCCAAATTGCCATACTTTTATTGGAAATAACCACCCGATAAACACTTTTCTGGGAACCCATCTTTAAATATACATGTACATTTTAGTTTAGAAATTTTGACAAATTAAATTTATACAAATACTATATCCTTGCTTATCTCTCGATAATATCACTGTTTTAAGACAGTCCTTTTAGAAACAGTCCTTGATATTAATTAAAACCTGATTTTTCTTGAATTAATAATAACAGATTCTTTATCACACTTAGTGATCATAAAAATTTGTTAACTGAAAACCATACATATTGCAACATACTGCAATATAGATTTGACTCTATCGTTGCAGCCTTACTGATAAACATGTATTATAATTTGAGAGATATTGTGTAAAAAAGTTCACAAAATGAACATATATTTATATACTATTTGGTAGAGTGTGGCAGACTAAACTTTGCAACGATAATCTTGTGAAGATGTAGTTCACTATTCACAGTTGTTTCATTGTTACAAATGAATATCAAAGTGTCCTGTCACAAAAACAATTCTTTCTCAGACTTTTTCATCACAATTTTAGTAGCAGGTTAAATATTAGTTTATTAAATATTCTGTAGCTCTCTCCAGATCCCAGCCTTTAGATGATAAAGCGGCACGAGCTTGATGCTATAAGAAAAGAAACAGTATGATATGTTAAGTCGTATTCAAGACTCAAGTCTTGTCTATCAGAACCTTACATTATTATCAGAATGTATGAACTGATATTTATTCATAATAAATTTTGCCACAGATTTGAGTATAATTAAAAATACATATGAAACAAAATAAATCAAAATTACATCCAATTTCAATATAATTCTATAAAGGTTTCAATTGCATTTCAGAATTACGAAGGCCTTTTAGTGCCAAACAAAAAAAATATTAATCCGTTTGAACGAGTTAGTATCTCGTTTGAACGAATTAGTATCTTGTTTGAATGAATTAGTATCTCGTTTGAACGAATTAATTATCTCGTTTGAACGAATTAATTATCTCGTTTGAACGAATTAGTATCTCGTTTGAACGAATTGGTATCTCGTTTGAACAAATTACTATCTCCTTTGAACGAATTAATTATCTCGTTTGAACGAATTAGTATCTCGTTTGAACGAGTTACCCGTAGTTCTGTTCACTGAGCTAGTGAAAATTCAGCTAAGGCACAATCTACCATTTTATTTAATAATTGGGTGCATTTCAAATCCACGTCCTTAATATATCATACATATACCTGTCTAATGCCTGTTTAAGCATATACATGACATAAACAATGACTTCACTACAATGTTGTGGCTAACCCAGGCTAACATTAAACAAATTGGATAATTTCCACGGTATTCTATACTAATTCCCCTTTTCACAAGTGCAGTTCCTTCTACTGGCGCTAACGCCAGAAATAGTAAAGAACCTACGCGCATTAAATCATATTATCTTTATTTGAAAAACACAATTCCTGCATGTCCCTTCCCTGCTTCTGCAGGCTACAATCGAAATATTAATTCGTTCAAACGAGATAACGAATACGTTCAAATGAGATACTAACTCATTCAAACGAGATAATTAATTCGTTCAAACGAGATACTAATTCGTTCAAACGAGATACTAATTCGTTCAAACGAGATAATTAATTCGTTCAAACGAGATAATCAATTCGTCCAAATGAGATAATTAATTCGTTCAAACGAGATACTAACTCGTTTAAACGAGATACTAACTCGTTTAAACGAGCTAATTAATTCGTTCAAACGAGCTAATTAATTCGTTCAAACGAGATACTAATTCGTTCAAACGAGATAATTAATTCGTTCAAACGAGATAATTAATTCGTTCAAACGAGATAATTAATTCGTTCAAACGAGATACTAATTCGTTCAAACAAGATACTAATTCGTTCAAACGAGATAATTAATTTGTTCAAACGAGATACTAATTCGTTCAAACAAGATACTAATTCGTTCAAACGAGATACTAACTCGTTCAAACGGATTAATATTTTTTGTTTGTTTGGCACTAATGGGCCTTCGTACAGAATAGATGAAATACATGGCTTACAATAATTGATGATGTTAACAGTATAAACAGTATCATGTGAATAAAATTTTATTACTCTTACCTCTTCAAATCCCATAGTTTTTAATGACAAAATTTTTGAATCTAAATCTGGGTATGACTTGGGACCTGTAAAGAGAAATAAATAGAATTTAGGACAACATATTACTGTAACACATACAATTATATTAAATGTGATACTATGGCAGGAAAGTTGTCTAAAAATTATCTCAATTTACTTACAGAACATAATAAGTTATCTATCCCTTATACTCAAGAAAATTAGATGCTGTGTTGATAAGTGGTGTTTAATCGTATAACATTTCGGTCTCAATTTCCTTCATCCGATACATACAATAAGACCATAAACAGGAAAAGAATTTACTCACAAAAGACTACAGATATATTTCTTCAGATGAAGATTTCAGAACAGAATATATCTACAAACTGACACTTTGTATTGCCACATATTGTGACACTACGTGGACGAACGTGACTATCTAATCAGGAATTTCCAGAAAATGGCCTGTAACACTAGGGTGACACTTATCTCGTCAGGACTTTTACGCTGCATATAAAACTTCAAGGATCAATTGACTCTGGAACACTTTTTTGGTTTAACTATATTTTATATCTTTATAACATCCATAATACAATGGTTATATACAGGAAACTACACACACAGCTATGGAATTAAATATAAGCTAAATATAAGTTCTCTATCCCCTGGCTTGGGTTTTGCGGCATTACGCTCTTCTTTCTAAGTCTACATGATGATCGCCCCCTCTTAAAATCCTACGAACTCCGAATGATGTCTTCACCCTAGCCTCTAAGCCAAGGAGACTGTGGGTATGAGGTTCCCCTAGGAACTCTGAGTGATGTCTAAAGAAACTTCAACCCTGCACGTTCCTTATAAAGAGGATACATGCATGAGTTATGTACTGACCAGGTACTTCCTTTGTCTGATTGAGCAGTTGCACAGAAGCTACCCTGGATTTAAACACGATGTTCTAATATGGACACCAAGGAGGATGAGCAAATGACGGGTGTCCACTTTTCTAAAGTGTGGGATTCCATATTTGGATAAGTGTTTCATTAATCCTATGTTAATAAAAAATGAGCTAATCTGTGCTCCAGGGACCTCCGACCTGGTGTCTTATCATAACGTAATAGGCCATCATTTAACACCCCAAGATAAATGGTGGCATAGACATCATTAACGTAGTCGTGAGAGGATATCATTTAACACTCCATTTGTTTAACCACTTCAATGTATTAAACAGTACATGATTTAGAGAACTTAATAACCTCTACAGTATATATATTATTACAATATAACCTAAACCATTAACCCAATCATTTAGTGTTATACCATACCTCCAGCATAAACTGCTGTCCAATGATGCGCTGTCTTTTCAAATATACTATGATTTTCTTTATACTGCTGGGCAACTACTGCATCTTGTGGATCATCAGGTTCGGCTGCAGCCAATAAAGCTTGTAATGAAAGTAAAACCGTTCGTAAGGTCATTGCTGCAGCCCTGAATTAAAAGAAGTCATTATTATTCGATATCATTATCACCCAAAATGTTAAACAATGGCATAAAGTTTAGGCGGTATAACACGATAAATACGTTGATCACTTAATTACCTGATCAATCCAGCGTATTATCAACAATAATCGTGTTGAGTGGTAGTTATACACTCAGTAAACTATATTAATTTTGGAATTTTGAATATTATTCACCATGTCTTGATGTCCGATTGGGCATATTCCCGGTCGGACAATTTTTGGCGTTTGGAAAATGGCGTCGGACACGTCCAGATACAGGCGAAATCCCATCCCTGTCATAAACTAAGATTTGGGATTTAAACACTAACGAACTAGTACCAGATATTTGGAATTTTGTGGTACACATGTGTTGATGATATCAATAATAAAAACAGATAAAAAAAACAAATCATTGACTCGGGGGACAATGTTAGTTCAACCATAAAAGCATTTCAGAACATAAGCCAAATTTTTGTTTTCAATCTTAAATGAGTACCAACAAGTTAAAATGTAAGAGAACTCAGATCTATGCTTTAGTCAGGTGGGTACCTACCATTGATCTTTTAATATATCTAGGCAAATAGCCCCAGTAACTGAACTTATATTTGGATGCCATATTTTTGTTAGAAATTTTACCTGCAATAGAAAGGTATTTTTTCAGCACAATATGTCACAAGTATTTTGTAATAAGCTTATCTTAAAGTAACATGTTAACCAAACAATTCATTTCAATCACTATTCAATTTAATCCACATTCAATGTACCCCACTTAACTTGTCCGATGTTCTGCGTTTATATAATCAATATAATCAAGCTAGACATAATTTAAGAAGTAGGTCCCATGCATTTTTCGCTACCTTTTAATTTACGGTAACTTCATCTCATTCTTTACTTCTTTCAAAACATTAGTTAAGTTAATATTATATCAATTGCAAAAGTGAGGGCTTTGATAGAAGAAGGTGGATACTCTCTTATTGTCTAAATAATACATTTTCTACAATACAATACCTGGTCTTAAGATAATTCTAAACTGTTGAAGTGGGAAAGTAAAAAGTTATTTGTACTCACTATTGGGGGATTAAAAGGGTATGTTTCTGGTATTTTAATTTCTAAATGAAATTGACCACCAGCATATGGTGTATCTGGAGGTCCTGCTATCTCTCCTCGTAACTCATTAAATGTATCATTTACCAATTCTACTTTTATATTACAAGCTGCAACCTGTTAAAGAACAAAAATTATATATCTATTTTGAAGACATTTTACCTGAATAAGCAAGGGTGATATGTACTTTGTACAGTAATGAATAACATATAAAATTGCTGAAATATGGTCCTTTCCAGTAAAATTGTACATATAAAATGTGGGCATATATAAATAAACTCATAGAATTTTTAAAATATTAGTATTTCAAAAGGGTCATATGCATGTAGTATACAACCATTGCTCACGCTGTCGATCGCCATTTCCGCCAATTGTGATAAAAATATAATTTTGGTGATAAAATATAAAATTTTTTCTGTATAGTGATTCTTTTTTAATCATGGCGATAATTTTTCTTTTTTTGCCACAAAACTTTAATTTCCAGCCCATTACAGTCTATTTCGTTTGGCAGAGTCAGTCATCAATCAATAAGGCCAGGTATCATGAATAGAGCTATCTTTTGTCTATTAATTCATCTCGGTTTAGTGTTGATAAGTATTTACAGTAAAAGTGGTAATAAACTAATTAAGAGACCAAAGATTTAATTAATTGTCTTCAAATACATATCAGTGTCTTTTTTGGTGGTTTCTATATATAATCTATTGCGCTTGGCTGAGTCAGTCATCAATCAATTGGGTATCAAGAATACAACTATCTTTTGTCTATTAATTAATCTTGGATTAGTGTTGACAAATATTTACAGTAAAAGTAGTAATAAACTAATTAGGAGAGAGAGAGGGGGGGTTTAACATCCACTTGACACAAACTAGGTCATTTTGAGACTAACACATGCTTCAATTTTATTTTAATAATTCGCTTGAGCATTGGGGTCTTTAGCAGTGGGAGGGAGGAAAGCAGAGGACCCAGAGAAAACCCACGAGGTTGGACAGGCGACCCTACTCTTTGTCACGTACAACCGGGGAATCGAAACAACGCCAGGTGATTCAATGACAGACCGTATGATATAACGCACACATGCTAACCAATCAGCCATCCACCCCCCCCCCCCCCCAACACCCTAAACTAATTAAGACACCAAAGATTTAATTAATTGTCTTCAAATACATATTTGTGTCTTTTTTGATGGTTTCTATATATGATCAAACTGGCAGACACTATATGAACAATATTCGATCGATTTGTTTGGGATTATGATGTTTGTTTGATCTTTTTCTTACTGCAATTGCCGGAAACGTTAATAAATGAAGCGAAAAACTAAACTGCCTTCTTCGACGTCCGATAATAACAGAAGAATGTCAGATTATTTTAGTATGCCACCACCAAAATGCTCCAAGACTAAAGATGATACTCTCTTCCATCTGATGATATTATATTCTTGGATGTTGAAGTGATTTTCACTTCCACAATAGGTCTAGGCCTACCTCAAAAGTCTGCGGCATTTGATATTTTTCATTGCCCAAACTCAAACGATCGAAATGATGTGCTTTGTTTTGATTGCAACACGTGGTGTCAAAATCTCTGTCAAAGTTAAACTACCCATGCAACAGCTTCACTGAATCGAAAATACAAGTAAATACATCAAATTTTATTTTTCAAGAGAGAATTGCGCAATGGATTTTATTTAACCAAAGTTAAGTAGATCTAGTTTGTTCATAATCAAAGAAATCCGTTTAAAATTTACAATGGTTTAGAGTTCAGACAGTACGGTAGTTATCAATTTATTTACTTATGTGGTGAGCTATCTCAATTCGAACAGAGTCTCAAAATAAAAGTCTGAGTATGTATGAAATTTAAGCGCCAAAATACAGAGGAATGGTGTTTTTATCTTGTCTCAAAATTTCAGCTCAAAATATTGAGTCATTTGGACGTGAATGTAAAAAATGCTTATCCGGACACGTAACCCTTTAAAGATTTCCGGTTAAATTTTTGGTTGAATGACCTGATAATTGATTCCTGTTCTTTTACTCTTTTAGAGGTCTATACAGTGAATAACTCATGTGTTGTACTTGATAACAAAAGGTAAATTTCACCTCACATTATTTTTATAAAATAAAAGGCTGGTTTTATCCAGACACTGCATAATACAGCTTGGGACACCGGTCTCCATTTCCAGATGAAGACTGACGGGTTTAAGTTGTTTGAAAACATATCACAAATATTGAGTTAGTTGCACGGCCATTATGTAGAGCATTTTAAGGGATTTTAACACAAAATTAAGCAGTTTTATTCTCCAACATATTATTGGGATTGGCCCTTTAATATAGAGTGAAGCTCTAAAGCACCGCGCAATTGAAAATGTCACCCACAGACTGTTGATTAAAAAAAATTTCAGACCGGAACCGGATACACTGGGCAAAACAGGCAATGCGCATGTCAACTTACCAAATCTCGCCCAAGCGAGATCACGTAACAAACAAAAATAATTCTACCCACCATTTCTATGACTATTTCTATGACGCGTCTAATCAATGACGTCACATATTTTTCAAGTCAATGAAAATAATTCTCACACTTTTTTGTTCTTTTTTTTTAAAAACAAAATTAATGTATAAAATTGAGATCTAATAGTAAATAAAAATCAATTCAGAAAAACTAAATTATTTAACATTTTTTGTATCACTTGAGAAAATTAATTATTAAGGTTTTGTATTTGACAATAATCAGCTTTGCTCTACTCAGGCAATGCCTGTTACATATTAACTTGTTTACTTGTTTAGTTGTTAAATTAAGATTAAAAGTAGGAAAGTTTCCCATACTCGTTCTAAATATGCCCAAGGTATTTAAATAACAGATTATGGAAATTAACAGGGAATTCAGACTGGTCTTTGCTTGTCATATTCATTGATGTTCATGTAGGTAAAGACCTATAGACCTTTTTTTTTTCTAAACAGTGACAATGAGTCTGAGTGACCTGAATTGGAATTGAATCAGTGAATCGTCAATGGGGTGGGATATTGTACATATTTCTCCTCCTTTATATCCATTTTGAGGGAAATATACCTCATCACTTTTGACAACTTCTTTGAATTCTCTTCTAATTCTAGCTTCAGCTATATTAGTCATTGTGTTACAATAAACTAAGTTAGAAATAAAATAAGTTCAGAAAGTAAGAATTATGTAGCATCTCTTATAAACAACTTCCGGTCTCTGCGAGCTTGCGCAATGAAATACATGTACTTTCATACGGATTGGTTTTGGAATATGGGTTGACTTTTTGTACAAAATAATTTAACCTTGTCCTCCAAATCGGCCTTTCTCACCCAGATCAAACCATGTAATATTTTATTTATTTATTTATTTATTTATTTATTTATTTATTTATTTATTTATTTTTTTGCTTAATCACTTAAAATGCTAAAAAATGTCAAACCGATAGCACTATTCGAACACGCATTTGGGATATTGAAAGCTTTGGGTAGCACGTCATTTCGGTCGCGCGTCATTTCGGACTCAACACAAACGTCTTTTCGGAAGTTGAAAAACTGTATGTATATTTTAGTAATAATGTACCAGCATTTTCTTTTGTTTTAGGTGAGGCTAAAGAAAGATCATTTACAATAATAAAGAAATTAAACATTGTTAGTTGTCTTTTATTTATCCCATAGAGACCCTCCATCAAGGCATTGGCCTAATAAACACCTACACAAAGTTTGAACATTCTAGCTCAATTAGAAGGAGAGTTATTGTGTCCCAAAAAGTGTGACGGACATACAGACAGACAGATAGATGGATGGATGGACAATGGACAGACAGACGGACGAACCCATTTTAACAGTCCCCTGCTTTCTTCGAAAGGCGGAGGACAAAAAAGTTCTTGTCTTTCTACCAATTTTCAACTCTTTGAGTGTAAAGGATTTAATTAGTTTAAACATATTTTATTGACAAATATCAAAAGGATTGAGCACAAGTTTCAAAAACTTAGAAAAGCCCTTTCCATACATAGAAATGATAGACATTATTTAATACTAACAAGATTTCGAAATAGTATATACAATAATAAATAATTTATAAGTAATATAAGTAAAGTCAGATGAATTATATCTCAAAGCTCTATATAAAATAAGTGAAGAGGTGATAAAGAGAATATAAAATTATATTTAAAACATTGAAAAATAAAGTTTAATAAATGGTATATAAATGAACTGATGCATGTATAAAATGATAAAAAGAAATAATAATAAAAAATAAAAAAAAAAATGGGGGGTGGGGGGTGCGGAAAAAAAAAAAAAAAAAAAAAAAAAAAAAAAAAAAAAGTTATCCACCAAAAAAGCTAAAGCTAATAATTTATTCTAAGATGTAACTACTAACAATAACTTTTATTTAAATTTAAATCGTTTTGAAAGTTTGATATATTTGTGAACTTCAAGGAAAAGGTTTGTATTCATCTCCATTGACAATTCTGAATTGCCGCACAATAGGATATCTATATTTATCACAGAATAACTTGACAATGTATTTAATAGTTCAGCACGAATTACATCATATAAGTGACATTGCAGGAAATAGTGTTCGGCATTTTCTATAAATTTGCCACAAGAACATGTGGGATCATTCACAACGTTTATTTCATACAAATCATTTTGCAACGAACTACACCCATGCCGTATTCTAGTGTGAATAATATTTTCATGTCTATTACCTTTACAGTAGTAGATTGGCGCTTTATGTATTAAGGAACGTAATTTTTGTTTGTATAGATATTTGAAGGATTTAAGAGTGGTTGATTGCTTTATGGGGTCCTCTAATAATTCCCAATCTCGAATTGTTGTGGGGAAGTACGAAGTTTGGTGTAATGCTGTTCTACAATAAGGATATCTATATTCGCTAATGTTTCTTAAATTGTATTTTTGTGGTGTTTGTTGATAATATTCTAGAATGTCATATAAGTATGCTGGGTTTCTCTGATTTTTAATTTGAAAAAATGTGGTTTAATTTAATTAAATCAACCTGTCCATAATATAATATTTATTGTACTGGACATAATAAACAACAACAACAACATATTCCAGTTCTAATCATTCTCAATAATATAGCTACGAATCTATTGTGGATAGTAAAATATTGCGTAAAATGTGCCGATCCTGTCCGTGCTCGACAAGAAGGCCTCCTGTCATTTATGTAAGTTTTATAAAATAAATGTATGTTTTATAAAATAAATGTAGCGTAGGCTACCTGGAATCCAGAAATAAAGCTTTTTTTTAAAACCAATAATGTATGTTATGCCCAGCATTAACATTTTAAAATTTTAATCATAAAACACTTCTTGCGATTGATTCCACCCACAGTAGCTTACACATCGCAATAAAATTGGTCTCCAAAAGCCACCCTTTTCAAGAGAGTTTATGGGAATGATAGCTAGACCGGGCTTTGCCAGGTGGATCTATATAGTACCATCTCATATTTTGAAACACGGAGGGTTGAGAGATGAAGTTTCTTATCTAGGACTTGCCATGTTAAGTATAGGATAAAGCCATCCTTTTCAAGAGAGTTTATGGGAATGATAGCTAGACCGGGCTTTGCCAGGTGGATCTATATAGTACCATCTCATATTTTGAAACACGGAGGGTTGAGAGATAAAGTTTCTTATCTAGGACTTGCCATGTTAAGTATAGGATAAAGCACGAGACTGAAGTTATACTGGGGAAAGAAAGACGGAAGAATAGCCCGTTACAGGTTTAAAGAAGAATAACCTCAAATTCCCCTGGATATCCAAACCGCAAGTTATTCCGGGCATAGAATATACCCCAAAGATCAAAGAGATTTACCGTTATAGGTTTATAATAAATAACTAATAAATAATCTATATAAAATTTAAGGCCTAAAGAAGGACCTGCAATGGGCAGATTGACCCGGTTTGTTCTCACTTTCCCAGCAGATTAACCATACTAATTAAGCGGATTAGGGATTAGCTATAGATTAGTGAGTTATACTCTGTTTTAATTATTGCATGAACAGTTCAATTCAACCTATGACATGTGTGAACTATAAATCACTGTCTGAATTTTCGTTCATATGTCAGTTTAATTTTATACTTAATTACGCTGAACTTTGTTTGTGATAAAGGTTTATTAAATAGTTGAAAGTTCAAAGTGTATGTCATTCCAAAATGGCCAATGCACAGGTAAACGTTAGGTTCATTCCAAACTCGAGAGGTACTCGAAGCCTAGTTAATGATAATTATAAGTTTAGTGTTCAGACAAGAAGAGGAGCCCCCATTAACTGGAGGTGTACTGTTCGTAAATACCCTGCTACTTGCAATACCAGGAATGACCTGGTTACTACCTACAGAAACATCCATAATCATCAAGCTGATCCAACCAAATTAAAAGTTGACATGTTTTTATCAGCAATGAAAGAATCGGTTAAAGCAGATTCTAAGCCAATTCCAGCAGTTTACCAAGAAGACTTTATATGAATACGGAAATTTGATATCACATTTAGTCGGATTTTAAATATACATGTACAATACTAAATTTGTTAATAAAATAACTTGTATGTAAAGTAGTTATTATTGATATGAAAAATATATATGTACATGCTAAATTTGTTAATAAAATAACTTTTATGTAAAGTGGTTAATATTGATATGAAAAAGACTATAGTTTTAACACCATTGTTACCCTAATTAGTACTGGTCCAATGATTTTACCTGGAAAACAATAGCTGCTGGGAAAGTGAGAACACCCCATTGAGCCCTTGGATAATGCCGGTTTAATTAGTGCCAGGCGATGGACTTAAATTTCGAACAAAGAGAGAGAGGGGGAGAATTGGGGTTTAACGTCCACTGGACACAGACTAGGTCATTTCGGAACTATCATATAGTTTAATTTTATTTCAATAATTCGTTTGCGCGTAAGGATCTTTAGCAGTGAGAGGAAACCGAAGGACCCGGAGAAACCCCTCGAGGTAAATTTCGAACACACTATTTAAGGAAATTTAAGAGGTGTTAGTGTTACCGAACGTAGCAATCAAGCCAAAACAATGCTCATCCTTTACAGCTTCGAATAATATAAAGTTCTAAATGTCGATTAGAGCTAAGCGAAAAACCCCAAAATATGTTTCTTCAGTTTTAATTTGTACATATAAAGAAAACGGCGAGACAAACGCAGTGATGCGAAATATATATATATATATATATGCATTTTTAATTACATTTTCGAATATCCACATTTGATCGAGCACACCAATGTCTTGCGAACTTTCACTCAAAGATATGTTTCAGTCCGTTATTCTTTAAACTTATTATCATAAAAGTCTGCCATTGAGTCGACTGGCGTGGTTTCGAATCCCCGGTTGTACTTGACAAGGAGTAGGGTCGCCTGTCCAACCTCGTGGGTTTTCTCCGGGTCCTCCGGTTTCCTCCCACTGCTAAAGACCCCTATATACGCTTAAGCGAATTATTGAAATAAAATTAAACCATATGTTAGTCCCGAAATGACCTAGTTTGTGTCGAGTGGACGTTAAACCCCATTTCTCTCTCTCTCTCTCTCTCTCTCTCCCTCTCTCTCTCTTTAAACTTATACATGTATTGTAAAAGAAAATTAACCGTGCATATATTTTATAAAGTTTTTATTTTATTACGTCCGAGGCTTTTTTAGAATGTCAACTGAGAAATACTCCGAAATATAACCTGCCAGAAAATGGGCAATCGATTTTTAAAACCTTTTTCACATCATTTACCACCACCTAATATCGATGCCACTCGGTAGAGAGTCCACTGAATGTGTGTCCTCGTCACGCCCTTGAATAATAAATGATGTGCCACTGCAGCAGGACGATTTACCCAATACTACAGATACCACCCCAATATCACCACATAATGGTGCAAAATGAGCATCTTATCCGATGTTTTTTAAACTAATGAGATGTATCGTGGAAATGTACTTCAAGTGCGATTGCCGATGTCTGGTACCCCACCCGTCACCAAAACAAGCAAATCAGAATTCAATACTACCAAATACTTATCAAATACCAGTCAATATTATTTAATAACAACCTAATATCGTCAATAGCAGCGCATCAGTATAATTACTGCAACGAATATTCGATAATTTGCAGAAAATTGAAATATTTACGCAGTTATCTACCTTTGCAACTGATAAATAGATTTTAGATTCCTACTCAGATTAATCATCTTGATGGAAATGATATGAAATGAAATGGAGTTTAACCCTACTGTTTTGCTCCGTACTGGGCTAATGAAGACGGGCATACCCCATACAGTGTGCTATGAGGGAAATTTTGACCGGACAGCGGCACTACGGCCTATTCCAACTGTCAAGGGATCTTTCACGTGCAGAACACCAATGCGTACACGGGACCAGGGGTTTTCGCCCCATCCGAACGACTAGACAGCTGTCCTTGTCCTATATCACTGACAACCCTGTAAACCCTGTTTACATCTCGTGACCTTGACGAAATCTGAAGGTGGTCTTGAGCAGGTTTTGTCACGATTTGATGACAAAAAAGTTACTGGCCTATAACTCCCTTAATTTCCAATTAAACCGACCCCAAACTGTATTGCACATAGCTTAAAGATATAATAAACCAATTTCCATTGAAATAAGAGTGAAACCTTACCGCATAATTATTATATGATTTTGAAAAAAACACAACTGCTACGCGAAATTTCTGTCCATTTTAAAATGACCGTTATAGAACCTTTTAAACCTGTAACGGTAAATCTCTTTGATCTTTGGTGTATATTTTATGCCCGGAATAACACACGGTCTGAAAGTCAGGGGCGGCTTTGGATATACAGGGACATTTGGGGTTATTCTTCTGAAAATTTAACCTGTACCGGGTTATTCTTCCAGGGTAGGTAATTTCCCATAAGAAAACATGATATAAGGTTTTTCTTACAGGAATTCTGGGATATTCTCATCTTGCGTACATGTAAACTTAGACGATTTATAAGCAAGATAAAGTCCTCGACTTCGGTTATGCCGGGGAAGAAAGACTTCAGAAAAAACCCTCGGCCTGCTGGCCTCGGGTTTTCTTTTTCTCGGGTTATTTTCTTCAGTCATTCTTTCCCCAGCATAACCTCAATCTCGCGCTTTATCCTACACAGAATTATAACACGCACGTGATTTCACGTCACCTTAAACATACAGAAAAACTGTTCGATTGTAAATTGACTGGCAGAAAGTTGCCAGTGAATTGACTGTATTTTAACATTGACTTGTAAATTTACAATTAAGTGGTAGCTTTAGATTTACAAACACCATGTAAATTTACAGTGAGTGTAAAATAACTTGTTCTTGTAAATAGAAAGTGAGGTAAATTTACGTTCACTGTAAATTTACACTGTGGTTGTAAATTTACCTCAAAGTTATCTTACACTCACTGTAAATTTACACTGTGGTTGTAAATTTACCTCAAAGTTATTTTACACTCACTGTAGATTAACGTGGTGTTTGAAAATCTAAATCTACCATTTATTTTAGGGGTACATTTACAAGTCAGTGTTAAAATAAAGTGATTTTACTGGCAAAATAATTCTCACACTTCACTTTTTTGTTCAAACAAAATTAATCATACAATTTGGATCTAAATTAAAATCAATTTGGAAAAACGAAATTATTTAACATTATTTGTATCACTTGAGAAACTTAATTATGAAGTTTTATATTTACAATGTAACAACAATATCACATCAGCTTCGCTTAACTCAGGCAATTCCTGTTACATATTATAATTATGAGATGTGTAATGCTTTAATGCTTATTCGGCTAACAACCATTACTTAGGCATAGCCTGTCTTTCATGGTGACGAAAATGCAGAGGCCGAAGAGACGGATTTTGGCGGGGTGTTTTCCCCATAATTTCAACCATAGAAATCCTTCCCACAAATCTTTCCATCAGCTTGACTTGTGGTCGACTTCTCTTATAGAATGACTGGATAATCGAATACGTATATCCCGCGAAAGGGCTTGATGCCAGAAAAGAAATCGAGGACGTTGACTGGAGAGATAAATAACGATAAAATGCCTAATATCAAAGTATTTAGTGGCACTACACATCCCGATTTAGCGGCAAAGATATGTGAGAGACTGGGTATTGAGCCAAGCAAGGTGGTCACAAAGAAATTCAGCAATGGCGAGTGTTGGTGAGATTGTGTTAATTTATTTTAGTTAACCAGTTTCGTCCATGCGTGATGCCAATGCTTACTGTAGTAAGGAGGCCATAAAGGGAGACAGTCACTTATGCGTTTGTTTACAGAACTACGTTACTACGTAGTTCTACGTTTTATCGGATTAAAAAAAAAACACGAAGAGGGAATTATATGATTGAACGGCACAATATAGTTCAATATTGTAGATTGATTGTCTATAGATCTAATTTTTGCTAATGAAAAATAAAAATATTTGATCAATTTAAATTTAAAGATGCATTCCCATTTATTTATAGGGTAGTTATTTTCCAATAATAAGTATTGCAAATTTGATATATCGAAAATAGACACCCACTCCCATTACTATTAGAAATATATACCGGTACTGGATTGACTGGAAAACACCCATAGGACAAAAATGTAAGGGGACTATTAACTTAGTCTTGTTGGCTGTCCGTTTGATGTTTCATCAATGGTTGTATGAATGATGTAGGAAGTGTTTGGGTTTGTTGATTGAATGGCTAGCGGTTGTGAGAACAGATCTGTGGGTAATCCACTAGTAACACTAATGCTGATTAGTTAATCAAATGTCTGACGTCATAGGTTCACTTGCCGCTCGTATGACCTCTGACGTGACCTATCGCAACAACCGATCAGATCTTCATGTAGTGTAGGCCATCAAAAGTATAAAAAAACAAAACGAAATTTAGATCTGTATTTTAATCAGATTGGATAAAATTTACAGCTTGGCTTGCATGGGATAGTTTCTTCTGATTAAAATTCTTCGTGCTAGAGGGATTGAATCAAACTTTATATAACGTCCTGGACAACTGCCACTCACCGTGTGTAGGCCGTAATATAAAGTCCTGGAGGTATTTTCCCCAACTTATTCTTCGAACACGATCGCAGCGTGTAAGACGTTATATTACGCCTGGTCGAGGAAATCTAATTGAAGGGAGACAACTCTATTTACCGTTAGTTTTAATTTGGTTTCAGACTACCAAATTTTGTATTCAGGAATGAAAAGGTCCAAAATGACGTTTTTCATCAAATTAATTACGCAATAGGGGGTAGTTAACGTTTTAAAAACTACGTAGTTAAGGGGTTAAGAAAGTAATTTAAAATCTTTGTATAGAACTAAGGAATTTGTTTGATAGCGATTCGTGAGTGCTGAAAAGTGGAGGATGTGCAATCATATGATGTTAATCTTTTTATGCGAGTCGCCTTATTTCATTTGGCAATATCGCCTCAAATAATTCATTTAGACATCTAAAATCTCACAGATTATTGTGAGGAAGGTAGGGATGGAACTGAATAATATAAATTGAAACCGAATGGAGTTAATCTCCTCATACCGCCTTGTCTCCCCTTAATGAATAGTTGTGAAAGAAAACATACTCTTGAATTTAATTTCTGGGTTAGAGTGATAATGTCTCTTTAAATTCCTTCATTATTAATTTCAGTGTGGAGGTTGGTGAATCTGTTCGAGGAGAAGATGTATATATTGTACAGAGTGGATGTCATGAAGTTAATGATATGCTTATGGAATTGCTAATTATGATCAATGCTTGTAAAATAGCTTCAGCTTGTCGAGTTACTGCCGTCATTCCGTGTTTTCCGTATGCACGTCAAGACAAAAAAGACAAGGTAGATTTTTTATGTTGAATGATTTCAGTAAGCCCAATGTACCATATTATTTATTTGTCATTTATACTTTCAACAGACACTAACCATTTATCAGTAACTTCAAATTCTTACTGTAGCAGCAGAAGCAGACAAGTAAATTTCAGTCTAGCGTTGTCTGTTTCTTTTAGTCAATAAAAACACATTAGTGTACGACTGTGCACTAATTGGGTTGAATACAATATGGTAGCTGATTCTTATAATGTTTTTAAAGCGCCCCCATCAAATGATCAAATTGGGGTTGTTATTGTGGTTTGACTAATGGTTACTTGTTAATTATTGATTTAAGATGTGGAACTGGAATATAAAAATGTCCAGGTGTTGCTATGTGGTTTTTACTGCGAGCACTTTACTTTTCCACATAAAGCCAGCGGATTCTTTTTTCCGAACTGTTTTTTTCTATCCGCTCTGACGACGCCAAACATCAGTCAGTTGGACCTCCTGTGTTAACCTTATTATGACAAAAGGAGAAGACGACCCGCCCTCTCTTCTCACGACAGCGAATTTATAAGTGTGCTTTAAGAAACTTTTGGTATCCGAGGACTTTTTATTTTGTGTTTATAACAATTTTCAAGTGTAAATAATTTAATTAAATCAACCTGTCCATAATATCATATTCATTGTATTGGACGTTAAATCTTTAATAAACAACAACAAGAGCAAAGTCTTGCATCAGAAAAATGGTAACAGGTTGCATGAATTCATAAACACTTGAAGATATAATAATATTGTCTTAGATTTCTGAGTATATTTCTGCTTAAAATGTTGTATTTGGACAAGTAATATATTATTATATTATATACATTATTGTGATTAGAGTGGATTTTCTTGACCTATCAATATAAAACCTTTTGTAATTGATAATATAGCCTTGAAACAGAATTGCATTATTATTATTTCCAATAATCTGTTTTTTTTAAATGGGGGGGGGGTCACCTTTAATTTTGCATATAGTTTACACTTGCTCTTTAGAATTTAGATCATAAGGGTTCTCCCACTGCGAGCTAGCAAATTATTGATATAAATTTAGTCCAGATATGACCCAATTCTTCTCAAACTCCCCACTGTTTATAAGCAGCTCTATTTAGAATCTAATAAAACTGTCAACATTTTGCAACAATTTCATTTATAGGCTATTTTTGGACTTTTGCATGCATTGTTTTTAATTAAGTAAAAAGATAGCAATTGTTTAAATACACAATGCAATTTTCAAATGTACATTCTAAAGTACATGTACAATGTTTAGATTTCTTTTTTGGTCAAGATTAAGATTAAATTCATAAACGGTATGAATAATCAGAAGAATTTGATGCATATTGTGATTTATACTTGTCATAGGCCTTTGGAATAGGTTTATCCTAACAGTTTACAATGAGACAGATTTAGTAGCAAAAAATATTGCAAGGTTTTGTTTATGTTCAATGACCTTTTGAACTTCAATCATTCAACATACTAATAATACTAATCAGTGTAGATAGAGTCTTATTACTTCTTGTTAAATATATTTCTTCTTGGATAAGCCAAATAGATCAATTTATATATGTAGGTTTTGTGATATGGTCTTATTGAATGTTTTCTCCATTTGTTTCATTCCTCTAACATTGTATTGTAGTTTTATACTGTCAATTAAATACAAGGCTTTTATAATAAATTTTCAATGGGCCTTACACCCCATTAAAATACAACTATCGAATAGTTGGATATTTAATAATACACATTATTTTAGATATTGTTTTCTCTAACCATTAGTTAATTAAAAAAGAAATCGAATTGCCTTTTATTTTCACACCATTGATTGTATATCCAGACATAATAGATAAACAAATTTATAATTTAATGTTTAGTTAAATGTTTTTAAACATTCAAATATTTCAGAGTCGTGCCCCAATATCAGCTAAACTTGTGGCTAATATGATAACGGTGTCAGGTGCTGATCATATCATAACAATGGATCTACATGCTTCACAAATTCAGGTCAGTAAGCTCGTGAATTTATGATATTTTGTTGGAGTCTTTTTATTTTAAACAATATTTTTATTCAGGTTGTCTGAATGGGATTGGGGAACAGGCTTAGCCTATGTAAAACCCCTCTCCCTATTTTGTTGGAGTCACTCTGAGTCTGTTGTGAAATTGGGTTTGGATGGTTGGCCATTGTTAATCAAAACTTTCAAATGAAATCTGGTTCTTTCTGCATTGCATTAAATTTGTCCCATTCTCTAAAATAAATGGTATAGACCTCATAAGGACCACAAGCTAAACAATGTGTACCAAAAGACCTTCAAACATTTTTCATTTTTTGTTACCAGGGTTTTTTCGATATCCCAGTAGACAATTTATATGCTGAGCCTGCAGTATTAAAATGGATAAAAGAAAACATACCTGATTGGAGAAATTGTTGTATAGTATCACCGGATGCAGGAGGGGCCAAAAGGTTTGTTTAGGGAGGCCATTATATAATCGCCATTTAACAAATATTATTCACTCAATATCCCTGTCATTTATGGTAGATGATAATAATTTCATTCATTTGATAAACAACAAATTTGGTAGAAATAAATTGAAACAAACTGATAGAAAGAAGACAATAAAATTTATTAAATTGAATAAAAAGTAAATTTTGATTCAATTAAATGATGTGATGAAAAGTTTTGTTTTAAGATTTTTCTTGAAAGATAAAATGTTGTCTATTAAATAAATTGTATTATTTTATTTTAATAGAGTTATTTAATTTTTATTAAACAGAGTTACATCTATAGCGGACAGATTAAATGTAGATTTCGCTTTGATCCATAAAGAAAGAAAGAAGGCGAATGAAGTAGCGTCCATGGTATTAGTTGGTGATGTCACCAATAGAATTGCGATTTTAGTAGATGATATGGCGGATACATGTGGAACTGTTTGTCATGCAGCAGAAAAGTATGTGTTTAATTTAATAAGTCATTGTAGGCCTAATGGATGACATCTGATACAATCTTTGTCATTTTTGGTTGAGTTTGGAATACGCATCCATTTAGTGAGTCATTAGTGATATCAGTGTTTAACACTGTTTTGTAAATTGTATATGAACTCTCTATATTTTAAGGTTATTAGAAGCAGGAGCTTTAAAAGTTTACGCCATCTGTACTCATGGAATATTTTCTGGTCCAGCCATTACTCGTATCAATAATTCAATGCTGGAATCTGTTGTCATCACCAATACAATTCCTCAAGAAGAACAAATGAAACGGGCTCCAAAAATCCAGGTATGTATGATACAAGACTCTTGTTAGTATTGAAAATATAATTATATTTTGCTGGAAGGATTTGTGTATAGTCAAAGGCTTTATCGATTTTGTATTTACAGACTGCTTTAATAGTAGGTCTATATATCAGTTTATTTGAATACTTCAAAGAAAGAATTTGTTCTGATATTTTCTGCATCGTAGCTATCTTGGGGGTACGCTTGCTTCAGAAATAATTGTTATCTTGAATAATGTGTCTTAAATCAGGAATATGTATTGTTCGATGTGTGTGAATATAAAATAAAATTTTATCAGTAGTATTTTGGTAAAGTTATTTACCGTATATCTATTGTACATAACAGTTAATTAGCACAGTAACACATTTAGTTGTAGATAGAATTATGTCTAATTTTCCAGTGTGTAAATAGAATCTAGGCATTATATATGAAGTGTAATAGTAGATTGGTCCATGGCCTCAAATATTTCTGCAAATAAAAGTTGAACCTCCTACTTACCTGAATGTTGCATCTCAGATGAAAAATTATCGTTAGATTGCATGTGGCACTGCCCAACCTTGTTAGTTTTTCAGAGTCCTCCAGTTTCCTGCCTCTGCTAAAGATGTGTATACGTGCAAGTGAATTATTGGAATAACAAAATTGTAACATATGTTAGCTCTGAAATGACCTAATATTGTGTTGACTTTGATTTGATTGTTGATGAATAAAGTTTTGTCAGGTTGACTTCATTATAAATGTTAAAATTAACTCCAAAATATCGCTGATTTGTTGTATAATGACATTGGACCACTCTAGTAATAGCATAAGTTTATAAGACTAATATTTTCAAGTATTCCTCCCTTTTGTTGTGTTTCCTCTTGAATAGTAGATATTAAAATAACAATTACACTAGCTTCATCTTCATCAATTGGGGAAAATTTTGATCTTCTTGTCAACCAGACACAAAGCTATGTCCGGTACTAAATTGACAAAATTATGACCAGAATAGTCATGTACAAACATATGTTTGTTACTCTTGTTCAAATGGCTTTTTGCTGTGTAGGCATACTATGCTTTTGTATTGACAATATTTAGAATTGGTAAATAAATATAACCCTGTGGCTTTTTTGAGAAATGATTACTGTCATCTAAATGGTGGTAATCTGTATCCAGGACATATTTTGGCTTGTTGACTAAGATTAATGAAGATAATTCTAGATAGTAACCTCCCATTATTTAAATAATTTGATCCCATGATATAAAGAAAATGTGTATGATCCCCAAACTCTCACTTCCTTGAAAATGCATGGAATTTAAGTATCTGTATGTGCAGCTCACTTTCTGTGGTTCAATTTTATTCAAGTAAATGACTTCTTTTCACTCTTTTTTTAATGGCTGTGCTGTCTTTTATTTCAGTGTATTGATATCTCGTCGATATTAGCTGAAGCCGTGCGAAGGACTCATAACGGCGAATCTGTCTCTTACCTATTTTCCAATGTGCCTTTGTAGCTGGAACTCTAGGTGTGTTAGAATGTGCATGTTTCTGTTGAGTTTCAACATCTTGTTGATAGATTCAAATTGGTGTCAAAATATTATTGACAAGCCCTATAGCATGGTGTGAAATACTTTAGTATTCTGTGTTTACTTTGTTCAATATCCTATATTCCTCTCGTTGTTTTTTTGTTCGTCTCTCCATTTAGTCTTTGAACCAAAATTTTAAATTATATTACTGTAGTCCTTTGTGGGAACCTGAACCCAGCTTTTTTGACCGTCTATGCTTTCATATAAATTCTTGCTTACTTTTCTCAATGACATTTTAAAATAGTAAATAAATTTGAATTTAGCTGTCTGACAATTAATAGTCCTGTTGTCAAGATTAGATATTTTTATACGCCTACATTTTCATGTGGAGGTATTATACTGTCGCTCCTGTCCTTCGACAATTTGTTTGTTGACACTGTACAGGTCACAATTTTTATCTGATTTTTACGAAACTTGAAATATAGGTTTATCTCCAAAAGATCATGGTTCCTTTGGATATTGGCATGTATCAGATCGAAACTTCATGGATTATGCTTTCCAGATTGTATGGAAAATCATCAGGTCACAATTTTTATCTGATTAAAAAAAAAACGTTTAAATATATCACCGTTACATCATAATGATGATTGAGTTTCAATTTTGTGAAAATCAGACCGAAACTGCCCAACAAAATGGCCACTCGTCATACGGAAATAGTGTAAAAGTATGGTACATTATGAAGGTTGTGGACCCTCTAGAAGTCACAGTTTCGATTCGATTTTGATGATTTTAAAATATATATTTATGTATATCCCAAAGATCTTGGTGCTTTCGATATTCGCGCATATCAGACCGTAACGTGTTGGATTGTGGGCCCTGATTGTATGCAAAATCGCATTTTAGCATGTGGACCTTCTAGAGGTCACAATTTTTATCCGATTTTAAAAAACATTTAATTATCTCATTGCACCATAATGTTGGTTGAATTTGAATTTCGTAAAAATCTCCTGACAAAATGGCTGCTCTTTGTCCGCAAATGGTGTAAAAGTATGTAATACCAAGGTTGTGGACCCTCTAGAGGTCACAATTTGTATCCGATTTTGATGAAACTTAAAATATGTTTATATCCTGAAGATCTCTGTTCCTGTAGATATTCTCGCATATCAGACTTAACTTTCTTGATTATGGCCCCTTATTGTATGAGAAATCACTTCTTTTTTGAGGTTTGTCTTCTGATGATCTTTTACAGAATCTGGGTGTATCTTGCAATTGTGAATTTGTGATACATGTGATCTTTAGCTGTTCTGAAGCATCCTAGACTTTGTGTCCCATTCTCTGCTTTAGCTTGTTTTTTGACCAACTTAATGTGGTTTTCAGATGCAATTGATATGTTATTATTGCTGTTACTATATTTATGATTACTACTTAATTCTGTACCATAATGAAGATAGCTGTTTGATTTTAAAATTCCTTGGTATGATTGCTTGTTTATGGAATTATATTTAATGACATATATGTTTGTAAAATTGAAATGTAAACAATTATTTATTACAAGGATAGATATACTGGTATTTTGATACATCAAAACAATTGCATGAATATTTTAGGTCTTCTACCCGATCACGTTTATACACCTTTTTTAGGCCTTTAGTTTGTGGATCTGCAAATGTTTTTGTACATTTCTAATCTCCATTTTTATATATCCATGCTGAAATGTGTTTGTATATTGTTGTCATCGCGGTCTGTCCGTCATCCACAGTTACATGTGGATGCTATAGTGAAATCTATACAAAGTGTTAATGTTCATGGGATGCTGAAGCTTATTGATTTTCAACAATATCCAATAACTGTCAGGAGTTTTTTAAAATTTCTTTCGAGTCTGAGGTTATCATTCTATTAACTTTAAATTTATACACAGCATTCGCACTAAGACAAACAAGAAACCATTAGATTCTTGATCAGTTTTTGGTAGCATTTAAATCCCATCCAAAAGAAAAAATATGCAGAAACCTTTGTAGACCGTTCGAATGACTTGGTTGCTGTGGAGATACGTTTGATATATTCGGACATAGAAAAGATTGAAGGTATTAGAAAATACATGTCCAACTGATTTAGTAATTAGTCCCTGTTCTGATTTGTATAATAGTACTGAATACCGGTATATAAGATTGTCTCTAGTTGATTGCATGTTACAGTCTGATCTAATTAATTTCACTTTCAGTTTGCTCATACCATGCGCAGCTAATTAGCCATCTTTATTCTTTTTCCTCCAGTATTTTTTTCAGCTATCAAGTATTATTCCTTTATCATTATTCCTTCGCAGTGGGCTATATTTAAAGTCACAAGTTTTCAGTATGTTGGCAGAACAGTATATCCCCTCGTAATTAAGAATCGAAACCAGCAGCCAGTGTGTAAAATCTATGCCCATTCTTTCTTTACAGTGATAAATACATTTGCACAGGATTGTCCAGTGTGAACGTTGAATAGTACAATCATGTCACAGATGGTCTGTGTCTGCTTTTGAAAAGATTTACTACTGTAGTTAACTATCATGTCTATACTCAAATTTGTAGCAGTTACCTCAGTTTGAGGGTTTGTTTTGTCACAAGGGTTATTTTGTTAGACTGACCTAGTTTTTGCCACTGACCACATATTGTAAACTTAAGACTGTGATAATATAATGATATATCCAAGATTAATTTGTTAGTGCATTCCCTCACCACTTAAGCGAATAACAACCACTGATAAATTGAAACCAATTTAACCAATTGTTACTGTAATTTAATAGCTGCATTCTTTTTATTTGTAGTACAACAAATTATTCATTCTTTTGAACTAAACTTCTGACATCTGTGAATAATAAAAGTTATTTTTCCTTTCATGTCAAACCCCCCTCTCCCCCCCCCCCCTCCACTCCGCCTCCCCTCATCCTCCGCCTCCCCTCATCCTCATAGCTCTTGTTTTTTCAATGACTACTCCATACACTTGTACCAGTACTAGTAATTAATGAAACCCCTTGAGGTCTTACTATTTATCATATGCCTACATTAAAATGTTAATGTTAATAAAAATTGGCAAAATTCTTGTTTTTGTCAGAATTTTTTTCTTTTGGATGTCGGGGCAGGACTTTAGCTCTTTGTTATTTGTTAAATTGTTTGGGATATAATGTAGTTAAAAATGAAATAGGGGTCTATAGCAGAATCCTTAAAATATTTTTAATCAAAAAGCTCTGATTAAGAAATCCTCAAATTTGACAATTATACAATCGTGCAACACATAACATTAAAGTTGTTTAGATAGATCTGTTTTAACGTATTTTTTTAAAAAAAAATGGTTTGGTAAACTAAAATAATAAATATACTCCTGGATGTCTGATGATATGATTAAAATCTTTTTTTTCTTTTCTTTTTCAGACAATAGACATTTCTATTATTCTTGCAGAAGCAATTCGAAGAACTCACAATGGTGAATCTGTATCCTACCTATTTGAAAATGTTCCATTGTAGTATTTCATGATGGATCTTTCAATTGGGGTGTATTATTTCATGATATATCTTTCAATTGGGGTGTGCTTATCAGTTTGAACAGATATATATATATATATATATATTTTTTTTTTTTTTTTTTTTGTATGCTATTTTATTTTCACTCTCATCCATCAAAAAATCATCAGGTTTGAAATGATGAATGCAAAAAATTACTAAATTAAATAATTCATTTAATTATTTACACATTTCTACTGGCACCCAAAGAACTAATACAGAACCCATGTCAGTATCAAGAAATGGTTTTACTGTAGGAGAAAATTGTTTTGTTGGCTATACATTTACTCTACAAACTAACCCAAAACAACCTTGAAGTCAAATGATCAGATTTTAGATATCAGGTTCAGTTGTATTGATTTTCTATTGCTGTGTTTGAATAATCATTAGTTCTGGGTAGTTGAGGCAAAGAACTGTTAAAATGTAGGATTGGTTCTTGTTCCCAGTATGTTTGCTAGGCAATTTTTTTTTCATGTGAACATACATCCAACTAATGTAGTCACAACATAATTGACTTCATGGACATGACTGTTACGAACAGCTCAGGATCATTTTCAATATAGGCTGAAATTATAAATAATTTGTATGACATCATGTATAATATAAATGAAATGGGGTTTAACATCCTACTGTTCTGTACTGACTTGGCTAATGAAGACATATGTCATGGTCTTATATTCTGTCTTATCTTGTTTAATTATCATTATCTCAATGTGTGTATTTTTATTGTGGAATAATACATGTATTTGAAAGTATTTTAGCACCCTCCCCCACCACACTTTGACACTAGCCTTTATTGTCCCCCGCCTTTCGAAGAAAGCAGGGGACTATTAAAATGGGTTCGTCCGTCTGTCTGTCTGTCTGTCCGTCTGTCTGTCCGTCACACTTTTTGGGACACAATAACTCTCTTCCTAATTGAGCTAGAATGTTCAAACTTGGTGTATGTGTTTATTAGGTCAATGCCTTGATGGAGTTCGAAGATGAGCATTTTCCGCTTAGGGTAAGCAGAGATAAGCAATTTGATTGGTTGATGCTTTGGGACACGATAACTCTCTTCCTAATTGGGCTAGAATGTTCAAACTTGGTGTATGTGTTGATTAGGTCAATGCCTTGATGGAGTTCGAAGATGAGCATTTTCCGCTTAGGGTAAGCAGAGATAAGCAATTTGATTGGTTGATGCTTTGGGACACGATAACTTTTAATTGAGCTAGAATGTTCAAACTTGGTGTATGTGTTTATTAGGTCAATGCCTTGATGGAGTTCGAAGATGAGCATTTTCCGCTTAGGGTAAGCAGAGATAAGCAATTTGATTGGTTGATACTTTGGGGCACGATAACTCTCTTCCTAATTGAGCTAGAATGTTCAAACTTGGTGTATGTGTTGATTAGGTCAATGCCTTGATGGAGTTCGAAGATGAGCATTTTCCGCTTAGGGTAAGCAGAGATAAGCAATTTGATTGGTTGATGCTTTGGGACACGATAACTTTAGTTCTAATTAAGTGAGATTGATGAAACTTGGTGTATAGTTTCATTACAGTAATACCTTGACTAAGTTTGATAATGAGCATTTTCTGCTCAGGGTAAGCAGAGCGATACGCAATTTGATTGGTCGAGACTTTGGAAAACAATAACTGTCCTACTTTGATTGTTAGACTATAAGTAAAGATATACTGTTTGATTGTTCAATACTTTGTAAAAGATAATTTGTGATAAATTTATATGTCCTCTAATTATTTTCCTATTTCGGCGGGGGACATCAGCCTCACTGTTGGCTTGTTCTAGCTGTACCTCAAATAATCATGTGTTTCATCATTGACAAAATGCCCAGCATATTGAAGTTATATACATCATGTATCATGGTATTCAGATTATTTTGATATTATTAATTACAATTCTTTTCTCATAATTCAGATAAAATTAAAAATTATCTGGGTTTCCAAGATTTGTAAAATGTTACAAAGGTATAAATATAGTGGTTGTTTTTATGAATATATGAAAAACTTTTCATGTTATTTTTTGTTTGTTATTAAAGTAGACTGTATACTATTTTGTATATTTAATGTTCTGTGTGAACACTTTGAGTTTAGAATATATTGCTGCTTATGTTCAATTGTTAAAGAAGCTAAATCTCTATTCTTTGGCACCAAGAAATGGACACAAATGTAATATGAATGTATATAAACTGATTAACATTCAATTGTTTCTGTTTTAACTGTAATTTCTAATCAGTTATGTTCGTTGAAATACGTGAAGAGTCCAAATTTTGAATGGGACCCGTGCAGTTACTTTTCAACAGTTACAATATACAAATGTTCCGGGTACTACTAAAGATTGTTAGATATGATTATATTAGCACTAGAATATTGTGATCTCGTCAAACTGATGAAATAGATATACATGTGAAGAAGATATTTGTTTATAAAAGACTATTCTGAATGGAAGTATCTGTATTTGTTACAGTTTTAATGGAACGTTATTGTCAAGCAATTTGTTTAAAAGGTTGTGTTAAGCCAATGACATTCTTGGCATATTTGTCCCCCGCCTTTTCAAAGAAAGCAGGGGACTATTAAAATGGTTTGTCAGTCTGTCTGTCCGTCGCACTTTTTGGGACACAATAACTTTCCTTCTAATTGAGCTAGAATGTTCAAACTTGGTGTAGGTGTTTATTAGGTCAACGCCTTGATGGAGTTCGAAGATAAGCATTTTCTGCTTAGGGTAAGCAGAGATAAGCAATTTGATGCTTTGGGACAATAACTTTAGTTCTAATTTAGTGAGAGTGAGGACACTTGGTGTATAGTTTTATCACATCAATACCTTGACTAAGTTCTATAATGAGCGATAAGCAATTTGATTGGCCGGGACTTTGGAACACAGTAACTATCCTTCTAATTGACGTAGAATGTTCAAACTTGGTGTAGGTGTGCCTGCTTACGGTAAGCATAGATAAGCAATCTGATTGGTTGATGCTTTGGGGCACGATAACTTTGGTTATAATTAAGTGAGAGTGATGAAACTCGGGAGTATAGATTCATTATAGCATTACCTTGACTAAGTTCAATCGATGATGAGAATTTTCTGCTTAGGCTAAGGAGTGATAAGCAATTTGATTTGTCAAGAATTTGGAACATAACAACTCTGCTTTTAATTAAGGTAGAATGTTTAAACTTGATGTAGATGTTCATTAGTTGAATGTCTTGACTGAGTTCAATGATTAACATTTCAAGCTAAAACTAAGCAGAGCTAAACAGTTTCATTTGTCAATGCTTTAGGACAACATAACTTTGATTCTATCGTCGCGAAACTTGGATAAAATTGGTCAGTCCATTTAGATCTGACTTATGCAAAGTTTACTGTATATCAAGGTTGTGGACTCTCTTGAGACCACAATTTTGATCCGATTTTAATGAAACTTTAAATTTTTGTTTATATCACAAGGATCTTGTTTCTTTTCGATAATAGCGCATATCCGAACGTAACCTCCTGGATTATGGTCCCTGATTTGTTCAAATCACATATTGATGCAGCAAATTTATATAGGCTACTGTCACTATAACTGTTGACTTCTTTTCTAAAACCATGTGATCACCCATTTAACATACTTAGCAAATTTGGCTATAATCACATCAAGTTGAATTACCCTATACCTGCCTGTGCCAATCTTGAGCAACAATTGAACACCATTAATTAGGATTTAAAGGTCGAATGGCTCTACTTTTTGAAACCTTGAAATAGACGAAAATGGTTCTACAAGCACATATGAATGTATGTAAAGTGATTATTATTAAATTTTTGGAAAAAATGTTCGGTGAAATATGTTAACAGTTCAAATTGAATGGCAGTTGGTTACACCTAGCTTAGTCCATTTTACACGCTTTTGAAATTATTTTGTCGTTTGTGAAATGAAATAAATCAAAATGGGGTTTAACCTTCTACTGTTCAGCTATGACTGGGCTAATGAAGACTTTGTCGTTTGTGAATCAGCCTTTACTAATTACTTCCACATTACTTAGTCCATTCTACACGCTTTTGAAATTATTTTGTCGTTTGTGAAATGAAATAAATCAAAATGGGGTTTAACCTTCTACTGTTCAGCTATGACTGGGCTAATGAAGACGTTGTCGTTTGTGAATCAGCCTTTACTAATTACTTCCACATTGTGTTGCAGGATATGTTTTTATTTGTTCATTACAAATTGGCAACCGAAACTATAGCATAGGCTACCGGTACACGACTTGTGTACAGATTATAAAATGTTACTAATATTTGAAATTAGGATCCTATAGTTTCACATAGATAATATCAATAACAATGATTGAAATTGATCAATACTGGCCTTGAATTATCATAAATAGTTCGACTGGTGTTTTTTGTTATATTACTTTTAATCATAAGCAGAGCATTTAATTTTGGTGGTCATTTTTTCTAGAAAGGATGTTATCGGATTCGAAGATAATCTTGATAATATTTTTGTGCCAACAGCTATCCATAAAGCAAATGCGTCTGGACAAACAAGATTGAATTTCGAGCACGGTGTACTTCCTGTTAGATTTAGACCACTATCAAAGTAACCTAGATTGAATAGGTATCTTTGGACTGATCACCAAATAAAATGATTCGCCTACCTCAAAGAGATCGCAATCCTGACGAAGAAAAAACTATGTCGAGACGAGCAACTATACAATCTACAGTTGTCTTCTTTCTCACGTGTGCATTGATACGAGCATGTAGGTTAATTTTAATTTATAGCATTTTTATGTCTTCTTCAACTTCTTGGGAGAAAAACATCCTAATCCACTAACAAATTATAAAATTTGCATGGCACACGTTAGAAATGGTTCCACAACTGACATCTTCCCTCCAGCAACGTGACAAGCTGGGCGCACGGGTCATCCAAACATAACATCCATTGGAAATTTAAAGGCACACAGTTAATTTAAAGGAGATAAATTACAAATATTTGTACCTAGCTAGAATTTGACACAAATGGGTTCACAACCCATATAATAATGTATTGTAATATGAATGTATACTGATTTACATTCAATCGTTTCTGTTTTTACTGTAATTTCTAATCAGTTGATAATACGTCAAAATTCTCAATTGAATGGCAATCTCTAGCATCTGATTATTCCAGTCTACACCGAAAGTACTTAAGTAGCCTACTTATTGCACATGCTCTCCAGATAAGAATATGTCGTCACCCTTTGACATGACTAGCCTTGTTCTTTGAGTCCCTTGTTAAAAATGGCACTGAAACGCATTATGATATTAATATAATGGTAAATTAATGCACAATTTGTGTATTTAAATTCTGTGATCATTGTATACTTTTCAGTACCATCAGTTTTAGAGGCAGTTAATGGTGAATGAATCGTAAAAGTGAAAGAATGAAAAGACTAATCTGTAGTGTTATCGTTAACTAATAGTATTGTGATTCATATATAAAAAAAATGGATGTGTGTGGACCAGAATAGAATACAAAATAACCACTGGAGAAGTAATAGAAGACAATCATCTTAGTGAAATTATGAACCATTTTATTTCTTCACAAATAAGCATGTATAATTTGAATATCACAATAAAAAAATAACCCAAACTGTTAGTAATTGGCATGATTAAACTGTTCAGTTTCAATTGTATTTCAGGGACTTGGCACATTCACGAGTTTTATTTTAAATCGGGCAGTAAAAGTATTATTACAGTGTTCTGAATGTTATAGGCTCGTGACAAATTCATAATACTGTAATAATGATAATAAATTACTAAGACTTGAATTTTTAATAACTATAATATATGATACTATCTCTGAAATCATCTTTTCAGAAAAGGTTCTATATTATATTACAACTTCTATTAAATTGGACAACACACAACAGGATGCCCACAGAAGACTGGTGTTGCTTTTTGCACATACAAATCAATTTCGAATGCTTGTAGTTGTGCTCAATCAAATATTAAATGTTAAATGTTCAAATTTAATCGTTTCCAAACTTAGATAAATATTTCCAATTAAAGGAGTTAAACCTCTTTCTAGAGCTATTTTGCCCAGGCTATATAATATATTCGTTGTAGTTGAATCAGAGACAGTCGAGAATGAAATGATAAAGACAATATTTAAACCCTTTTATCAGAGGTTTTAGTATGCAAGAAAATAAATGTTTTTAAAAAATGAACATGCAAAAACAGAATTAACTTTACCCTCAAATTTCAAAGGCAATCCACCACACTTTTAAACTCTTACATTCATTTTCACATATAGCCCTATTGTATAGTTTATAATTTACGGTACTCTAACTAATACTGATTCACACATCTCTGATTTTTGTCATTCAAAGTATTAATATCACACATCGGTATGGTTTTTTACGTTGGTTTTTTTTTTTATCACAGTCACCTATAATTTTTTATTACTGAAAGGAGATCAGGAAGATTCTTCAGTTCAAAATCTAACAGCATCTGACCAAAAGCTTTACCCTGAAACAAATTGATTCAAAATTGTAAAGACCGGTTGCATATTTTTTTCTCTTGTTGGTAATGAAAACATTTACAACAGACTAAAATCCAATCTGATTAAAACACAGATGCTATTTCGTTTCGATTTCTATAGTTCAAAATTTCGTTCTACTTGTCTTTACTACAACTGGAAGAGTTGTTATATAAATATAACCTGCATTCTGATTGATATGAGGGATTAGTTAATGAAACATTCTGTTATGGCGAGTTCTTGGCGTGCGTTGCACGGAACTATGGGTATCCCAGTAGAAACATCAACGCTGATTAGTTAATCAAAAGTCTGACATCATAGGGTCAAAAGTCTTGCGTGATCCCTGACATGACCTCCCACTACAACTGGTCAGATCTTTCATGTATTGCAGGCCATCAAAAGTATAAAAAACGAAACGAAATGTAGACCTGTATTTTAATTAGATTGACTAAAATCTGATTAAGAGAAACAACCCATTAAAGATACATTATGGGAGATTCGATAACGAGTTGGCAGTTCTCACTATAATAGTTAAAAACTAGATAATGTAAAGGCAATTTGCTGAAAATTTCATTCAAATTGATCCACTATGAACTGAGAAAAAAGCATTTGAAATTTTCGCCTAGCCTCGATCATCATTACTAAAGTCAGTATAATAAGCAGCATAGTCTCGATTATCCATTTAATTGTTAAATTGTGAAGGAAAGTTATGCAGTAAATCGGCTCAAAATGCACAAAAGTTTGCAGGCTAGCGATGGTCTGGATAGGTCAATTAAAGAATATCCTCTCACCGTCTCATATAATAACGTTTCATCTTCAACTGAAATATCAGTCAAATGAAATTCGATCGCGTGTCTGTTATCGCTTGTTACTTTAGTTAGTTATATAGAAGGATAACTCGTGTTTGTCGTCTCTTCCTGTTTCTTCAGGTGCTTGTTACACATCTCCCGTAGCAATGATCTCTGTGTTAAAATTATATTTGGGATGTATTTAACCAGTTCTATCACATATTTTATAATGACTGAATGTCTAATTAATAATTAACATTTCAGGCCTAAAGAAAGACCTGCAATAGACAGATTTAGCTCTTGCATAATGTATGTTTAAGTGATTATCAGAAACCATTAGAATTTGTTTGGTTTCTAGTTCTGCCCCATGCTAACATTTAATATACAAAACATTTAATATTATGAATTGAGCTGTTCAAGTTGTCATAAATCGTTGAAAATCAAGACTTCGTCATCTCATGACCTTAAACACTGTGTATCAATTTATAGTCAATCAGATGATAAATTTGGTCTCCAGAGCATCCACAACATTTTACAAAGTGATCAATTATTGGAAATTGTTAAAAATCAATAGGGTTCATCTCTTGGGACGTTAAACAATGTGTATAAATTTGAAATCAATAGGATGATAACTTTGGTCTGTAGAGCACGCGCAAGATTTTACAAGGAGGCCAAGGGCCATAACTCCAGCAGTAATTATTGAAAACGATGGGCTTCTTCATCTCATGACCTAAATATTGTGCATCAATTTAAAGTCAATCGGATGATACCTTTGGTCTCAGAATTTGTTGAAAATCAATAAAATTCTTCATCTCATGACCTTAAACACTGTGTATAAATTAACTTTAGCCTCTAGAGTGTTCACTCACAGTATTTTTCAAAGTGATCAAGGGTCATATTGAAAATCAATAGGCTTCTTGAGCATCCACAAGCAATTGTGAACGACGGACAGGGGTAACGACAATATACGACCACATATTATCAATGTGGGCATATAAAAAGTTGAAGACAAAATATATGCATCAATTATTTAGACTACATTAATTTCAAGAATCAAGATATTTAACATTTTATCTAAGAGTAATGATCGAATTCCACGACAGTCCTAGAATATATTTATCATAAATGTTGGAGGAAATTCAATAAACATAATATTTTATTAAAAATTTCACACATTTATGGGCAATAAACTGTCAATCCTTATACACTATACCTGAGCATCACTGCGTAAAGAGGCAATTCCTCCACCCCCAAGAGAATTGTGTAAAACAAAATTTAAGGCTTGAATTCCAGGAACAGAATATCTGAAAAGAGTTCATTTTACAATTAATAATGAATCTGCAGCCTGTTGTTGAAAAACAACTGCCTCGTTCATTAGCTGCAGTTTGGCAATAAATACATACTTGAATTTTTTATCACCTATTACAAATTAGATCATATCTGTAAACTTAATTAAACATATTTTTAGTCTTTTTTACAAGTTTTACCCAACATCTGGTTTGATCCAGCAGCTGCACAGATCTACTGGCCTGTCCAGCCTCTGCTACTCTTTCAAGGGAGTGTTACCGCCCCCCCCCCCCACTCCTTGATTCCTAATTTGACTCAAATACTATACTTGAAGATTGGGTTAACAGATGAGGAATCAACCCTGGTTGCATCACATTACACATACAAGACAATGATTGTTACCTCCCTTGTTTGTAGCAAAATTGTATACCTTTTGACCCTATTTTCTACTGGAAAACTTCTATCTGGAAAAACATGCTGGAAATATTCCTCTACTGATTCTACTGTTAAAGCTTGATTAATGTAGGGTAAAAATGCTGGGTGTCTTGCAATAACACCTGAAACGTACACACATGTAGACTATTATATCTTTCCATTTTGTTGGTACACTACTAGTCAAGTTTCAGGAACACCTGAACAAAAGGTGGTATCATACTATAAATTCTGAAATTGTTTTGTCTAATTTATTTTTTCCAGCAAATTATCTACTGTAAAAAAAGAAATTAATGCAAGAAAAACTGATAGTAAAAAGTGAGCTACTGTCGGCCAATACACATTATTGTTGACATCTATAATGTGAGAAATTAAAGAAATCAATAGTTACTTCTTAAATTGAAATGTGTCAGTTGATGGTAGGCTACCATTAATCAATATCATTTATGACCGAACAGTTTTAGGAATTATATCATATTTAAACAAGAAGACACCACAGGTTCCATTAATTTCAATACATATTTATGTCATTCCCTTTGAAGTAGCATTAATTTCTTGTTCTACAGTTTACAGTACAGTGTTGCCTCTAAGGGTAATTTAAAGATACATTATGGGAGATATTTATAGAGAGTTGGCCATTCTTGCTATAACAGTTCAAAAGTAGATGATGAAAGAAGAATATATTGAAAAATTCAGTCAAATTACTTTATTCTGAACATAGTTATCACCGTTGTAATATTTGCCTAGAAATGGTAGCGAAATGTGTCTTCACCTTCGCTGAACGTTTGATTGACAGGCGTTAACTCCACCTACATATCTCGATTATCAAGTAAAGTTTTCAATGGCATACGGAAACGCTTTACATCGGCCTCGCTAAGTACACTCTATCATTTAGCCTTGATCTAACTGACGTATTTTCATCAGGTTACCCCTTATCTGATTTAATCAATTAGTGAAATCCTATTTAAATCCGAGCTGTAGCCGAGCCATCCGTGGGTCTACAGAGTTGATTTTGGTCTTGTTGTTTAAATAAAGATCTAATTTATAATTTCTATAACATCTGAAGCCTAAATTAAGACTTGCAATAATCAGATTTAGCTCTTGCATAATGCATGTTTAACTTCTAGAATTGGAAGTCAAGTTAGAAATGTAAGTAACCTACATATTCTATAGTGTATTCTCTATAGTATGGGCAATAACTAATTAAATTTGAAAAATACACATTATGTCAGTTGAAGTTTTGGGTTGAGAAAGGTTGAATTAGTGTTGATTTGACTTTGTGTAAAATAAGTGCTGAGTTAGTGTTGAACTATTCAGCCTATAGTCTGTATATTTACACACATACCCTTAAGACGTCTTTCAAATTGAGTTCCTCAGATGTTCACAGTCTGCTTTAATTAGGCATTAATAAAAGCATGCATATATAACCAAATACATAGCACCAAGATTTATGTTCTTTCTTGAGATAAACTCAAACCCCATCATGATTTTTTGTAAAAAAAACTATTATTTTTTTGGTATTGACATGTTCTGAAATTTATACAAATGAAGAAACAATACCAGATCAGGTTTTTGAGTTGAGCAGATGTGACTAAAGTAGTTCACTGATGTTACATCCCAACACTGGTTCTCTTTCAGGTAAGTTAATTATTGAGAACAGCAGTGTAACACTTCTATTACTCAACACTAACTTAAACCAAAACTTGAAATGATCCATTCACTAACTTAAACCAAAACTTGAAATGATCCATTATATAATTTACAGTATTACCGATGTTACTATCATTTCCTTTATCACCACTTCTAGTATAAGCTAGATCAATTAATCTATAAGTATAATCGCCAGATGGTAGAGATGGTTGTGCAACTGGTGTGGGACTTTTAGTATTATATACAGTTTGTGGATACTCAGCTGTAGGGGTAGATGGTGTGCAATATTCTTCAATGAATTCATCATTCATATAAATTGAGACCTAAAATTGTAAATTAAAAAAAAAAGAAATTTTATGCTAGTCACCAAACAAATATTGTGATCTTTGTCTTATAAGAGTTTATAAAACCCAAATTCTAGATTTTATATTGTGATCTCTGTCTTATAAGTGTTTATAAAACCCAAATTCTAGATTTTATAATGAAATTTTAAAAACTTCTAAACTAATGTAACAAAATATTTATTAAATAAACTTGATAATTGAGAATCAAGCTTATCAAAGCACAGATAAAGTGCTGTTTTTTCAAACCATTGTTGCTGTCAATTGTCCATGTCTATTGGAAACAATTTGGGCAAAGTTAAGATGTCAGCCTTGTACAATGTTGTGTCTTCCACAGAACTGTAATAGTTCTACTTAAACTAGCTTTTGAAAAGCCACATTTTATAATATGCACCAAAAAACCCCTTAATTTTCAATTCCCATTCTGTCAAATTCAATTTTTATATTTGAGAGAATTGATCTGTGGTCGTGATCTAATGTTGTCACATATGGAATTATTGTTAGATTAAAGTGTATCTCTCAAACGACAATCATCCCTTTTAAAAGTGGTGTACATGTATTTTCATTGTGTCTCAGTATATAATTCCTTGTAAGAAGCTGATTACCTATATTGATTACATTCATACACTAAATTTGTTTAAACTTTTTACCAACAGTAACCAGAATATAACAATACATACTGTTATATCAATCATTTATATTGTTGTGTCTTTGATGTGGATATTAACAGAATATTGCTTATATCACTAGGCTTTCAAAAAGATTCATCACAGATGTTTATTATAGAGAATAGGACTGATTAATTTTGTTTTCAAACATTTATCCTATCACTATGGACGTCCACTACCAAAAGTTATGGTTTGGGTACTAACATCTTCAATTTTCATCATTTGCTTGTTCTGATAGCTGACTGAAAATCAATATTTGCTTAAGGCTTTCTTTAGTCATAATGAACCAGTCTGTTTTACTATAAGATTGCACATACCAGTATATACTTTTGGTCTAATTAATTGAGAATCTTATATGGTGTTCAGTATTTAGAGTAATAGCCCTGTCAGATTATTTCTACTCCTTGTGATTAAAATATAACACAAACATATAAATATTATACAACATTTAAATTTTTATGGTATAAACGATTCAAAACTATAAATTCCATTTCATTCTGACAATCACAGGTAAATAACGAGTTGATTTTTCGCAGTGACACAAGTTTTTAGTCATGTTGAGTTATTTTCCCTGAACTTTTTTCCCTGCATCAAATTTAACAATAGGCCACAATTTTTATCTCAGTTCTGTTATCCATTCAGCAAATCTGACTTATAAAATTCCACATATATATGAACAAATACTATGTGAAATCGTAACTGCTGATGTAAGTCCACCTATTTTGCTTACTGCAAAAGTGCACACACATCATCTTAATTCACTAGCTAATCACAGACTAATTTACTAAATACTAACCTTAAAATTATTACGAGGATATAAAAAGGAAAATAATTTTAGCACTGCCGATCTGAAAGAGATATATAAATATACTTTGGAAAAAAAATATATAAATGAAAATCACCCAAATGGCAAAAATATACTTGTCTAAAATTGAGACTGTTGAGAGAAAAAAATTATCTTCTTTTTAAAAATTATATAAAATTTTAACTTACACTTTTGGTCTACCACCAACTATGTTGCATAAACCAGGAGCTATAATAATAATATAAAATCAAAAATGACTGTTGTGAAGTTCTCAAGCAATGTTCGACCTAGGAGTACCTTTAAGATGTGACCCTTGGAGCATAATTAGGTTATCTATTCAACCTATGAAACTAAAGTATGAAATTTCTTATGACCATAAAAACTTGAATTGTATAACAGTTGTCAAACTACTGTTTATCCGTTTCTTTATGAAGATGAGCTGTGTGTGTATCCACTTATATATTTCAATTAGAATGAATTGACATTCACAATAATATATCATTTAAGAGATGTTTGGCTTGAACAATTGGCTATAAGATACAATTTTTTTGGCATAAAATGTATTTTTTCAGGTAGTATTCAATCCTATTTTGTTTCGTTTACATGTAGTGTAGGCCATCGAAAGTATAAAAATATGAAATGAAATATAGATGTGTATTTTAATCAGATTGGGTAGTATTCTAATCACAGGTAATGTAAGATCTCGATTGTAAGTTTGAACAAGTTTTTTACAAAAAAATTACTGGTAAAATTGCTGAATCCTTATCCATACTTACCCATGCCTGTACCAGCAGGAGCTACCTCTCTGGAGAAAAATTCTAAAGCTTTTTTCTCATTATGATGTACAGCTAACCACAATACTGCTTCTCTTGTACCCTGTAAATAATATATATAATTGACATGAACTACAAATCCTAATACAGCATTTAGTAACTGAACATATGATATAAAACACAAATTTACATGGAAAACAATCACTAGGTTTATTTCACACTACGTTTCAAACGTAGTATGAAATAAACCCAGTGATTGTTTTCCATATAAATTTCTGTTTTATATGAACTACAAAATTGTATGAACGCCATCAAGGATTACAATTTTTGAATAAATTTTCTGAAAGCTATGATACTCTTCATGGAATTTAAGCAGGTCATGGCTATTTAATGTACACAGTCAATCTGTTAACTGGAGGTAAATTCAAATTTCACATTAGTTTGTATTTATCTAAAGTATTAATCTCCTCAAATGTCATTTTCAAAAAGGAATAAATATACTGTTAATTTGTATGGAACAGACTTATCAAAAAAAACTAAAGACTCTAAAAACATGTCATCCTTTAAAAAATGTCTGGAACAGACTTATCAAAAAAGACTAAAGACTCTTAAAACATGTCATCCTTTAAAAAATGTCTTAAGAGTGAACTCTTTAAATCAGTAATGACAATAACTATTTTATATAATGTTATTTTATCAGTTTGGACATTTATTCTGTTCCTTCCTTCAATGATTTTTAAGTGTTTATAGTGTCATGTTTATTTCTTCTTTTGAAGATTTTTATGTAGATAGCGCTCTTGAGTAACTCGTTTGTTGGATATTTAGCACTTTATAAATAGATTATTATTATCTATTATCATTATTTATAAAATTAAAAATAGAGTGTATTACCTTTGGAATGTGTGATTGAGGACCGTACATGTGTTCACTGCCTAGTACCTCTATATTAACATCTGTAAAATCTTGTAAACCTAACTGATTAAAGATTCTTTGACATCTGAAAGATAATTATTAAACTATTTTTTCTATGCTAGAAAGAAAGCATTTAAAGTAAAGCGACAAAGTTTTCCTGTCTGCTATATCATTTCGGTGGCAGAGAGCCTGGCAATGGCAGCTGTCTAGTCATTCGGATGGGACAAAAAAAAAAAACAAGGTCCGGTGTACACATTGGCATGCATGTAAAAGATCCCTTGACAGTTGGAATTCGATATAAGTGTAGGTCCTAGTGCCGCTGTCCGGGCAAAATTTCCCTCATAGCACACTGTATGGAGTATGCCTGTCTTCATAAGTCCAGTTCGGAGCAGAGCAGTAGGACGTTAAACCCCATTTTATTCAATTTCATTTCATTGGAAGCAAATGTTAAATAAGCCTATTTCACACAAAACTTTTCCGTCAAAAGTAATTCCTCCATTGGTGTGAATGATTCTTGTCTGAATACTTTGATGTATGTATTGTAAGTTGGAATATAAATATATTTAAGTTTCAGTTGTATAAAAACTAAACAGAATGTAGATTAATTTTACATTAAATATACAATAATTACAGAGTGTTCATTGACCCTAATTTTTAAAATCAGTTATTGAAATATTTACCTTTGAATAACGGCATTAGCAGTTTTTTCAACTTTAGTTTTAGAATGTGGTCCACCAACACAGACTACTGCAGTCGATCGAAAGCCTTCTGCATAAGTAGCACTTACCTACAACAAAAAAAAAAAAAATATTTACAAAATCAAACATTATACTTTCAATTGTGGGTTGTGTCATTTAAAGGAACAGTCCCAGAAATATATTAGTGAATAAAACTAGTTTATTCAGGGTGAAGGCATCTTGATTTTTTTTATGTGTACTATTAATTTGTAAACATGATCTCAGTTTTTTTTTTTAATTCCCAAATGAACAACTGGAAACACTTTCCATATCCACCTTGCAACCATTACCCTTGGCAAATGGGAACTAGGCTTTATAAATAATAATGTTTTTTCTTGTCACACTGTGAGATTTGAATCTGGAACATATCATTTTGAGTTCAGTGTTTGATGAGTGGGTGGCTGAATGGAGATTTGTAATTTATGTAAGACAAATCACTGACCTTAAGTTCACCTGAAGGGGGATTTCCCTTAGCACCAGTAACAACAACCCGGTCTTCTGAGATCTGTTCTAGTTTAACATCACTAAAATCACATACAACATCCGGTAAAAAATAACGCCCTGGATCTCCTAATTCATATAATAACTGTTCACTAACTGTTGCTGTAGATATCAATCCACCAGTACCACTGGGTTTAGTTACTATCATATGACCATCACTGCCAACTTCAACAATAGGAAATCCTATGTTATCCCTGAAACAGTACTCTTCTTTATTATATACGACTAAGTTAATTACCCAGCATTGAAGGAGTGGGTGTCTTATATAATTCTGATTTTCAGTTAAGAATTTGCCAGAAAAATACAGAGTAGGAAAAGTATGGTATGCTCTAAAATGTTTCTAACATTCTTTATAATACAATAATCATTAATTGTAAATTTTGTTATTAAATACTGCCCCAAATACAAAATAAAAATCGCAATTACGATAATGAAAAAAAAACCCTAGCTTCAAATGTTTAATTCCAATAGCAAACCCACATACAAACAAACAAACTTTTCCCTTTATCATTTAAGTCAATACATCTGGAAACAGACCTCGAGTTTACAAAATTGTAATGTATGCAATACATACAAATAGCAGTAAGTATAAAAGAAGATAACAAAGCTTTGCAATTATAGAAAAACTGTTAACAATGGAGGATATAATCTATTAACAGATCAGTACTCGTTTACTAACAGATTAATTAGCCTGACAATACAGCCGAGATTGTTTCACTTATCCTACTGGTAAAATTTTACTTGTCCCTGGAAAACCTAAATATCAAGCCCTGTGGTAATTATATTAACAAGAATGCAATGGAAAGCCAGTTTTATATAGTTCAAGTCTAGAAAATGAAGAGTCCTGATACAGATAGACAACTAAATGAAATAACAGACTGATAAATAGAATACAGATAATGATGCTTTCTATTCTATTCCATAGAAAAAGAGAATGTTATTGTTAGATGTGTGTGTAGGATATTTATATTATATACAGTACCTTACCAATGATCAACTAGATGCCAGTCAGTAAATATACCACCAGTTATCTGAGGTCCACATTCTATTAAATGACCAGCTAAACTACAATATAAATAAATGGTTTGAATATAGAACTTATACATCCAAAATGATTCTATCTGCTTTAATAATGCACCCTCAAGCATTAACAGTGGAATGATACAGCAGTGTTGAGTGTAGATTTATCAAACGACACATGGCAGGGAATCACTCACTGTAGACTTTCTCCACATAAAATTTACACAATTACATAATCACTCTTTCCAAAGAAATTTAATTCCTAAAACTAGTGTAAGATATCTATTACATGAATGAAAGTACTGGTAGCATCAAATCAAATTTAAAACTGATAACTGATCTATTCTTATAACAGAGACTTTATCTAGTGACATAAAGCAGAAATGACATTTCTACTTTAGAAAATTACCTACCTTCCTGCTGCCAAGAGATCAAAATCATCCATCTTCCACTGAAACTATACAATGAAAAAAAAAGACTCGGTAACAGGGCAGTCCAATATTTCATATGACATTGTATATAATTATGTGCCAAAATGTGTCCACATAGCCTATTTACCTTGCCGGTATATGATTTGACTTTTTTTCAAATCAAAATTTTGAGACAGAGTTAAGGAATTTATTTTTAAATTCTATGACTGACTTGATAATCATGATGATCACTTGCCAACAATTATATAAATACTAGCTGTATAACCTGTGCTGCAAAGGTGGAGGTTATATTATCGCTTTTTTAACATCGATAATAACGCAATAATCATACTTTGTCCAGTTCATAATTAAATACTGCACCAAATAAAAAAAAAAGCACCATTCAATTTCTTGTAAAAAAACCCAGGTATTATGAGTTATTTTCATTTTAATCTAGCTTTCTATCTGTTGCAAGGGCACAAACATCTTTGCAAGATAGAAACTCCCCCAATGAAGTTTTCTCCCTCGGACATCCTGTCATGCCAGACAACATTTTCAATAATCATAGTCAACACCAAATACAAAATGAAAAGCCCCATTAAATTTCTTGTAAATAAATGGTTTATGAAGTTATATCAAATTAGAATGATGAACGTTAGTACTGCATTTAATTTTCACTTACATTATGTATAAGTGGAGCTAAAGCCATTGCACTATCAGCACATCTACCTGTTATAACAACATCAGCACCTAAATCTAGAGCCCTTGCAATTGGACCTGCACTATAAATAAAGAGAAAAGGTCAGTATGTATCTAACGTCTCATTGTTGTCTGCCATATTACTACTCTGTCAGTACATATCTATAATCAAACTTCTTTCAATACACAAGAGTCCATATTCAAAAATTGCAAATCAATTTTACTGACGAATGCCATTTATGATGGGATATTCCACCCTGGTAAAACTGTTATATATTCAAAGTTGCATAGTTTCTACTATAGTATTGCATGAAAGAATATATTAATATGATGATTTTGATTGAATTAGAACCTGTACTAATACCATGAATCTATAGATTAATTAATGCATCTTTTATTGTATGCGTTTGAAGGGATATATTTCTTTAGAAACACATACAATGTCTACAAGTTTTTATTGATCTTACCCAAAGTAAGCATTCATACTGTGTATGGCAGTTGGGAATTCTTTTCCTGAATTCATCTCTGTAATACCAAGGTTTCGAAGTTTGTTAACCTATATTTTTAAAAAAAAAAAAAAAAATACTTTCTTCATAAGCTAATTGCAAATTGGAATCAATTGAAAACATATTGTTGATTTTTTAGTTATTGAAGCCAGGAAGGATAATTTTTTTTAAAATTTAATCCTTAAATAGGCATTATGTGAGATTTTGAGAAAGAGCTGGCCCAGGTGCGTAAATGTGGGGGGGTGGTACATCCCCCCAGGAAGAAAAATAGTCGGTCGCAAAATCAGTGCAGTCGTTCGCAAAATAAGAGCAATCAGTATAAAAATAAGTGTTCACTGCATACGTCACGCTACTCACGCAAAACTTTAGTATAAAATAACCTTGTCAACTTATCATGTTTGAAAAAATGTTGTGTTTCACTCTTATTCTGTTGTGAGTATGTTTGTCTATGAACAAAATTTCCCCCAGGGAGAAAAATAGTCGGTCTCAAAATAAGTGCAGTCACTGCGGTCGGTCTCAAAATTATGCATCAGCGACTCGATGAATTAATGAGGCAAACAAACAATACCAGAATAGATCCCAAATACTATGTATTTGTGTGAAATCGTGAGCCTAAATTGCATACGTCACACAAAACTATAGTATAAAATAACCATGTCTGTTTGTCATGTTTGAAAAAATGTTTGTCACTCTTATTCTGTTGTGAGTATGTTGTTCTATGAAATGTTTTTCCCTCTTTGCAAAAAAATAGTCGGTCTCAAAAAAAGTACTCACCGCAGTCAGTCTCAGACTAAATGAATTAATGAGTCAAACAAACAATTACAAAACAGGCGAAATTGACAGATAGGCCACAAGATTCTGTCTCATTTCTTATCCTCTTGTTAGCGAGAATTTGGTTCCATTTGCCATGACAATGACTAAAATTTTTCAGGCCCAGTTCCGAAAAATTAAAAGCTCGGTTACATATCTGAATTTGTTCGCCCCTGCGGCGCTCTATTTTGTTATAACATTATTCTTCTATTCCTCTGTTTCTTATACTGTCTCAGCACTATCATTTTCACGATTATAGTGACCTCCCCGATATACTGGTATGTGGGGCGTGGGGCGTCAGACTATACAAATGTTATGTCAACTCTTGCGAAACAGGCGGAATTGACAGGGGCAGATCTCGAGATTCTGTCCCATTGGCTCACATTTTTGGTCCTCTCGTCCTCAAGACTTTCTCCCAGCAATAACCTCAAATGCTAGGATATTGACTCATTTTTCAAAATTTTCTCAGGTTGCTCAGTGTTATAGGCACAATCATCATATATGACATAAACTTTATGTCAACTTAAATAAAACTGCTTTCCGGCGAGACAACGATCGGCGAATTGTGGATAGCGCCCTAGATTTGGAACCACCCCACCCCACCCCCTATTCCCAGCTTCTAGACCCGCTCTGCATGTGGCCCCTAGAAAACTTGCACCTGTGGTGCGCCGTTCCTAACTGCGTCACTCGTACTAAGGGTATGTGCATCAGTCGGTCGCATTTTGGCTAAATACCCCCCCCCCCCCAAAACAAAATCGTTATGTATGCCCCTGAGCTGGCCATTTTTGCTCTAATAGTTCAACAATAGTTAATGAAAATTGAATATTTCAGTCAAATTACCTTATTCTGAGCAAAGTTATGGATGGCTAATTTTATCAGGTTTCAGACTGCTGATGCATTTATATTTGTATTAAACATACATTATGCAAGAGCTAAATCTGCCTATTGCAGGTCTATCTTATTGCACACGTCTTGTCAAACCTTCAAAGGCTAATATCTTCGCTCGCAATAGAGTAATTTGAATGAAATTTTCAAATTATTCATTTTACATTATCTATTTTCGAACTATTATAGCAAGAATGGCTAGCTCTTTATCTAAATCTTACATAATGTATCTTTAAATTTTTATTACATTTAATCCAAATAAGCTTTTTGATATATAAGAATAGAAAGTTGTATAATAACTCTATTGTTGGCCTTTTGCTGACAGTCTCCGTGAGTGCTGTCAGGACTTTTCGGAAAATTTCGGCTTGGAGGATATATTAGCATTTTAAAGCAGATATGGCGGGATTGTCCAATCTAAGCCATCTGATGACCTAGAAAGTTCAATATGGGCTTGTCATGTGAATAAATGTTTAAATAATAATTCATATACCATTTGAAGCCAGAAAAATGGCATGTAAATATGCAAAAGCAGCTCTTGTTGTGAGGGCTCACACTGGCTTTCAATCTTTTTCCGCCAAAATGGATGATAATTTTTATATAAAACAATGTTCAAATTTTTTTTCTGTCAACTGCCAAAAATGTGTGATAAAAAAGACAACATCTAACAATTTTATGTCTCAGCTAGGCTTATTAATATAATAAAACAATTACCGATATATACAATACTATAAACAACTTTAAAAATCTGTCTGTATATAATACATTAGCACAGTTTGAATTTAATAAGATCAGATTTTTGGGGGGTGACTTTAGTCTATTTGAACACCGTACGGCACAATATAGTTTAGTATCTACACGTCAGATCTCATTCAAGGATTGCCAATTTTCTATAAATTTATGTGTTACGTGTACAATAGGCGTACAGTTATTTTCCAAATCTGAATCCCTGATAGAATGATATAAATTTCAATTTTATTTGTAAGAGATGCTTACAATTATACCCGTCGTTCACCTTTAGATCATTTTGGCAACGGTAATATGATTCGTCATATTATGGCAAAATGATTTCTCGCTTAAGAATCGTCGCTATTCAACTCGTTCTTACATTTTCGACCAGTGGTGATAATATAATTTGAAATAATGATATCCGATCGGCATGCATGTATATCTTACATGCCGTATATGAAGCCAGAGTAAACGGAATCCAACTATCAAAATATTTAATTCTCCTCGAAAGGAACTGTCGGCCATTTTGTTTACATGTATCATTAAGATTAAATAATGACTTGAGATAGGTTTTATATACATCATTGGCAATTATCAATCAACTAATCATTAATTCAAGACAACTGATAAGTATTACTCATTGACGTAATCCGGATTATCAACTAGTTGATTAATTTCTAGTATTCCGCCACGTTATTGACACTCAATTAATTGTAAATCCAGGATAAATACGATTAGAATTTTAAGATTTTTTTACGCCAGTTCTCAAAAAGAATCGTCAGTACCGCAAAACATTATCGCCAAAAAATTTAAAAAATGTAACTAACCTCCGGCATTAAATCATCACCTTCTATAACAGCAATGTTTAAATTTACACCAGCCTTTTGGCAAACTTTTTGCAATGCTACACCACATCCTATAGGATTAACACCTCCAGCATTACTAATTATCTTAATCCCTGTAATTATCATTAATCTGATTATTTAATTATCAAATGATAACTTAATGATACACGGTTTGATTTAGTACCCAGTTTGGCTTGGTTCCTTGGGCACGTTACTCAAGAGTTACCATATCAGTAACATATCTATTGGGCTCCATGTTTTCAGAAAGAACTAGTTTCATAACAACCAAGAATTGATTTATCATGATGCTTCACTATCTTTTCATTATTTTTATGAAACACTCTACAACTGAGATCTGTGAACAACCCAACTGGTTATTATTAGTATACATCTTCGTTTTGGTGTTGGATTTCTTATTTAATTACTTACCAGTATTTTTCTTTTTACTTATCATTTTCTAATCATGTCTATTGAATACTGTATTGTCCTGCCATTTTACTTGCAAAAATGTCAAGGCCATGGCCGCTTTTATTTTTTAAAGAAAACAATACAATAAGGTACTGAACCAAACCAGGTACTGAGTCAAACCTCACACCTGTAAATATCAATTTGTATATAGTTAAAATAAACTGTTAAAATAAATACTAGTAGTCTATCAAGCTTTAGTGTACAGAATGGATAGCAAAACGAAAGAAATATTATATTAATTTCATGAAATTGGGACATAAAATTCTTTCCCATCATGAATATAATTCCATAAAAGGCTGAGCATCACTTTCAACAGAAATGGTTATACTTCTGTGTGTGAGTATTGGGACATGTTCTCATCTTGTTTACCACACCTTTCAATATAATAAATTTCATTTAGTATTTTTTTGGAGTTTGGAGTTTAAATTAGATTTATATTATATACATACCCTTTTCCTTAATGTCTTTTATAAATGGGGCTATACAAATCTGAACAAAATCAGGAGCATAACCAAGTGTCTGCAAAAAGAGGAAAAGAAATGAGTGTCGGGTGCTAACCCAATATACATCCACTGAGCATCAATTGTCTGTGGTAATCTGTACTCAAATTAGATTTAATTAAACACTACTAACAAAATACAAAGCCCAAATTAGCACAAAAATCTTTGTGTGTTATTAAACTGTAGTGTACTTTGGGGGTGGAGTATTAACCAAATATGCTTCAAAATTAGTGCTAGGTATTGCGACTGCAGTCATGATACGATACATTTTGCGATACGGGTGCTACGATACGATTCGTATTGTGATTCATAACCAGGTCAATATTTACCAAGAAAACAACAGGATAAATGAATAATGGATATATTCATTGGAATCACTAAAACCGGGAAAGAAAACTGCAATCAAAATAAAGACCAAAACAATTTAAGGTTGTTTTTGTACCTGTGGATAACATGTGACATGGATAATTTAGAGTGAAAGGTTAGTTACTGAAGCAACAGAAAAACATAAAAATGAATCGTAAATAATCGATTCAGCATTTCGCAATTCAATATGCGAATCATGAAAAGGTGAGTCGCGATACATCGATATATTGTGCCAGAACTCTTCAAAATCAATCAAAATAATGATGTTGTGGAGTGCGGGGGTAAATAAAAATATCCCCATTGATTTATTTCCTTCAAACTTAGTATAAACTCATAAGAATTAAAAACTTACAGGTGTTCTGTGTTTTGCTGCTGTTAATAGTGACATGGTTATCTCTGATAAATAGTCAAACATTATGTAATCAACTTTAGCTCCATAAATTAACTGTGGTGCTGAAATAAATCAATACATTGGAGATAGTTTTAAATATTAAATTGATACTTTTACCATTGACAATACTGACATATCTTGAAACTTTAAACAATAGTTGAATACTGAACACCTTTATAAGGTTACAAGCAGAGTATATATTTGGTCTATGATTTAACTTGTTTTATTTTGAGCTTCATAGTCTATAATTTCCTTTCAAATATACTGTTATTAGATATAAGAATGTTTGAAGGGCTGAACACATGCCTGCAGCCAACATTACAAATTACAAGTTTACTTTCAGAGATCAAAGAAATAATACTGGTGGCTTTCAAGGACTCATACAAATATAACAAGGCCACAATCTAAATATAACACATTAATGAAAAATGATTGACTTGTTATAGAGCTACTGATAATAAGTTTATACCACAATAGGGTGTTAACTAATAGGTACTTGATGGTATAGGCCTATAGGCTAATCATCAGCAATAAAGATCAATTAACAAATGGCTTCATCATCCTTCTTTTTCATACATTCAGTCATTTTATAGTACACCTGTCATATATTAAATTAATTATTCCTCATCATTTGAAAAATCAGTTACATGTGAGAATATATGTTGAGAGGCACATTTCAAGAGGCACATTTCCTCTTGATTTGGAATAAATATGTACCGGTATTTTTCATTTAAATAAAACTTTGACTTCTTTTCTAATGGTAGTTGTAACAATATTTGTGTACGTAGCCTACATCTATTATTTATATACTGTTCCTTGCTAGGCCCTCCATCCTGCACAACTAACAAGGGGAATCCACGCCAGAAAATCATGGGGTACTTTCTCAGCCAACACAGGATCAAGCCCCAGACCTCCTGGTTAGTGAGACAACCCTTATTCTGTTTAAGAATTATAAAGAGGATTAATCAAGGGGTGTGTTTAGGCCCATTTCATTTGGCATTTCATAAAAATTTCAAAAGCATTTTTAAAATGTGGTCATTGAATCTTTATGATCAACCGAGTTCAATTAGTGTCTGATTGTTTGCATATATAATTTACATCTATAGTATTAAGGATGCGACTTTCGTAACCCTGGTCATGGGGACTGTCATAAGGTTAACATGAATGTGACCTTTGACATTGTTTTGTTTACATTCAAATTTAGGACAAAACGAAACTCACCTGCTACTGCAGTGTCTCCCCAAAATCCACAAGCGCATCCTATTTTAACAGTCTTTCCCCGAATTAGCTGTGAAAGCGGTCGTCTTGCTATAAAGAGTTTAGAGGTATTTAGCGTGTTATGTAACAGAAACAGCTTGTTAGTGACTGTCATCTTAAATCTCCCACTGTACGCGGCCATATTGATTTCCACATTGACATCAATTTGCGCATGCGTGATCACATGACCGACACTTATTACTTTTGCAATATGGACGACGTTCTGACAGATGAAACGTTATTGTGTAAAATTAAACACTAGCATTTGATTTTAGCTATTTTAATAAACACTCTCACCATGTACATCGAGTAAATAAAGGTTTGGTTATTTCGAAGGAGTATAAGAACAAACCACGAAGATGGCCGAGACGGTGTATGGAACCATAGAAGAAGGGCATGTTATGTCTGAAAAAGTCCAGTCTCTAGCTTCCACCGTGTACAAGGAATTTGAGAAAATGATTCAGAAGTACGACGAAGATGTTGTCAAAGAACTTATGCCGCTAGTCGTTGGAATTCTTGAGAGTTTAGATTTATCATATATTGAAAAACAAGAAATTGAAGTTGAACTCGAATTATTACGAGATGACAACGAACAACTGTTGACTCAATATGAACGAGAAAAACAACTGCGTAAAGCATCTGAACAGGTCAGTATTTATGAAATTTATGATGGTTATATTATATAATGATAATAGTGGCTACTAATTTGCCCGAATGCATGTCAGATATGTATGTAGACGCCTCTGTTCGTGTCAGAATTCTTTTTACTTTTGTTAAATAAAGGAGCTAAATCGCTAATATTTGGGAACTAGAAATTGACAACAAATGGGTTGCAACGTATATAATATAATATAATATAATATAATATAATATAATATAATATAATATAATATAATATAATATAATATAATATAATCAGGTAATATGAATGTATAAACTGATTTACATTCAATTGTTTCTGTGTTTACTCTAATTTCATAGATTAAACGGAAGTACAGGTATCTTATTCTAGTCTGTCAGTTGCAATAGACAAGAATTTTACATTAGATGGATTTAAAATATTAAATGCTTACTTAGAAACTGGTACTGTAGCAGAGTAACATAGAATTACAGTTAATCGGTAGGTCAACACAGATATAGACTACTCCCTGTCTATTTTTTTTTTTGAAATTGTGACAATATATGGTAAATTAAACAATACCATTGCTTATGATTGTCATCTTATTTATTTTTTAAGAAATACTTGGAAATGGAAGATGCAATTGAAGGAGACAAGAAGAATATGGAAGATAAAGTAGAAAGTATGGAATCTATTATCAGAATGTTGGAATTAAAGGCAAGGAATGCTGCTGACCATGGTAAGACAAATATATTGACAAGTTTCAGATTTGATCTCATTTTAATAATTAATAATAAAAGAGATATACTATCCTTCTCAACAAAGAAAAGGGACCAGCAATATAAACAATTTTTGTTTGTAAAATTAAATTATTTCTGTACTTAATTAACAGGTAAAATTGTTTATTTTTAAGTGACCAGATTAGAAGAAAAGGAATCTGAAATGAAAAAGGAGTACAATAAACTACATGAAAGATATACTGAAGTATGTTTGAATTTTTGCGAGCATCTTTATCTTTTCTAAGTATGCTACACTGACAAATGCAAGTTTTCCTCACCCAAGATGCCAAAATTTATATAAGAAACCCCAGTTTTTGATGAATGGGGGAAAAGTACCTTTTTTTTAATGAATTACACAGAGCAAAAAAATGCACAGTCTACAGAACTTTAATGGTTTTTGTTTTAATTTTGCTCATTTACAATTTATTAGGTAAATTAAAAAAAAACCAAAAAAAAACATTACACATATAACTTTCAATAAGAAAATGAACAATTATTTTTATATATCATATCATAGGCCTATATTCAAAATAACCTAGAGTCCACTCATCTCATTGAAAACTACTAATACTATGTAATTATATGCAAATCATACTGAATGATAGTTATCAAATGGTTAAATCTCTGTAAGCAGTAACATCTCCAAAATGCTAATACCATCAAAAATTGTGGATTTGCATGTGTATTTGTGCTTTGTTTTAAAGATGATATTTTTATTGTTGTATATTACTGTAATAATTGCTTTATTTACAGTTGTTTAAAACACATATGGATTACATGGAAAGAACAAAAATATTGATGGGAACAGATAAACTTGCAGAACTTACAGGCAACAGTCCTAGAATAAAGTAAGATAATATGATTAATGCTTTTAATACCCCAGATTGTGGCTCCTGGTACTAATCCATTAAATGCCATGTTTGCATTGTTTCTTGTGTGTTGAACATGATAAGCAGATGCAATACTAACACAATTTCCTGCCTTTGGTCTAAACTTTCTGATCAACAATATGGTGATAATTTTTTCATTGATATTTCATTATCCCCCTTAGAATGATCTTCACTTAAAAAGTCCTGACTAGACACTCTTTAAAGATACCTTCCTGCATACAAACTGGATGTTTTGATGATATATTTGGACTAAATAAATATATCATAATTTTGCTTCAAGTCCTTCTCAAAACATTGTATTCACGATTAAATACCCCAAGCTATAAAAATCTTTTAAAAGAAGTCATGTTTGAGTCACTTGACTTGGTGGAGAATTCACTGCATATAATAATAGACTATGTTGTTTTTAAACGCTGTCAATTTTCATATATATCAAAGCCATGATTCAATTCTCGAATTACCCACTGCCCATGTCTTTTTCCATGGTTTTTATCTCAGAAACTGTTGTAAGTTTAAGTCTGTCACTTTTTCCTAGTCCGCTCACCATCAAGTTTATCAACATATACATGGGTGTTTTTCGAGGAATCAAGTATTTTTCTAAAAGATTGTGTGTCTCCATTTTCCATATACACTAAAATTGACATACTTTTATTGGGCATAACCACCCAATAAATACTTTTGTGGGAAAGTATCTTTAATAAAAGTTTGATTTGTTTTTCCTAAAATAAACAGTTCCACATACCGGTATATCTCGAGTGATAAACTTGTATGATCAGTTCAGTCATCAGCTGAAGTTGTAGGTGGTCAGTTGATCATGCCATATTGTACAGCAGTGGCTGCTATTGTTAAACCATTTTACTGAAAGATCCAATCTAGTTTATTGAAATTGTAACAAATGCGTAGGTACATGCATATTTTTCAGTGAATTTCAATATATTTACATTCTTTAATTTTCAGGGGTTTCCAGTTACCTAATTTGCGACCAGTCAGTATGATATTAAATACTGGGGAGACACCCAGTAGGGGTGACAACAGTCCTATGGGTTTTGACGTTACCTCCCCATCCAGCGGGAAAGATTCCAATGTCAGTATCAAAAGTGAAATGGGAGATTTTGAGTCTCAGGATTCAAATCGTCTCAACTCAACGGGTGAGTCTAAGGAAACCAGTGATAAGGTGCAGATGACTGACATAATCAACGTGACTGATGAAAGTACCACCACTAATACAAGTAGGCCAAAACCTAAATCACCCCACTTTAAAAAGCATAACGCTTGCAAGCCGCCTTCTTGCTCCATGCCTAAGTTTAAATATACTCGCTGCTTAACACCGGCTGTGGATGCATTTGAGCCTTACGCCTTTTCAGGGTTTTTGCCTTTTTTTCTTACTGCATAACTAACATGTGCTAACACTTCAACATACTGCAAATTATCTGTACAAGAACTGTCAAAAAAACGAGCAGTGAGGAACTTAAATATATTGCTTTTCAAGTTTTATTTTATCGATTTATTTAAGATTTCCTCTAATGTTATAATTTTGTTAACTTTTACTCTTATTTATTCTAAATTAATATTGTGTCGTTTTATACAAGATTTTGTTACATTATTTTTAATATTGCAGTAGGTTTAGCAGTGTTTTCATTTATCAAGTGCTTGCTTTTATGCTTTTTAAATGCAATGGTTATTGGACACCTAACTCTGAATTCATTACATAATTTCATCACATGATCTACCATATAAACTGTTTGCATCATCTTTCATTTTAATAATAAACAATACATACATTTTCTCTAACAACAAAACTCAAACTTACAATGCAAGGGCTGGAAATTAAAAAAGAATTCTCATGTATTTCATTGAATTCTTGAGGATGTAGTTAAAATCAGAATGCTGAAAAGAGTATTATTAGTAGTTAGCAACCACATACAACAAATTAGTTCAAATTGTGTGACTAGGCTCATTTTGATAGCTATTGTGATGGTTGACAGTTTCTTTCCAAACCTCCAAAATTCCTACCCTGTCATGCCTTGTATTATACTCTTTTTTTGTAAGCTGAATCATTTACCTTTCCAAACATTTATCTCCAACCTTTCAATCCAAAGTTGTGCAGAAAACAATAGACCTACAATATATCAATATTTCTACATTTTTCGGCAATATTCATTGGTGGTATTGTTTAAGACACAACTTCCAATATACAAGTAGAAAGATATGGGATACGCACTTGAAAAGTAATAAGGTTTTCTGTCCATGTATTATTATATATGGTGTTGTAGGAAGGAAATCTTTGTGAAAATAATCAAAAACTCCCAACTTTTGGAAGAAGGGCCCAAAAATATGGCCTTTTATTTCTAACTCTTCCCTGGTGATCAACCCTCAAAATAGTGGTAATGAAATCAGATGTTTTGGACTAAAAACAATGCATATAAATGCAATATGCAGAAAGAGTACATTGTACATCAAAAAGCCTCCCGAACAATTCTCCAGTTCCAAATGAAAATGGGTTACACTTGACAAATGTCAATGAATTGGACAGTGTGGACTCAGCCTTTATATGATAATGTTGTAATGCATGAACATATTTTTATTTAATGCCCTCTTTCTTTTAACCTATTTATGTTCTCTTAACTATCAATGTTTTTATTTCATTTATATTCTTTCTTTTTTCACAATGTTAAATTGCATGATAATATTATAATTGCATCTGAATGTGCTTGCTGTATGATTCATTTTATATGTCATGATTCCTACTGTAGATAGCCTAATATATTATATATTGGAGATCCTTTTAGATTGTATTTTTAAATATCTGTTGTTAAATGTTGTTTATATGTAAATATACCATTTGTATTATAATGTATATTAGAAAAGAAATGACAAACCTGCTATAGCATAATTGTACTCAATGCAGAGCTCAGAGAGACAGTTCATATATGAAAGATTATCCATAGAACAAATAATAAATCTATCAACCAAGAAATCTTCAATGTTCTAATCTTTGTTTTGTTTTTTTTAATGCATGAACATGCTTGAATTTAAACTTCTCTTAATTTTAAGGCTTTGATTATCACTATTTTTAGCCTGTATTCAGAGATCATTATTATGTAAACTAAGTTGTGGCATATTTTGGGGATATAAATGCTTTTTGGGTATATCATTTAGTTACTTAGTAATGGATTCAATGATATTATCATTTGCTACTGCATCTATATTAATTCCAGTTTGGGAAAGATACTAATTCTTTGTCCAACCATGCAAGTCCCTTCTTATCTACTCTGCCATTGATACCCAATAATGGCTGCCATGATTATTTACTTCTACCCTACTGGTTCTTAAATAACACATGATAAACCAAAATAAAATCAAGTCTTGGATAGATAGATTGATATATGGTGAAAGTTTCCTTGTTTGTCAAAAAGTGATTTATTGAAGGCAGTGATGATTTAATGTATGAGTACCAGTAATCTTATCTTATTCAATGAGTTTTAACAATCGTTTGCATGGATTAAATCAAATCTTTCAAGTCAAATTACTAAAAGTAAAACATGATTAAAGAACACCATTGCAAACATACTGTAATTTTATTTCTACAACCTCTAGTCATTAATTACAATGGGTAGCACATGGATCATTAACTTTTCACATATTGGACATGGCTAGACTTCCTTTAACCCAGGGCATTGGTAGTGTAACTAAATGGGGGTAGTTTCACAACTTAATGTGTAAAGGCTTAGGACAGAACAATTACTGTGTCAATGACTGTTTTTGTAATATTATTTGACTGTCAAAGTCTTATTAGTTTTGCTTCAGTTTACATGGAGAATTTATGGTGGGAAAATTGCATAATATAGAAAACTACTTTATGAAGTATAGGAATGTGTTGTTGACCTACTTTGGTATAGGGTATATATAAGTAACTGTAAACTAATTAGTTGGCCTAATTTAGTCAATTGTTCCCCCCATTGTCAAATCATTTGTGACAGACCATCTGTTCAGTGGGGGTGAGGGGTTATGTCTGCTTCCACCTCGGGTGACATCACAGTCTTAAAACCATCTGTTCAACAATAACAGAAATATTACTCAATTTTATGAATAATATTCATATTTAGATAATTAGGTTTTGGTATGAGAGCCAGTGTGGAAAAGGTTGATACTTTACATTAGCATAAAGTCGTACACCTCATTCTCAACTGAGAAGAGTTTTGTGTGTGGGATTATGATAGTTCTCCCCAAATAGAAAAACTATGACTCTTGGCATTATGCTCACCAATATCAGTGCTCACCAAGGCCAGTGAAAGAGTCAGACATTTTGCACTGGAGTTAAACATTTATGTTCATCAAATGAATTATGTAATTTTGGTCCTACAATAGTCTGACATTTTGGACTGGGGGTTTAATATTAATGTTCGTCAAAGGAATTATATACATAATAGCCCAGATATATGCTGCATCTTAGATTACATGATTTATGATACTTTGACATTTATATATCTTGTAAAACTAATAGTATTGGTTTTATTAAATGAAATCTTTGAAAAACCAGACAAATACACAGAGTTTAAAAGAGTATTACATACATACTATTTAGATTAAGACTTATGCTTTGAGTATATTTAAAGAGAATGCCCAGAACAATCTGAACTCGTTCCTAATTATTTCCACTTAAAGCTAAAATTATATGATAAGAACTGAAGGATTAGGAGTAATTATTTGTTATATTCCTTAGCAAATCCTTATAGGTATAACTTTAGTTATACCACTTAGTCTTTGATCTTAGCATGACCCTAGCACATAGTAATTTTGGGCTGCTTTTTTTTGTGTAAGTGTGCTTTATTCAAGAACACTACACAAATTTAAATACAAAGATCCATCACAGTCCCACTTTCCTCAGCGGATCCTGTGGCTTAAAAAGAAATACACCACTGCTTTACTCTTGTAGAAAGTCTGGATTACCAAAGCTTCATTATTGCTTTTTTTGATGTTTATTTCTGCTTGTTTATTTTAAGTCACTGCTTTTTATTTATGTTTTTTTTTTTACCATTTTTGTGTTATTTTGCTTTTTATCAGAAAAGGCTTCTGTTCCCGTTCCTAATGAAACCATTCCAAATAGCAACACAAACACTGAAGATATTAAAGAAAATGTATCTCGTGCAGACTCACAAACTCTTTCAAAAAAGCATTCGATAAGCTTAGATCAAACCGATGCCAAAAACGATGTAGAAATACGTAGTGATAAAAATAAAGTGGAAGAATACAATGCAAACGTGTTTGAGCGTCTGCATAGTCAGTTTTCAGAGGACGGGTATGAAGAAGACCCGATCTCTGCTGGTGAGTGTTATAAAACATAAGTATATAGATTATATTATAGGAAAACGTTACTTACCAATACCATATAATATCATTATCAGAAAAGAATTTAAGAATTTTTTGTAATTGTAAATATGGCTAACAATCCATATTCCATTTCATCTGACAAGTCACAAAACCATACCATTATTCATTATCATTGTGACATCCCAACTTTGACATGACAGACATTAAATTGCTTTCACTGCACAATATTGTTATCAATGGTTGCTTTTTAAATTTGCTCTATTTTATGTCGTTCTTATTGCTTTATGTGTACAAAATATTTTAGATAAAGCAAAGTGAATTTCTGGAATGTTGTGTAACATAATCCCGATCTGAACATTCTACATGTCAAATTTTAAGTCTTGATCTGTTTACAACAGCCGACATGTTTAGCAAAAAAAAAGCAAAACTAAAAATAAGTAAACTGATCGCCTTTGAGTTTATTTACGGAAATAAAGATTTAATAGAATTGAACTTAAATCATCATTGATCGAATTAAACATATTATCAGATGACTTTAATTCTACACTTTATTTTGACCTGTGTGTGTGATTTTTGGGCGGCAGCTGGAGGGTAAAGTACTTGAAATTGGCTGGATTTTACCCTTGGACTGGTCCTGCTTCATTAGATATTTTGACTAATTAGTAAACAAAATCTGTTGCAAAAAAGAGAAATTAAGGATGAACCAAATTAAGCTACTTGTTGCTAATGAGGTGTGAAAAGGACTGTAAATTTATCTAGATCAAAGAAACATAACTTTATCCAAGTTGTAAAATAGGATTGATAGTTTGACATCTGTTGCAATGCTTGGTACTTATCATGTAGATATGTTTAAACAAGTGAAATCTTGATTTAATTATTTATCAACTTATTAAACATAAATTAACTATTTAGATTACAATGACAAAAAGCCATAACAGACTATCTCACCCATTCCCCACTTTTGAACTAAATAGTTGTTGTAGATCTGTAACGCATAATGTTATACAACATTTTAAAATCTTATCATGTTGCACAACATTTTAGACTCTTTATCATGTTACACAACATTTTAGAATCTTATCTCTCAAGTTTAAACATGAAATATTTTAATGAACAAAAGAATTAAATTTTGATTTGATTAAAATGTTGATTTATATTGTTTGCTTTATCCCAATTTTTGCTAAATTATTTTATCCCATTTTTTCATGCTGCTAATTAAATGATGATTAATTGGTAAGATTTATGTTAAATAGTCAAACCTATCATTACTAATGTAAACTTATTTTTTGGTAATTGGGACTTTGAAAATTAAATATTCTACATGTATGTGGAGTTGGAATGGACATTACAAATTGATGCCATTGGAAAATTTGTGAAGACTGCTTCAATGTACCCAGCCAAGTAAAAGAAATATCTGGATTCAAAATCTTTTCTTTAAAAATAACATGTATATTTTTGTAATTTTTTTGTCCAGGATTGGGTGATACTCTTGCATCTATAGTGGCAACAACGCCAGAACTTGATGAAAATTCAGAATCTTATAGTAATCATTTAGTCAATGACAGCGCCAGTTCTAGGAAAGGGTAAGAACACAATAATCCATGTAAACAAGCCTGCAACGCCTGTAAATTTTACTGAAATCTGTAGATGGGTCTCTTTTTGATCCTATTGAATCCAAGTCGGGAGATTATCTAACGTTGCTGTTTTTGTTTTCTTAATTGAATGTTATTAAATCAAATTGAATATTTTTTTAGCTTGGATTAATCTGAAATATTAGATATTGTCCGTTAAATGACGATCAACATCTTTTGATACTATATTTTGACTTGAATCAAAGAGGTTTAGCTCCTTTAATTAAAATATATTGTGATTTATATTTTTACAGTCCAGTAAAGAAGACAATATATGATGAATTAGCTGTTTCTAGTAGTGATATGATAGCAGAAGTAGATTTTGGAGCAGATATTACAGGTAGGTTTTAGCTCAAAGTATGTTTACATTGATAAATCTCATTGCATTTGGATTGGCTATGAATTTACCATATATACAAGTGTGTGTTATAAATTACTATATAATTTGTGAGAATATGGAACACATTTTGCTTGTTTTATAATCAATATTATATATATTGACAGCTTGTGTTGTAGATTTATATATCTTATTATTGTAATATTATACATATTATACACATAAAGAAAAAAGTCCAAACATATTCAACTGAAATTTAACAATTAAAAAAATAAACTTTGAAAAGAAATATAGAAATGATCTTTTAGAGGCATTTTAGTAACTGGATAGAGCAATAAACTATAACACATACTTATGGAAGAACATTGCTTGAAAACGTTGAGAGAATACTCTTCGAAACGTCACCTAAATAAATCAGTAATTGTTCTTCCATAAGTATGTGTTATAGTTTATTAAATATAGAAATGTCATCTGTATATGAAAATTATTCAACAAATGTATAATTATGTTAATATTAACCAACTCAACATAATCATGTATTAGAAAATCTACACATTGGTTTTGAACATTGCACTCCAGATTTGATCCTTTTCTAAGTAAAAAACATTTATGTTTCCTCAGAACGGATCTATGGATGGGCCTCATGTTTTAAACACAATCAGAAATGAACATAAAGTTACTGCCACATAAAAATTGCCCTTTTAAATATCGATGGCTATCTGTACATGTAGCTTTGTTACTACAGAAAGTCCACACGTGAATATTATTTTATATACCTTATTTATTCTACTTATCGTCAACTAAATTAATATTTTCAGGTCGAGAGGTGAACCCAGGAGATTATGCTTCGTCAGGTAAATTTTCACACTGTTTCAAACTGCATGTACTATTTATTCCTTTATACAAACATATTCATTATTTCCTGTAATTTATATTTTAGTTCAAATTTCCTTATAAATTATTTTTTTTGATAAATATCATCAACATGCAAGGTTAATTAGACTAATAATGAAATAATAAGGCTGTAATAACATAAACTTGCCTGGAGACATTTGTAAATATTATTTCTTAAAACCTTTCCTTAGATGTTACATGGACATGAAATATACATGCGTATTGATGTCATTTCTAAATATTAAATAAAAAGCAGTACTAGATATATGAAGATGCATTAATTCAAACATTAATAGTCAAACATTAATACTATTATTATGCAAGTTTGATTGATACAAATGTTGATTATATCCTGATAAACTCTTATTCTTAAAATTAGCTTACTTATCTGTAGTGTTGTCACAATTACAAAATTCTTTAATCGCCTAATCAGCTATCCAAAAATCATTTCGGTGCTTATTAATCGGATGCCATATAAATTCTATAATAGTTTCCATACAGAAAATAAGTTAAAGGTGTTAATAGGCAGCGATTCGTATGGATACATTTTGCGTTTATGTATGGAATATTCAAAAGTGTGTTTAGCAGACGGTAAAAATTAAGCATAATAATTAATATGTAATTTTTTATATATAAATTGGATGAAACGACTACCAATATTTCAAAATGTGAATCGGTTTGAGCTAGAAACCTAATCGACTACGATTAAACTGATTAACTGTGACAACCCTACTTATCTATCTGCATCTAGTCGTGTCAACTATTAGTATCACATAATCTGACCTTTTCTACGTCATAGTATCAGATTATTTCTAATTAATTGAATATTTGATGAAATCCATATTTTACAAAGGATTTTTCATTAATTATTTACCACTTACCAGTAATATGAAAGTAAATGTAGTCAAAGTTTTTGCATAATTATTTTTCACGTTAAAACTTTAAATTGTAATTTAGTTTATATATTTTACTGTAATAGATGTTTTATTTATATAGTAAACTGTGTTAATAGTTTAGCATGATTATTTTATGTTTTGCAAATTATTTATTTTGATGAATGTTGTAATGTTAATCTTATTGCATGTTTTGTTTATTTTCTTCTTTTGCTCCATGGATTGTTTATTAGATGATGAGAAAGATGAGAAAGAATCTAATGGTACGAAATTACCTCCCTTTAATATACACATCTTTCTATTTTCCTCTCTATGGCTATCTTTGTCAGTTTCTAAACACACTGATGATGATTTGAACATGATAATGCATTTTAAAGCATGTAACTTGATTTTTTTACAAAAAAAAATATATAGCTTTTTCTTCCTGATATTCAAATAATGTGTTCAACCAAATTGAGGTTTTAAACTTTCTCAATTTTGTTGAAATGAAAAATATCAAATGGGCATAAAATGACAAAAACATTCAGTTGTTGTTGTAAATTCAACACTTTGTTTCTTTCTAGTAGTTTGATGTTATCTTTATCTATTTCTCCCACCATTTGTTGAAAATGAAGATCAAATATAACAGTTTTTGATCATATTATTTTTTAAAGTATGAAAAATTTACATAATTAATAGCAACTGAAATAATGCTACTGCGTCATTTATTTCTTTCGTGAAAAAATGATCAAGATTTAAAAAGAATCAAATATATTTAAGTATTATAGTTATTTTATTAGGAGCATGATTAATATAATAAGTTACTAATATAGTGTATTTTTTTTACCCTTTGCATTGTGCCATTGTCCTTGCCTGTTGCCTGTAATGTTGGAATCAACAGTTAGTGACAATTTCTTTGGTAAGATAAATATTTGTTTTACTTTGGTTGCTTCCATTATTTTAATGTTCATTGACGGGCAGTCAATGTCTGATCAAAAGTTCAAAATAAAAATAGAAAGTGATGATATAAAAGCTTAAATGTTTGTAAACAGTTTGTAAACAGCAGTCGCCATTGATTGAGCATAGTATATTTACATTGAATTAGATGCACAAAGTAGTTGTTAGTGGTTGAATTTTTGCATGGTTTGGAATTATTCACGAAAACTTATGATTATATGACAGCCTTTCGACATCATGAATTTATTTATAGGTATGGGTAAAGAACTGGAGAATTTAATCTTAGAAAATACAGAATTACTGGCTACAAAGTAAGTGTTTCAAGTTTTTCAATTTGATTGGTAAACAAACAGGTTGCAAAGTAAGTGGAGAACGGAGACTGACAGAAAGCAGTTGAAGACCGCTTTTCATAAAAAAGAGTCCTTCTGGTCTACATATAGTTTACATAATTTGAGTTGACTTGTAAAACATTGTTTCAGATGATAACTTAAATATTTTGTTTCTTTCAGAAATGCTCTCAATATAGTTAAAGATGATCTCATAGCTAAAGTAGATGAACTCAGTGGGTAAGTGCATATACATTTTCTAAATAAAGCATTTCCTTTTGAATTTTTTAATGTCATGGTTGTGACTCCATTCACTAATACCTGTGTGCAAGCTGGACCAGGGGAGATTTAAGATTATTACGATAACTCCAGTAATGATTCTATAAGAGTTACGGTTCTTGCTTCAAGAAGGTTGAATATTAAAGACAATTGGATAAAAGATGTAGATTGTTTTATTGCATTGTAAGAATGTGCCGTATTTTAGTTCTGAGATATTTGATAATGTAGTTCAGGCATCGATATTTCTGCGCCCGGCACTATTTTTTGCCGCCCAGCACAAAGAAAAAATCGAAGAAAGCCGCCCAGTCGTATTTAAACCCCTTCGTCCTTCTCTGTACACAAACTCGGCGCTCGAAATTTACCACAGCAATTAAACGGCAAAGCCATGGTAAAAGCCGACGTACGCAAACCATGTCTGTCACGGCATAATTTATTTTTGTGTGCCGTAGTAGACCCTATCATCCCAAATTAGTTTTAAGAAAGGTGTATTGGTATTTTGTTTATTTATACTTAGAAGATGTGTAGGCCTAGATCTATTCATTTTACAATTATTCTACGGTCTTTATATTTGTTTATTTGCCGTAGGTCACCCAGACCAATTTACGGCACTCCAATGTTAAAGGTTTGAATGTCGTAATTGTCCAACACGTGCCTGCAAATGTTCACGATGTTTCTTATTTTATTTCTTACCTGTGTTGACCGTGGATTTGCTACGGTCCGAGAGTAGCAAGGAGGACGATGAGAACTTTCTCAGTTTCTGCCTGACCTGATTCTCATTCCACCCTTATAATAATAATATTCGTGAGACACGTACAACAACTTTACAAACAAGTCAAATAATACAACGTGTTTTAATTATCAATATCTACCTGTTGTCATAATTCGTTGTACTCAAATAAAACACAAACACCATTTTAAGACTCGTTTTAATTTTTAATCTCAAAGTAATAAAGTAATATTTGAAAAAAACCCAACAAAACAACAAATACCGAAAGGTCCTCAACAACTTATCTATCCAGAGAAACAGAGTGGGGCGGGACAATTTTTTGCTCGGTCGGGTGGTGTCAAAAAGTTTTTAGATCCCTGTATCATTGATGAAAATTAAGTGAATTTGGTAAAATTTGAATATATAAATGGAAATTTGATTTGCACTGAACCAAATACAAAAGGCAGCAGATGCTCTGAAAAAAACACCAAGAAGGGTTTAATTTTCATAAAAGACCACGCCCCCCTCCCAAAAATTTTTTGCCCTCGCTCCGCTCGCCAAATATATTTTAACACCACTCACCAAATCCTGGCTACATCCCTGTGTTTCAGTATGACCCTGCAGGCACGTTTTCAAGTGTGTGCGCAGGCACATTTTCAAGTGTGTGCGCAGGCACACTCAACTTTTATAGAGTCCTGATGTAGTTACATAGCTGTTGACTGCAAAATTTGACGGAGTGAGAGTGAGATGGACAATTGGTTCAAAAATGTGTCTGTGAACTATGTATGACATGTCAGTATAGTTGTGGAAAAAGTTTTAAAGTAACTAAAACTTTCCACCATTCCAGCACAAATTGCTCAACTTTTTATACTGTAAAGTGTAAAACTAGAAAATAATATGAGCAAGAAATTAATGCATTAAATGCAACCTGCGTCTCATTTCTGTTACATAAACTAGTGTATTACTTCTTTGTTCAATATATATTTAAGATACTCAGTCTTAAATTTAGAAAAGGAATGCAGTGGGTTGCATTGATTTCAAGACACAGTAATTTTTTGTTTTACAGACTGTTAGTATCACTGTTGTATCTGCTACTGACTTGAAGTAGGCTATGGAAAATATGTATGCTTATTGTTCTACTTTCAGTGAACAAGAAATATTACGAGAAGAAATAACGTCACTGCAGGCAGTAAGAGGACGTTTACAATTAAGAATATCATCGTTAGAAGAGGAATTAAAGAAAACAAAGGAAGAATTAGAGAAAAAGAACCAACCTGCATCCACCGAAGAAGAGGTATATTCTTTATACAGCTGAAATCACTATATCATATACTTTGACTAATATGATTCCTGTACCCTGAGGTGTTACTAAGATTGCTGAGGATGCCCTAGTGGAAGTGTAATCCAAGCAATGATGAACTCTTTTTCCTCAATGAGCATGCCTGTAACTTAGGAAATCAGAGGACCTGGAGAAAACCCACGAGGTTGGACAGGTGAACCACTCATTGTCACGTACATGCGCGGAATCGAAACTATGCCACTTGACTCAATGACAGACCTTTTGATCTATTGTGTACGCCTTAGATCATGTGGGCACCAACCAACCAATACCCCCAATTCCCGGGATTTAATGAACACAGTATAAGCCTGTGTTAGAGAAGATAAGGGAGGTAATAATTGCTATTAATTGATAAACAAATACTTATATCTTATTATTACTATAGGGTGATGTCCCAATGGCACAGAGAAAGAGATTTACCCGTGTAGAAATGGCAAGAGTTTTAATGGAAAGAAATCAGTATAAGGAACGATTGATGGAATTACAAGAAGCTGTACGATGGACAGAAATGATCCGAGCTTCCAGAGAGCATCCAGAGCTTACTCCAAAGAAAAAATCTTCCATTTGGAATTTGTAAGTATTGTTTAATTATTCCTTCCTTTCACAATAAGCACTTGTACAAACACTTTCTTGCTTTAAGAAACACTTTCTTATTCAATTTTAAAGTATGATTTTGTTCATTTTTGTCGGAAAAAAAGGTTTTAATCAACATAGTCATAGTACATGTACATAAAACTTTAAACAAAATACTTATTAAAGTATATCCGTTGTGAACCTATTAAAATAGATCTGCATTAAAAGAGAGGGGGGGGGGGTACTTTTGGAGGGAGACCTATACTGACTATAATTTCACTAATTATTTCTTCATCTGACCTGGATTTATTTATTTTTTATTTGTTGGTTGGATTTGATGTCTGTCAGCGTGTATAGTCTATTATAACATCACTGTTGTGACTGATCAATTGGTTTTATTAATTATTCTCCATTCTTTATGGTGATTGGTTAACTATAGTATGTCTTAATCAGTCGTGCATTTGTTTTTGCCCAAAGTTTTATTTTGGAGAGTTTTTTTACACTGCACTGTAAGTTAGAAATGCCACGAAATGGTAAAATAGGGAAATTGGATACCTTTGCTTAAAAACTGTAAAACAGTTTATAGAGATTTATGTAATCTTCCATTTGGAAAGTGGTATCATGTCCTGATAGGAAATTGAACATGTTCATTCATTGTATCAGACAAAAATCTGAAAGAATCTGAAATAATAATTCTTTATTCTGGATTGATCAATTTTTGAATTATATTCTTAGCATGATATCTATCAGTAATAAACGACAGTCTATGAAGTTATAAATATCATTTTGAAAAAAAAAATAGATTAAATATATTGAACAACTAACCGCATGCTATATTATTTCTGCATGTTTAGTTTCAGTAATCTAGTGGTATCTACCCCTCCTGATCCGCCCGAAAAACCTAAAAAGAACTCGAAGAATCAAACTCCACAGCCCTCTTCTTCATCTTCCCACCATTATAAATCTCATATACAGCATTTATAGCTGTCATAACTATAGGAAGTTTAACAAATTTATGCAGTATTTATAAAAGGGTCAGCGTTAATTATTATTAATCCTAACAGCACTTCATAGCAACTGTTATCCCACAATGTTACTTTATTATTTTATTCAAGGATAATTTTAATATTGGTTTGTAAATTATATGTGGCTTTGACAGTAATTGTTGGGGTTTTTTTTTTTAAAAAAAGATGAAAAATAACCATCATTTTGTCACTGCTTTTATTAGTATTATTAAAAAAAATCTTTCTCTGAAAACAAACTGGAAGAAATGACATATATTTTTCTTTTGACCAAATTCCATCCATTCTTTAAGAGGGGGGTTGGATGGCAACTGGCATGGTTTCGATTTCCCGGTTGTACATGACAAGGTGTAGGGTCGCCTGTCCAACCTCGTGGGTTTTCACCATGTCCTCTGGTTTCCTCCCACTGCTAAAGACCCTTACATGCAGGTGAATTATTGAAATAAAATTGAACGGTATGTTAGTTCCGAAATGACCTAGTTTGTGTTGAGTGAACGTTAAACTCCATTTCTCTCTCTCTCTCTGTTATCCAATTGTCTTTAATATTCAACTTTCTTGAAGCAAGAACTAACTGTAACTCTCATAGAATCATTATTGGAATTATCGTAATAATCTTAAATCTCCCCTGGTCCAGCTTACACGCAGGTATTATTGAATGGGGTCATAATCATGACATTCCAAAAATCAAAAGGAAATGCTTTATTTAGAAAAACTTTATATGCACTTACCCCCCCTTTCCAGATTTTATTTATGGTACTTTTATTCATTTCCTTCCCATGTCATAGATCAGTATACATGTTTTGAATTTTTTTTTTTTTTATTCTTTTGTTCAAGCTTTCAGTCGTCTGACCACTGACATTGTGATTATGAAAAAATTAATCATTCCAAGATCATCACTCAGTGGATATGCTGTCCAAGCTAGCTGAATCTTCCATAGTGCTAAATATTTCTAGCACTAGACAATAATGATCTATTGGATCTGTGCATTGCTGCAAGTTAGTTTGATATTGCATAGAGTAATCCTAGTTTCTTACATTTAATATACATACTACTATGTAGTGATATTCAGTATAATAAATGAAAACGTTTGCAAGCCATTCTTAGCCAATTAATTAAGTGAAATCTATAACGATTTACAAAATTGGAAATGAGTTTCAATGTTAAACAGTGTATTTGAGGTGCCAAATAATGATTAAATTCTAGTTTCTTAGCAAAAAAACTGACTCAATTATAAAATCAGATTAACGATAATCTTTACTAGTTTATATAGTGATACAGTTGATTCATATTAGTTTAATAATATGTTTGATTATTTATTTTTACACGTTTTCTTAAAATACTTTTAATACCTTCTTAATGAATTTGGTTACCGGTACTCGCTAAAAAAAAGGCCATAGATAGTTTGAACATATCTGTATGTTTTTATTGAGCTAATGGTTGAAACGGGTCTCAGAGATAGTCTATTTATAACAAAACTTTTATTGACGGTGAAGTTTTAAAGGCATTATTTAAACGTTGGATATTATTAACGCTGACTCTTTTAACATATATTTATGTACATAATATGATATTTAATTAATTAGTTTGGGGTCATCTCATGATTCTTAATTTTAATTTTGTATTTATATAACAATTTTATACAGAATTATTTCACAAATGAACTGGTCAGTAATAAGGGAATAAGTTATATTTAATATTTTAATTTGTAATAGGCTATGTAAAGTTAACTTATTGTAGTTTCCTGTGGAGAGTGAATCTTTACTATGATGAATATAAGCTAAATTTTTTAAAGATAAGTGTATATGTGCAAAGTGCAAACTGCAGATATTTTATATTAAATTTACTATCCAGAACTAGAGAATTTGACAAGAAAGTAGAATTGTTCATGACTTTAGAGAAGTCTGAAGCTAACTAAAAATCTAATGTGTGGATTTATTTTGATATTCATTTCTATGCTGGTTTTTTTTAGCTGTGGAAGTAAACTGGATATCTCTGAGAAAGTCCACAATATTAAGCAAGCACCCGTATTTTAACCCCTTATGTTTGTGAAAGATCTGTGATTCACTGCGTTACACTTTTGATCACTGGGCCACTTATTAGAGTGTTTGTAAGCTTGAAATATAATACCTCAAGTTCACATTCAGATTAGAAATCGTATTCATTAAACATATATGAATTGATGAAATACATTTTAACAATGTGTAAATTTCTCAAATGTCCACGTTAAATTATTTCTGTTGAGTTTGATTGAATTAATGTATGTGTAATAGAATCATGAGATGATCTTACAGCCTGTAAAACCAATAGGGATCTCTAGGTCAAGGTCACATATAACTTTTAATCGCATAATTAATTATAATTTAACCTCAACAGGCAGCAATGTCATCACATTTGCAGGTTCCATGTACTGATTTGTAATGGGAGTACAGATTATCTTTTATAAGTGCCTTATACATTGTTTTCAAATAAAAAAGATCTCCAACTTCTTCAACATTGAAATCAATTTATATCAAAATCTTTATAATCTTTATTGTGAGAAAATAACCTTTTCAAAGTTAATAGATTTAATTTTGGTTTTCAGATTGAAAATGTAGCCCTATCTAAATCACTCACCCCTTTGTAACTTACCTACATATTACTGCATGTTGACATTGCTTTTTGTGACCTAAGTTGCATTTGTTTTGCCATTTTGATCTACAGTGATCCCTAATGGTTCTTTTGATTTTGTTGTGTTCATTTTATTTTAAAAAGATATGTTGTTGAATTTTCTGTTATAATCTTAAATATAGCTATATTTTATGTCATTCATAAAGTTAATTGTTTAATAATATAAAACAGACATTCCGTCATTGATACATTTATTTGCTCACTAGAAATGTATTTTAAAAACAAAAGAATAAATATTCTGTGTTTTTTTTAGTTTCCGTGTTCTTGTGATTATTGTGGATCAAAGTGGCAAGCATGATTTAATAATGATATTAGCACGTACAGCTTTCTTATGTGATGTTAGCCCTATAATTAAACTGATTGGGTGATGTTGAATATTTCAGTATTGATAAGTTTAGGGGAGAACTTAACAGCCCTAGTGTATAATACTTTAGAATGTATATCGTTAAGATAGAAGCAGAAATAATGTTTGTACACGGCACAAAAAGCCATTCATAGAAGTAAATCCAATTTCACTTAGCAATTTGTTAAAAGAAATCATTTCACAAATATTTTGAATAGGATGTGTATGAAAGTACTCATCTGTATATGTCAATATCACCCAATGCAAGCTAGGAATAGAGCCTTCTGTCTTGAACTTCTGATCCCTTAGCTGTAGTCATGTTGATACTAACTTTATATCTGAGCATCTGATACTTCAAGGATCATGTGGGAATAATTCTGTAGAATTTTTGGGGAGGTTATTGTGGGAGATCTAATGTAACGTCACTTCAGATAACATGAAGATTTTCCCAATCCATGCATGAACAAAGAAGTCACTAGATTCTGTTTGGTTTCCACATTTCTGTATCAGTAATGTAAAATGTAAGGCAATGAAATTAGGCAATTGGCTGCATATACATTTATTATAACTGATACCAGTAGTTCTTAATCCCACCCCCCACACCAAACCAACAATTACGATTTCCTTACCCTTAATAATGTTTTGATGACCAACAAACCAACTGCTGGTATTCACGAAAAACAAAAGAAGTGATCAAAAGATTATTTGATTTTAGTTTCAGTAATTTGTTTAGCTCATCTAATAAACCTAAAAGACCGATTGCTGTTGCTACAGTTAAATATAATGCACCTACTACACAAGTACAACCAGTTGGTGATCCAAACAAAAAATCCAGAGAAAAAGAAAAGCTTGGCCAGAAATCTAAAGCTTATGAGTTCCTACAGGAAGAGGCGTATGTTTATATACATTTTTCAGTAGTCATTATCAATTTTCAATGATCTCTGCCACTGTGACATGTTTTTTGATTGAGATCATGGACTCAATTGGTTACTTTTCTGATCCTTGGAGTCCAAGTATAATATTAAAAGATTTTACATTAGTTGCAGTCCCCATTATATCAGTTACATAATATGGTAAAACAAATCTAGTGAATACTTCCAAATGGTTTAATATAGTGAACTGATACTCTCAGACAACCTTTTTGAGCTATTTTTCATTTGAGGAATTTCGTTGTACAGTTGCATGAGTCATGTGATAGTCGCAGCAATCACTTACCATGATATAAGCAAGTATTTATACATAACCAACCAGGGCACTCAAGTTACCTATCACTGAGTACATATGGAGACTGTTAATATTTATTTTCTACTGATCACTAAATTGTAACATAGATTTTGTCAGATGAATAACTTTTTTTTTTAAATTTCTAGAATATCAGAGAAAGCTAAAAAAGAAAGGGAAAAGGAAAGAAGAGAACAGTATAAAGCCGTAAGAGCTCATGTCAAGAAAGATGATGGTAGAATGCAAGCATACGGATGGAGTTTACCAGCCAAATATACACCTAGTCCACGAGAAGCTTCATCTAAGAACCAGATTCCTGTTCCAGTACCTGTTTATTGTAGACCTCTTACTGATCAAGATAATGGGGTCAAGGTTTGTAATTTACCTTTTACAAACAACTTCTGAAAATGGAAGAGGGTATATCACATTAAGATTTTTAGGTGTGGTTTAATGGTCGAGAGCGAAACATTAAGTAATATATTGATACTGCACGTGGTTGTCAGCCCGAGTGTTGTATCAATATGCCACCTAATTAATGTCTTGCTCAAGACCGACCATTAAACATCCTAATATACAAATGAAATGAAATGAAATGGGGTTTAACGTCCTACTATCCTAATATACAGACACTATTTCATCTAGTATAAATAATGTACAATTGTCATAGTGCCTGTACATTATTTGCAATAATGGTACATCAACATGAAAGGAAGACATAAATCTTTATTGTAACTATGAATAATGCATGTAATGAGGTATATTATTTTACAAATTATTCAATATTGTTCAAGAATCAAACATTATTTTCTGTACTGCATATTCTTTAGGTTTTGCTGAATATAAATTAGACATGGAATTTCATTTATAGAATGTTCTGATGTTTTGTTTCAATATACATATTCTATTCTACATATGGAGAGGAAAAACCACAAGACATGCTGAAATTGGAACCTTTTCTATCGCTCAAAACATATTGGCTACTAGCCACGTTTGTGTAGTTATCTCCCTTATCTGTATTTGTTAAAGGGAATTTTAGTTATTGAGGTTGAAATCATGTATGAATACTTGTAGATTTGGTGTTCAGCTGGTGTTAATTTAACTGGTGGTAGAACTAGGGATGGTGGATCAATAGTTGGTACCAGTAGTATCTTCTACTCTAATCCTACAGAAGAAACACCTAAACCTACTGATGATGTTGAACAACTAGATCAAGAACTCAAAGTATGTAGTTAATATTCTTTGCAGTGCAATATTTAATCACTTTAGATATCTTTCAAATTTTCACAAAGTATTCATAGAATCATTGAATTTATTTTGGAGAATTTTTCATAATAGACATATCTTTGGTCTGCTTCTGTTGAATATTTTTTGCCAACAATTTGTACAGACTATGTATGTATATGTCTGAAGCTTAGTTGTGTCCATAGTTTGTCTACGATATCACCCTTGGTGGAAGTGCACCTTAAACTCCAGTAACGAATGAACAATGTATTCATAGTAATCTTTATGATAGGGACTAAAGATGTTAATGCATTTTTCCTCAGGATCATGACAAGAATTTAAAGGATCAAGAACAGTTATCATCATTTGTATGGATTTGTACCAGTACACAAACTACAAGTGATATATCAGTTATTGATGCTAATAATCCAGCTGATATCTTAGAAACTTTCCGAGTCTCTTCATCACATATACTGTGTATAGCTAGTGTTCCAGGTACAGTATTTTCTATATAATGGACACTGACAATTAGTACATTTATTAATTTTATTCTGATTATAAACAATTTAAAAGTAAATACTTTATGTTGGTTACAGTCATTTTAGAATTTATTTTATGCACTCAAAGCTTTCATTCAAGTTTTATGGTTTGTTATAGATTTGGATGTATTAAATGTGCAGCGATAAGAAATCAAATAGAAATCACTGGAATTAGTATCTTTTCTTTTTAATTTGTAAATGTGTGTGGCAGACTTAATTGAGTCTGAAAATGTTTTTCCCATTTTACCTGCACTTATTGGTACATGTATGAATTTTAAATTCCCCTGAACTTATCTGTTGGTAGGGTCTACATCATCTTTATATTTGTTGGTAGAGTCTATAAACTTTTATATTAATTATCTTTTAGGTGCCCTTGAGTCAGATTACCCTGTTGCGGAAGAAATCCTGAAAGCAGAGGCACCGCTATTACCTAAAGAAACGGTTATAAGTAGCGGTACTAAAGATAGTAGTGAATCACCAGAGAGTTCTGGTATCGGTGGTATTACATTTGTCCAATGTTCAACAGGTGGTAATAGTAGAGAAACATCACCATCAGGTTCACCTTCAACAGGTACAGATGATTTAGAGATGAGCCAATACTTTTAGCAAAACTATTACAAATACTGATAATTATAGTTAATAATTATTAAGACACAATATTCATGTTATTAATGGCATTCATGGGCCTTGAATTTTAGGGTAGTTACTCTCTATATTTATGTGAGAAAAAAGAAATGTTGCAGAAATTAATGCGACTGATATGTCACATTTAACGCAATAAATGTCTTGACTGAGTCAGATGATGAGCATTTCTCCGCTTAGGCTAAGCAGAGATGAGCAATTTGATTTGTCAATGCTTTGGAACAACATAACTCTGTTTCTAATTGTGGGAAAGTGAAGAAACTTATTCATTACATCATACCTTGATGTTTGATAATGAGCATTTTCTGCTTAAATTAAGCATAGTGAATAATCAATTTGATTGTTCGGTGCCGTATGAAAATATAAATGTGCACGTAATTAATAAGTGTCATCTTTTTTGGGGGGTGTTGGTTTTTGTTGGTTTGTTATCAATTGTTTATGTTACTTATAGGTTCCAAACTGGAAACTAAAGCAGATATTGAAACAACTGCAGACAATCTGGTGGATGGGGCTGGTAGGGAGCAATTTTATAGCATATAAATTACAAGAAACATTAAAAAGTCACTGGTTCCCTCTAGTCAAATCAGATTTACATCGATTCCATCTTCTTTTTTTGTAAATTGATTAAGCAAAGTTGTTTGCCATAGACAGGGGAGTTATTATTTGTAATTAACAGTAAATTTCTGTATATACACCTTTGCTCTCATATGAAAGTGTTTCAATTCAAATGTGGCAGATAAATGAAGACAAATATGATCAGTGACGTCGGTCTGGCTCATCTAGTTTTTACTTCACTTCATTTAATAACGTGGTCTATGTGAATCAGTCTGCTTCCATTCAAAACTATTTTGGACCTATCTAAGTCAACAACAGTTATGAAAATTATTCATTATTACAGATAAAGATGCAGATAATAAAGAAAAATCTGATGATAGTGAAAAGGAGAAATCTAATTCAGGTTAGATTACTTTGTATCTAAACAAAATCATTTTTCTTATACTCTCTCCCTCTTTCTGACATCTCCATCATCTGCTAACAATTTCAGATTAACAACTTCTTCTCAACCTTGTAGGGTCAAAATGAAAAGCATTCTCTTCTGTTCCTAAACATAGTGATACTTGAATGATCATTCATGTTGTTGGGGTTAAAGTTAAACATATTCGACCTATAAAGGCTACAATAAACTGTTATCTGGTGATCCACAAATGATTTAGACATGAGTGTTAGTATAGAGTCTATTGATATATAGAACTTTTCTTATGTTGGAAATAAGAAGGAGATGGAACTGAGTAGTCTAATGTGTGCACAGTTTTAGGTCTTATTAATCGATTCTAGTTGATCAGTATTAATTGTCTTCTTTAAATTCCAGATCCTCTTGGTGTTTCAACTGAAAGTGATCAACCTACAGTGTTTCGAGCTACAGGTTCACCACCATCATCTCGTAACTCTAGTCCTACCTCACCATTACGACCAGGTGATCATAGAGGACAAGATTCAGGAGAAAGTAAAGATGGTGATAGTGGTATTAGTGATGATGTACAGTTTAGTGATATGGAGAAGATGAGTAGTGCTTTACCAAGCATGTGGTTGGGATCACAAACTGGAAGGTAATTATTCAGAACTTTGAAAGTTTACCCTATACTCAATACCTCATAATGCCATGTTTTAATAGTGAATGATGTATCCTAGCATTTGATGCTTAATACATGTTGTTCTTAGATGTTTAGTGCTTTACCAACTATGTGGTTGGGATCACAAACTGGAAGATAATTATTAAGAACTTTGAAAGTGTTAGAATTAGCATGCGTTTTCCTCAATAAATGCTTGATTATTAAATCTATTTTTTTTACAATTTTAAGAAACAAGGTTGAATCCATTCGGTTTCCTTTTTGTAAAATTTCTTCAACTGAATTTTTTTTTACTTTTCAGTTTGTATGTTCATTCAGCAGTAGCCCAGTGGAGAAGATGTCTACATTCTATAAAACTTAGAGATTCCATACTCAGTATTGTGTATGTTTTTCTAGACTTTTTTGCCATTTACATTATTTTTTGTTTTTATACACTCAAGACGTCTTTTCACATTTTTTGTGAAGACTCTAGGAGTCACAATGTTCATTAGATTTTGATAAAAATTAAAACATATGTTTATATCCAAAAGATCTCGGATTTTAATGTAACTTAGAATATATTTATGACGCAAAAATCTTCGAGGAGTTCCTTTTTGCTGGAAAATGGACTATCTTCCTGTTGGAATTGCCCCTCTCCTTGAATCAAATAGTCGCAAAGTTGTGGACCTTCTAGAGGCCATAATGTTTGTCTGATTTATATGTTAAGGGCATTGAGAACTCTAAAAAGCACATTTTAAAGCTAGCACTGTAAGTTTTGTTTATAAGATATGACATTTTTTGTTATTTGAGGCGATAAAACTACATTTTTTACCAACTACATGTATGTTCTAAATTTCGCCCAAAACCATGATAATAAAGGGTGCTGATGACAACAACATTCAAATATTCTAAATTATGCATGCATGGATTTTTATCACATTTGGCATGAACATTACTATATGCAAATCCAAGAAATGTAAGGGACACTTTTTGGCTATAAACCATGGTTTGTTTGCTAAAAAGAGACATTGATAATCCCTCCCTTAGATCAAAAGTAGAGGTTATGAGCGACATTACGACACTAAAAACGTTAAAAGATATCCACTCAAAATATTTTAAAATCTTGGTTCATTATTTAACATCAAACAAGATTTTGTGATTTCGGTAAATTCTTTGAATACATCCACAACAAGTTTTAAAATACAACAATTCGGATGTAAAAAGTAAATATTTACTTCAGTGCAATACTCCGCCTGTCTCAAAATCATTTTATACACTCGACCATCAAAAAATGAAGTTCAGCCATGTTCCAGTCGCGATAGTCCTGGATAATCACATCTTGGAAGAAATTCCTTCTGACATCATAATATAGATAGGGCTGCGGTTAATTAATTGTTTGTTTCTCATGACCTGTGTTTGTGGTATATACATGCTACATGAAGTAATTCATTATTAATTATTCAGATGGAATTTAAAAATTTTTGAGTTTAATGCTGTTTCTATTTCATTAATAACTAATGTAGCTTACTTGGTCATTGAAAACCCAGTTAATAAAATAGATTTCATAGATTAAAATATCTGTTGCACAATAGCTGGGCATCGGAAGGGTTGATGATAATAATAGGAGGTCTAAATTTTAATGATATGCTTCAAAGTTAACGGTTGATTAATTCATTCATTCTTGGCATTTCATTTCTTCATCTTTCCCTACTTTGACAACTCATGAAATGACCTGTTCCAATCAGGTTGATTATTTGTTGACATAAATATTTAAAAGCATACTTTTGGATTTTTAGATACAACTTAAGTTAGATTATTTAACATGTAAGTCCAAATAATTTATTACACACATGTTCGTTTCTCTAACCGTGAAGGAAGATAGTACCCCATCGGCACATGGCATCATGATAATATAAATACTTTTATTATTTTGTCTATCTTCATCAAACTACAGTGGACTCTGTCACTTCTGACTCTGTCACTTCCAAATCGATACAATATGCTGGATTATACTGCATTATTTTAATGCACCTTCATATACCCAGAACATAAAATATGATAAACCTTTCAGTACATTCAAAATTTTATTACATAAAATTATTAAGTTTTTTTTTTCTGGCGCATACAAACCACTCGTGCGTCATTCTGTAGATGTTTTCAAATTTAGATTTCAAGTAAAATCGTTTCTTACTGTTTCTTATATCACGATATTCATATGGATCAAGAGTGACAGGTTAGTTGCGAAAGTGACGAGTATTGAAGTAAGAAGTGGTACCGACGTAGCTAGCCATTTTGTAATTTAGTACACAAGATATGATTGGAGTGACAAATAAGACGTATGTTTCAGCCAGTGAAAAACTTGATTACTATAACTACCCGATAAGTACTTTAGTGGGAAAGTATCTTTAAGTTAAAGATCAACAGATTTCGATGAGTTTGAAGTTGTGTTATCATCATTGTTTGTCCATCTGTCAGTCTGTCTTCAATTTCTTATTAATTTCAAAGTAAATTACATTGCTTTTATAGTTTGTTTTCTGTATTTTTAATAGGATTAATTTATTTTTCATCATTATTATAGACATGTTAAAGGACGGGTAATGGTAGCATTAGCAGATGGGACAGTTGCTATATTTCATAGAACTTCAGGTATACATAACAATATCAACAAAATAACAACAAATAATAAATGAATATAATTATTATCTTAAATAGTTATTATCTTTAATAAAATCATTACAAGATGATTTAATAGTTTCCATCACAATATTAGACTACTAATACTTGAAGAATTTTATTTTTCACCTATTTTTATTTATTTTTTTCAGATGGTCAATGGGATTTAGAGAATTATCATCTGTTAGATCTAGGCAGACCACATCACTCTATACGTTGTATGACTGTTATAGCCAATAAACATGTTTGGTGCGGTTATAAAAATAGAATAAATATTATTAATCCTGAAGACATGACAATAGAGGTACATCTAAAAGTCATTCAAATTAAATCAGAATTATGAAATATAAACATACATTTGTGATAACAAAAGATTTTCTTGTAACTGTTTTACTTCATTGTAGTGGTGAAGAAGAATGTCTTCATTTAAATATTTTGATTTGATAGTTCTTACTTTGGACTATGGTAGTAAGGTCTTAAAAAATGTGTTGATGTTTGAAGCATCGCAAATTGTCTCTGATTTGACTGCAACAAATATTGATATGGACAAAATAGCATCAGTCGTGTGTATGATAGTGCGCTGTTCATGAATACAGTTCATGCCTTTATTATGGGAAATGTTTCAATCCGCCAGTTTAAAGTGCATTTAAAAAAGAATTCTGACATAAAAGTCATGGTCATTTTTCCTCTCAACCAATCAATCTAACATGTGTGTGTGAGTTAGTTGTATTTTACATCTGCTTCCACTGAGGTGATATCACAGACAGATCTAACATTATGACCTATTACATTGTATACACTGCTGACACAGAATTTTCCAGACCACTATTCCTTGTAGTCAGAGTACAGATATTTGGACTGAAACTAACAAGACTATTTAATCAAATTATTATGATACATATTCCATGACTGTAGATTCTGTACTTATAGTAATAACTGTAATTCATTTCAGAAAATCTTTACTAATAGTAATAACTGTAATTCATTTCAGAAAAGTTTTGATGCTCATCCTCGTAAAGAAAGTCAAGTTCGTCAGTTGGCTTGGGTTGGTGATGGTGTATGGGTATCGATAAGATTAGATAGTACATTACGTCTATATCATGCTTATACACATCAACATTTACAAGATGTAGATATAGAACCTTATGTCAGTAAAATGTTAGGTAAGATTATAACACTACACTTAAGAATGCTTGTAGCTTATGGTAATTCCATTTTTCTGTTTTAATTGCTAACAGTTCTTTTCCTTTCCTTCAATCTAGCTTTTTACCATTACTAAGTCTTTGTATGAGAATTCTATATTACTTTCTTTTGTTTTAGATTTATATTGCTTGCTTAAAATACTACCAGTAATATAATATTATCATTTAGAAAGAGAATTTAAAATATATAAAAATTTAATTGTAGATAGATATAGGTTCAAATTGAAAGGTAATGTACATGTACTAAATGCTTCCTCCCTTTTTTCCTCATCCAAAATATGACGTACACATGTACCTAAACATGTATATCTTTAGATAAATTGTCACATTATTATTCTTTTAATTATTTCATTCAATAGGATTCTAAGCGTTCTTTCCAAATTTTCAGATTTTGAAAGTAAAAATAATTTATGTGACTAGCTAGGTGAGCCTAAGTCAATTGTTATATTCTCTGACCAGAGCCAAAACTCACCAGCCTGTCTTTACTTCAATAATTGTAAATAAACGGATGTTCCAACAAAAGTTAAATTTGCATGTGTATGGGATATAAAAGTATGTTCTTCAATCTTTGGTTATTGGTGAGGAGTGTGTACCAGACCTATTAATCTCTTTCTACAGTATATTAAATGCTTTGGAAATGTTTACTATTTAATTCTCATAGTCATAGTCCACTTAGCTTTTATTAGACATTATTTAGCAAATTATTATGCACCTTGGTTTTGTTTTTCCTGCATTATCCTTGTTACAAATGTTTAATTATTCATTATCCATCTTTTCCTCAATTGATTTTATCGATGATAGAAGTAATATTTCAGATATGAAAAAATAGCAGCTAAAGGATTATAAATAAAGATTATAAACTTTTAATGAAACATTATTGAAATAGGTTTGTCTTGGAAACTGAAATTTCTGTTCATGATAGGGTTGTTCAGTTGTTTTGTTTTATTACACATGTTATTGCGTTATGAACTTCAGACATAGAGATGAAGTGTTCTTAGTCAGGAATAATTGTAGGTGTTAGAGGTTTTCAATAAAAAAAAGAAAAAGAAAATGAATACATGTACTGCTATAAGTTAAATCAACCTTTAATATCGGTCCCCTTCCCCCCAAAAATGTAGAGCAATGTTGAGGTCAACATACTCATTTGTTTTCTTTGCAAAATGATCTTTGATGTTTATAAAAATTCCACCTTTATCCTTATGCAAAACTATTACCATGGTCTTAGGAATGACACAAGATATTATTTTAGTAAAATCCAAAATTAACCATATCACTGACAGCACTGTATAATCTATTAATTGGCCTAGTTAAAGAGATATACTAGGCTGATGAAAAAAACTTGTTTTGAATTACGAAATCTAACAAGAGAGTTCCAGTCACCATTAAACTTAATTACATGTATAATTGTATATTCATGTTATTCATAGATGTGTTTCTCTAAAAACATCAATCATCAATTTCATCATTTTCTTCACCTTTCACCGTCTTTTTAAGTGATAAAATTATACCATTTTCTATGTTTATTTTTTACCAGGTACTGGTCGATTAGGTTTCTCTTTTGTGCGTATAACAGCTGTGTTGATCTCCAGTAATAGATTATGGATTGGCACTGGTAATGGTGTTATTGTGTCTGTACCTTTATCAGAAAGTAGGTAACATTTAAAACTGTATTCCCAAGAGAATGCAGATGTAATTACTTTTACCATGTATGATGTTTTTATGAATTAATGGGACAGTCTGTTTTTTGTGAATGTTTTTGAAATAAAATGTCAATTAAATCTATGTAAAGGGTAAATTGGGTTAGTCATTGCCAAGAAAACTGCGTTTTTACACAAAAGTGACCACGTTTTACTCTTCACTAATTGAAAGTTGAGCACCTTAGCATTATCTATATTTGAAAATATCTAACATTTGGCAAACTTTGCAAGATGTAGAGTATACATTCATAAAATATTTCATTTATTTTAGGCAATAAACAACAAATAACGACATCAGCAGTTGGTCGACCAGGAGGGGTAGTACGTGTTTATAATGATGTTAAAACAGACAGTGTAACACCAGGCAGTTTTATACCTTATTGTTCAATGTCACAAGCTCAGTTATCTTTCCATGGACACAAGGATGCAGTTAAATTCTTTGTTGCAGTCCCAGGTAGGTTAAATTCATATTGAAGTTATATGAAACACATGTTTATGAACATATATATCCATTTCCATGGAGCCACAGATTCTTTATCTTTGGTCACAGCATTTATTTTTAGCCACAGCAGTTGAGTGAGTTGTTTTTGTGTAAGAATACACTAGTCTTGATAGCCTACTCCAAATGATGTCAAATTTGTTGCTACATCACAACCAACAGTCCTGATTAGTAAGTGGAGGTTTCATAGAACAATTTACTCAGAGGAATACTTTTAGAGAACAGTCAGACATCACTTTCTGTTACTAGTCTTTATATTTTTATGTAAGAGAAAAATTAGAAATGCATATTAGAATTAATGTGACGTGGTAGTTCGCATTAAAATAACTTAATGCCTAAATTATTTTCTTGTTTTAAGTGTGTTATCTATGAATATATTTGGTACATGACTTTAAATAAAAAAGAAATAATGTTCTAGTGTAAATGTTATGAGCATGTCTGTTTTATGTTTAAATACCCTGTTTGATAGTTGTTTTTAGTAAAGCTACCTGATCAACAAGATATGACATTTCATTGTAATTGGGATTTATTTGGTCTCCTGTGCTCTATATTGATTAGCTCACCCAATGCCTTCTGACATTTTGAATCTGGATGTTTTTTATATTTTGCATTAAATTTCAAGTTGCTTGAGTATATTTTTTTTCTTCGACTTTTCAAACTCTTGACAGTTTATTGATTTTGTCACGCATTTACGGTCTTGCTAGGTTTTTTTTATAAATCTATTTAAAAAGAAAGATTTCCACATAACTGCTACTTTCTATTTTTGTTTTAACTTAAAGAGCACATCAAGTGAGAAAACAATATTATATGTACCTATAGCCAGTGGTTACTATGTATACACATTACGGCATTATTTTAATATGCCGCATTATCATAGAAAGACATAACCGACTTCAGCATATTGTCATGTCTGTTATTGGTGTATATGATCTTTCACAGGTATTTCGCCCCCAAATCAACCATTATACTAGTTTTGTAGTAAGCAGTGGCGTAGGCGATGAATTCCATGCGACAGCAAGATCGTGTGAAAGTGCCACCGCGATATGGAAAAAAGTTAACGGCGATAATAAGCAGCGATTCGTATGGATATATGTGCGTATATATGTACGGGATAATTTGTTGTCGGTGAATGGAAAATGGTTAAAATATTGTATAATGACAAATTGGCTGTCAGACGTGGCAATTCTTACGAAATAAAATGGTTATTGTGTGACGGTACAGAACCCAAGTAGAACCAGCGGTCACGGGTGTGTCAGCTTCGTCACGTTCAGGCTTTGTAAAGAACTGGGCAGTAGATAAGTATCGCAAAACATTTTGAACATTATGATTATTGTCCATTGATTTGTATACTATTATGATATGACTAGTTTCCACATGCTGTCGTCTGACTTCAAGGAGACTAAAAGATATTTTGATATTTTCATTTTTGATCACAATTTTGTTTAGGTCGTGGAAAATTCTCAAAATCTGCTATAATTTGCTGCTTGACATCCAATGTCAAATCTGTAAGGGCACGCTTTGCAGGACGATCACACATTATTCATTATGAATACAATATTATAATGATAGTGTTAGGGTGACCCGTGCACTAAGTTGGTCTCCACACGGCTAATGCAATGTGCACGCTTCAGTGGTTGTGTCTCGAACTATGATAATAGTCAGCGGTGGAGTGTATGAGACTATAAATAGCCATGGCACGTGCAATTCTCTATAAATCTATCAACTATTACAGCCGTAAAAAATCTATGGCCGATCGTTTGATTGACAGGCGTTAACTCCACCTACATAATCTCGATTATCAAGTAACGTTTTCAATGGCTGTGGTACCGTTAGCCTATTCGGTTTGAGATGGGGTTGCAATTCAATTCGTATCACATTTATTTTTACTACAAATTAAAAATAAGACTTTTAATAATATAGATAAGAAGCGAAAGTTTGAAAGGAATGGACCAAATCAATAAGGCATAATTATATCCGACTTCTTGTTAGCCTGCGTGACTCTTGTACTGTAACTGGTAGGCCTACGTAACTCCCAAAGCAGACAAATAGGAAACTGATCCAATGGGGCTGCAATTCAACTGGGGTGATACGATGTTTATCAATTTCCATAATTTTTCTGTAAACGCAAGTGACAAAAGAAGCGTATAATACCAACATCCAAACTCTCATTTTAACCACAGCTAAACAATAATATCAAGGCCATATATATCAAACTTTAAATCAAATTGACTGACATGCGGCCTCGCTTTGTACACTCTAAAATTTCCGGGAGTATGATGTCAACGTAACGGTTAATCTCTGCTTACGACGCCATTTAAAAATATAATCAGTCAATGAAATCATGTTTAAATCCAAACCGAATCCAAGCCATCCGTGGGTCTACAGAGTGGATTTTGTGCTTGTTGTGTAAATAAAGATCTAATTTATAATTTCTATGACATCTGAAGCCTAAATAAAGACTTGCAATAATCAGATTTAGCTCTTGCATAATGCATGTATAATGCATGATTGATTTAGGGCTTTGAAGTTTTATGTTAGAGATGTTTTATAGGGTCGTGTAAAGATGGCAGCATGAAATCATTTGAAACTAATATAAATTTTAAATGGGCTTAACTTCCATTAGGATTGAGGGATTAGATTAATTTTGGGTTCATTATTTCTTTGATAAGAATCAAGAGTACCATTTTCTGTACATGGTCTTAAACTTTGTTTGCTGTTTATCTCGCAAAATTGTCCTTCTAATAATAGTTCTATTCTAGAATCTAAAGAGTAACAACATCTACAAAAAGACAAGTTTGACATTTGTATATTTTGTCTGAATGGTGAGAAAAGAAGTCTATTGATTTCTGTTGATTTTTCCTGGCAAGTTTTACTTACAAACGTCCCTGATGATTTCAGCCTGTCTTATTTGTGAGTCAGTAGGTTCCATTCTTCATGGATATTGAATGTTGTGAATAGGTTGATGAGGAAGAAAAGCGTAGTTTTACAGATCACTGATTTATTATGCTGCGTCTAGAGTTAAAAGTCTTCACAACCCCAATAAATCCTGTTAATAAGATAAAATCTCCAATTCATAAATCACTGATTTCTTATACTGCATCTAGAGCTAAAACTCTTCATACCTCAATAAATCCTGCTAATAATAAAAAAAAAAAAAATCAACAATCCACAATCACTGTCCTATCTTCTCAAAATTAGTATGTCAACTCCTGATCAAGATTATCAAATCCTAATTCTTCCCCTTGATAAATTGAGCCATTAATGACAAAACTGCTGTTGTAGCATGTATTATGTTACATAGAATTTTTTTTAAAATTGAGTTTAGAATACCATAGTGTATGGTGTAAACAATGATTCAGTCAGGTACAACAGCTTCTAAGAGGAGCAAATGCTTGGAAGCGTCATGATCTTTGGACTTGAAATTTGAAGAGTATGCAGAAACACCACTTTACTGATAGAATTCTCCTCACTGGCACACTCAACCACAGAAAATGAAAATTACCATGATAGTCTCAAAATGATTGAAGTATTGTAATAAAAGAAAAACTAGGTATTTCTTATCTTTCGATGACTGAAAACCCCTTAATTTGTCTTTTTCAAACAAGAGCTCACATCCGTCTGTACTAGAGTAAGCTTATTCACTGTGTACAGTGAAATAAATACATATATCAATACTTATCATTTCTCGCTTTTATTTCTCTAGAGGGTCCACAACATTGGTGTTACATACTTTTACATTATTTGCGTAGGTGGAGCGACAATTTCGGTCTGATTTTCACAGAGGTCGAAATTCTATCATCATTAGAGTGTAATGGTAATATATTTAAACGTTTTTTTTTTTAAATCGGATGAAAATTATGACCTCTAGCAGGTCCACAAACTAAAAACGTGGTTTTTCGTACAATCAGGGGCCATAATCTAGAAATTACAGTCAGATATGCACGAATATTGAAAGGAGCTGAGTTCTTTGGGTAATAATATATCTTAAGTTTCATCCAAATCGGATAAAAATTGCGACTTTAGGGGTCCACAACCTTGGTATTACATACTTTTACACTATTTGCGTACAAGGAGCTGACATTTTGTCAGGCAGTTTCCCGAAATTAGAACTCAACTGTCATTAGGATGTAACGATGATACTTTTAAAACATTTTTTAAAATTGGATCAAAATTGTGACTTCCAGCGGGTCGACAAGCTAAAAACGTGATTTTTCGAACAATCACTGAATCAGGGGCCATAATCAAGGAAGTTATGATCTAACGTTTGAATATCGAAAGGAACCGAGATCTTTGGGTAATAAAGATACATTTTAAGTTTAATCAAAATAGGATAAAAATTGTGACCTCTAGAGTGTCCACTAGCTAAAAACGTGATTTTTAGTACAATCAGGGGCCATGATCCATGAATTTACTGTCCGATACATGTCAACATCGAAAGGAACTGAGATCTTTGCGATATAAACCTATATTTCAAGTTTTGTCGAAATCGGGTAAAAATTGTTACCTGTAGAGTGTCCACAAACAAATTGCAGACAGACAGGGGCGACGACAATATAAGTCTGCATGAAAATATGGGCGTATAAAAATTAAATCTTGGTTTTTTTTTTTTTGTGTAGATCAACTGTTTTGATAAAAAAAAATCAAATAAAATTTATAAAGATATTATCCTACAGGACGTGGTTTACTTGAACAATTACAGTCCGCCGGTACCGGTAGTGCCAGATTAGAATTATATCTTTGTTTTGTTTTCTCATTATCACTATATATGATATGACATCGATTCAGAGGGGCTCACATCCGGCTTGCTGACAACGGTTTCATTATACAATGATTTTAATGAGGTTACATATAGATCATCGGACATTTTCTTGATGTGATTGGAACAGCTGCATTTTCATTTGTTGTTGACGATGCAAATCAAGTCTGGTAAAATATAAAATGGAAAAATGCATCGA